ATTCTTGCGAACCTTGGCAACATACCTTGGAGTTCAATAAGCCCAAATTCAATTCGAGACCGAAACCCGTATCACTGACTGTCCCAGACAAAAGTAAATCGCAATGATTCGTGATCGCGTCTGTTGGCGCATCCCTCATGATGAGCACATACCCGAGACAATGGACGTATTCGACTTACCAATCTATGTAGAAAACTGAACTTTTCTTTATTTCTATCCAATAAAAGCAACGCAGCAATTCCCCGACCGGATTGTTGTTTCAATGATAATGTAGAAATCGTGTTTCGGATGAAGCGACCAGGCTTCAGTCTAGACGAAGAGGATGATGTGGAAATCGGTGCTGTGCGACCGGTTGAAAGAGGAGAAAGGATGTATGTCGCAAGTCGCACGGGACGGATCGACGGATGTTTTTTTAATATGTGCTTGTTTGCCGCTGGAGATGCGTTCGCAGTCTGAAGTTGGGCTATAGTTCTGGCCGTGGCGCGAATCTGGTCTATGTGGAGGGTGAGCCTCGAGTCGCGACGGGAAGTACCACCAGGTGCGCGAGATCGGGGATAGGGTAGTATGACCATAGACGAATGACGTTGGAAAGCAAACTGGCTCCGGTAGTTCTGGGCAGATTGCCTTAGGAGCAGCGCATTTTGAAACTGATCACGGCAGCGAGGAAGCGGCAGGCGTGGGAATTGTAGAAAAGGAACTGTTTTCTGACTCCACTTGAATTAGCACGTTTTGAAGGAACGAAGGAACGGTCTATGGGTCTGGTGAAGTGAATGGAGGGAGAGAAAGAATGACGGAGGAGATGGTGATGGTGAACGACGTACCGAGCGCGGAGCGGCGTAAATTGCACAGACGTTTGGAGGGGATAAAGTGGGAAAGCGGGCTTCTGCAACGTTGCTTGATCGATGACGATCGTCGGGGGGGAATGTGTGGAGTGAGGTGGTGGTGGTGGTGTGACCGGAGGTACCTTATCGTTCAGGGCGGGAGGGGGAATCAGAAAAGGGCAGATTGAAGGGCAACCGGTTGGGTTTCAAGTATAAGAAAGGGGGAGAGAGGGGAAGAGGAAGAGAGATAGATGTAAGAAAGAAAGAGGAAGAGAAGGAGATGTGGGAATTATCAGGGTAGAAGAAAAAAGAGGAGAAGGGAAGAGAGGTTGTACAGTCGTAAGTTGCGTAAGTCGCGAGTGGGTTGGGGTCAGGATGCGAAGGGGAGAATAATGCAAGCTAAAGGGAGGAGGAGGGAGAGCTTCTTCGTTCGACTTGAAATGAACCTCAGGCCACTTGGACTGGAACACGAAAGGAGGAGGCGACGGCGGGCGGAGGAAGAGAAGGAGGAAGACGAGAGGACGAGCCACGGGTCGAGGGGGAACAGCCCAGCAGAAAGTGGCGCAAAGTGAGTGGTCAAGAAGCAGCTAAAACTGCTAACTACTAGAGGCCGGAGGGAGTTTAGTTTAGTTCAAGAGTCAAGTCAGGGTAGGGATGGATGGGTGAATGGGTGAATGGGTGAATGGGTGAATAATGAGATGAGATGAGATGAGATGGGATGATGGGATGGGATGGGATTGTCCTTTTGCTCCTTCCTTATGTCTACTCATCGGTTCGCTTAATTGTCTATTCTCTTTTGCTTTCTTTTCTTTCTTTCTCTTTTGCCATTTAACTTACAGCTTACTCTACCACAGTCGTCATTCTACAATTCAGATCTGGTACCATTATATGTTATACCTTCTTCCTGCCTCGGTCGCGATCTCATTTCGAACCCGAACCAGCTGGAGGATGATGGCCCGGTACTTTTTTTTTTCTACTCCGTACAGCTCCAAGCACACTAAACCACGGCTAAGGGGCAACCAGCTCGCTTTGGGGCGGGGTAGCAAATCGACGGGAGTCTAGATACCTTCTGGAGCCAAGGGCCACACGGGAGGGGAAACACTGACCGTGACCGAGACACTTGGTTATGACGGATTGACTTTCCGAGCGAGTAATTGATTGATGGATGAGCAGGACGAACGAATAAGCAGCACATAAGAAAAAGAAAAAAAAAAAAAAAAGAACAGAAACATGATGACGGGAATGGGAATGGGAATGGGAAAGTTGGAAGGCACTACTGAGTAACATGACAGGCAGCAGAGCAGAAGCTCGGCCATCGATGGAACGCCCGCAAGTGGGCCGGGCGGGCCCCTCCAGCAACTAACATCGATCGCCAAATGCTCCGGCCATTATTATTTCTTCTCTGTAACCCCAGCAAAAGTATGTTCGCGGACACCTTCGGTGACTTCCAACTCCCTCCTTTCATTCTCCTTCTTCCTCTTGTTCCCTTCTCACGTCCACCTTCTCTCTGAGACTCTGAGGCATCTTAGCAGCATCAATCGGAACTCTATCAGGAAGACCAGCAGCAGGCTATGGTTGAATCTGGATCAACCGTCGTTGGAATTCTTCAGCGGAACGAGCTTCGTGCGAACCAGAACGATAGCCTCTTCAGAGAGCGTGGACCGGACCGACTGTACACAAATGACACGGGCTAACCAAACTGTCCTACTCAATTAGTTGGGTTCAGAGTGAACAAAGAACCTGTCCCCCGCGCTTATGCCATCACCTCGAGCCAGCCAAACCGCATCTTACATCAGTGTGGCCGGTAAGGAAGAAGAGAATAAATGACATTGTGCAGCAATGTGCAGAATCCTCATGCATGCAATAAGACGAGCGGTGGTAATTTTGCAGTATTCGGAACACTCTCTTTTTCCAGATACAGTACTTTTCCAACAGAGTTCATCCGCCCGTCTGCCCAAGAAAGAACCTTTCAGGGGGGGAGGGGGGGGAGGGGATTCAGGACCGGTTGGGTGTCATCAGGGACAACTCGTCAACGTCATTCTGGCGTCGGAGTTTCACAAGCATGAGAGCTTTAGGAAAAAAATAAAAGAAATGTGGGTATGGAACCATCAGAGCCAGCAATCAACTGGGAGCTCCCTGCCCCTGGTTCAACCCATCTCCTTCTCCTGTGCTGTGAGTAAGTTAGCATTAGGTACGGAGTACAATACGTACAGTACTTTACCTCCACCAGACATCAGCCGTGCCTGCGTTACATAATGACCACCCTACGGACGCCATGCGTCGGATTGCGGGGGGAGAATCATCCTTCCAAGTGCCCCAGAGGCCCCAAATGCTCACCATTCATGAGAGGAAGGGAGAAGGGGGGGAGGGGGGCGGGGAGTGACTATTCATTGGTCTCTCTATGGCCCATGCAGGATCGCCTCCGTCCGAAAGTGCGGAGAGAGCTTTCCCGCTTTGAGAAACCCCCCGTCAGCCCTCCGTCTTTTTGCCTTTTGCCCCCAGCATGCATCGCATCAACTCAACTCCTCTCCTCTTCTCTCTTCTCAGTTTCACACCTCGATGAGTTTCATCCTCTCCTTTCTTGAAGTCTGGAGCATAGGCAGAAATGATTCATGGACTTTGGAACGTGGTGAGATGATGGCAGTGGTGAATCAGAGTTCGCGCAAGTTGAAAGAGAAACTGATAGTGAACCGATCTCCATCCGTGGTTCTCGGACTCGTTGGCTTTTACGGCCCAGCCTCTCAGAAGCCATGGGCGTGTTAGACCCCCGTCCTCCCGGGCCAACTGGTTACACTTGCTCACGACGAGCGTGAGCCACCACCACCACCACCACCACCACACCACAAGCAAAGCAAGTTTAAACTCCACCCCACTCGGGCGAGATGGAAATCAAACAACTCTCTATTCCCACTTATCCAACTGGCTCGGATTATCAGAATGTGCACCCCTCATATATGCCAGTAGTGAGAATCACAACCCAGCCTGAACCACCTCACCTCAACCACAATCCCAAAGTCAGGTGAAAAGCTCGCCACACCCTAACCTACTATGTGGCTTCTCCGCAACCCATAGGCATGCTGCCTCTCCTCAGTGCCAGCCAAAAACCGAAACTATATTATGACTCAAAAGCCGCCAGGTACCACCAGAGTCAGAGTATCTTTCTCGCTTTTCCTGTCTCGAATAAGGTAGGGTTGACGATCGCACGCCTCCCTCCGGATCCGAAGCGTGGCGATTTCCCCTCTGGCATGTACATGTACTGTAGAAGAGATCTCGTCTAGACTAGACCACAGCACAGCAGCATCCATTGTGCTGACGGAAGGAGCATGACCATCTCACACCGAGCCCGAGCTTCATTGGCGGGCAAAACCTACCACTACCTTAGGACCTAGTACTACAGCACACTGTGTGTCCACCCTTTCTCCCAGGGTGATCCCATTCCAAAATCCAATACCATTGACCTCTGCCCTCTGCCCCTCCAGACATAAGGCATGATGTCATACCACCTGAGAGACCCTTAATATCGACGTAAATGGCTGCTCGGAATGGAGGCCGGGGTGCAAATGAGAGGATGTCCGGACGGACAACGACACCACACTACGTACTCCCCATACTTTGGTTCGGCAGCAGACGACCGGTCGTCACTAGCCTCGACGCTTCCCCGGGTTTGGGAAGGTGTTAGTTCGAAAGCTTAGCGCTGGACCATGAGTAGAGAAACGTCAGATTGAGGACTAAATAATGGAAGGATGGGATGAATTCCTCCTCCTCCTCCCCCCCCCCCTTCCCCACGGCGCCTCGGCGGGTTGCCGAGGATAGCAAGCATAAGTATACTTCAGGTTTGGGGTTATGGTGGTGGTGGGGAGGGGGCGACTGCTGTACAGTCGGGCTAGAATACATGCCTGAAGTCAAGACGGTTACACGGCTTCGGTGGAGGGTGGAGGTATGCAACATGAAGAATTGTGGGAAGCCCCGCTGTTTCTATTCAAATGGGCAGGGGGTGAAGGGGCGTTTTGCTGCCATACCTAGAGTTGAGGGTCTGCTTTAGTTCATCTGACGTCTCTCTATCTTGTCTTCGACAGCCAAAAGAGACAGACAAATGCAGGTACAGCACCAGGTGTGTACAGTACCTCACGATGCGCTAGCTGATTCTTCTGGGAGGTCCTGATTAAAGTATTTGAGAATGTGTAGAGTTGGTTAAATCTAGTCTAAGCCACATAACATAACAAAGAATATGCCCGGTATATATCCAATCTTGCAAAAATAAAAATACAGAAAGTCTGCAGTGCCGCCACTAAGGAGCCGAATCCAACGTCCCCTTACCCCCCGTCGAAGCCGTAGCATCGGGCCCCTTCTGCTGACGCAGCTTCTGCTCGAACTTGGCGAATTCGTGCATCGAGATTTCCTCCTCGGGGTCCATCACCTGCTCAACACCTTGGACTTCCTCGATCTGTTGGCCAGTTCATTAGCCAATCGCCCACGTTCTCAATGGGAAGGAAAGGGAAGGGGGGGGGTGGGGGAACATACGTAATGCATCAACATAGACTCGATCCCATTCTTCAGCGTCACCGTGCTGGAGTCGCAGGTCCGGCAGGCGCCGCGCAACTTCAGAAGGACGATGCCATTCTCGAACCCGCGGAACTCGATGTCGCCGCCGTCCTCCTGGATGGCCGGGCGAATGCGCGTGTCCAGCAGCTCCTTGATCATGCCGACCACCTCGTCGTCCTCCTCGTCGAAGCGCAGCGAGTCCGCCTCCTCGCCTTGCGAGGCCTCGCCGCCCGTCTTGGCGACCGTGTTGACGATCGACTCGCCCGACGTCACGGCCTGCGTGATCAGACTGAAAACCTCGGGTTTGATGTGCGCCCAGTTGGCGTCGGCGGCTTTGGTGACGGTGATGAAGTCGGGCCCGTAGAAGACCGAGGTCACGCCCTCGACGTTGAGGAGCTGCGCCGCCAGCGGGGACGGGTGCGGGGGCGCGAGGGTCGAGCGTGGGGAGAGGTATTCGAGGAAGGTGGTGGGGAAGTTTTCGGGGAGGACGCGGTGGTTGGGGATGAATTTGAGGGCCTGTCATTTTATGGTTGGTTAGATGGTCGTTCACGATACCTTTAGTCGGCCGAAGGGGGGAGAGCGGTACGTACATCAGGGTTCGGGGTGTTCTCCGTCTGGATGAATATCGTGCGCTTGCTCGTCGGCGCCGGCCCGTTCACTCGCGCCTGCACGAGGGAATGGTGGTGAGGTTGCAGAGTAGGCCGGCGACGGGTCTCGGAGGGAGTGATCGCGGGCAATCGTGCGGAACGGTGGACGCTGCGGTAGGATCCAAACACCGCCGGCCGGGCGAAGCGCGAGGCCTCGAGAGCGCTGCTGCCAGCACCGCTCGTCAATTTGCTGCCCAGTAGGGCGGTGCGTCGAAGCATGGTTCTCCCGGATGTAGAGCTGACGGACATGGTGTGCCGATTTGATTGATTTGGGGGGCTTTCAGGCGCAACAACTGGTCGAATCGTCTTCCGTTGGTGGCTAAAAACCGTTCTTCGGAGATGTTGAGAGATGCAGGACTGATCGATAATACTTTCTTCCCCGACCGCTCCGCCTCTGACGCAATGAGCTGCACGTGACCTTTGGCATGGAATTGATGACAAATTCGGGACTGTTGGTGGCCAATCACAATCTTACTGTTTGACATCTTTTGCCGATGCCGGGGAAGCCCCGGTTTGAAAAGTCTAGATTATACTGTGCAATGTGTGGTTCGGGATTGGCCAGAAAGTGTCAAGGTTGCCCAACCTTCAGTGGATTGATACTGCTTTGTGATTCGCATGAGTAGTTGACTGAATGCCCATGTCTACTATACGCGGCATCGATTATTGTTGTTGTGGCGACTGCTTCTCAAATCTAGACTTACGCGAGGTTGACTGCATGTGAACATCAATGAGATTATCATCTCCAGGATGTGGACATTCAGTGCCGCAGATCCTGGAAAGAATAACTGAGTTGGCTATCGCACTCTCCTAGCGATTTATTTGAACAATCGCATGGAAAAGGGCTACGTTATTCTGGAGTACAGGGAATCACTGTAAATTTTTGGCCATGAGTGGCGAGTCGACAGCAGTCAACCTCTAGACATGTTGTTGAGGACGTCGGATACTTCCATGCCTAGTGCATGACTGGGCGAGAATCTCACTGTCATGGTGGCTGCCAAGAGCTGTCAGTCGAGCAGCCGCAACTAAAGTCGATGATGTTGTGGTTGTCTTCTGTTGGTGAACAAACGCCTTAACTAAGTGTATGATCGGCTGTAGGGCGACCGATGATCTGAGGACTGACTTAATCCTCTTCAATTCGTGCGATTTCACGCACCTCGAGGAAGAGAAGGGATAAGAATCAGTTGATACGTCAGTTGAGAGACGCATATCGCGCGTGAAAAAAGCCGACTGAGAGGTGAAGGCAAACAGTCCTTCCAAGCTTATGCTGCATCGAAGCAGCCGGTGGAAGAAGACCTGTGTAGCTGGCCACCCCTCCTCGACCCCCCGTCGAGCGACCTGCCAGCCTGTCGGTAAGTTCTTCCACGGGCTCAGGTTGCACCGCGCCACACGACGGGTCTATTTGCAAGGCCATCACGCAACCACTCTGTTTAACATCCGCCGCTCGAAGCTTGAACGACGGCAAGCGGCCTGCCAATTGACCCAGAAAGTCGAGGGAACTGGCAGACGGTGGAACAACTTTCCGGCCACGGCTTTCTTTCGTTTTTACCCCGACACACCGTTTGGTGCTTGCTGCTGCAGCCCTTGTTACATGTGCAATTCATGCGATGAGTTCCGGGGGGCGATGAGTGGATCGATTCATGCTCCCATCGGATTCCAGCAGGGTACAGAGGCATCCGTGATACTGAGGCAAGCGTGGGTTTCCCACCAGACGGTGGGAGCTGAGAATGTATCTGCCTAGGATTCTGTCTCCGATCGATTCTGCTGTGTCTTATTTCCAGCAAATCGCTGCTTAATCTGTGTTTTGACACTGTACGAGGCCGGTGATGAGGGGCGCGATGGCTATAGCCCAGGAGTAGGTTTCTCCCCAACAAAGGCTCAGGGAGGGTTTTCAAGCTCTTTCTACCATGTGCTGTCCTGCAGATACCGCCCGATCTAGGGGCTAGTAGTGGTCAAGCAACAGCATCGTTCGATCGAGTCTTTGGGTTGATGTTTTGGCGAAATGTTGGATCACGAAGGTAAGAAGAGAAAGCTGTAAAGTTATATATATTCAAGCGCTGGTTCCTCTTACGGTTTAAAGTCCTGATAAGCGTTCTTTACCCTGAGACATGACCCAGATCCCTGGATGTATGCGAGTCTAGATTTCATTTATATTTGCTTTTCAGCCTGGGTCAATGGTGAAAGCTGTGATGGCTCATGTAGTCCTCGCAATTGCACCGCACGTTATCTTGACGGCGCGGCGAGTGTGACCGCCTTCCCGAGAAAACCGCGCTAAGCCCAGAGTATTCCCTCTGGATGCAACTTGCAGCGGAGCACATGGTCGAATCTTTCCCCCGTGGAGATCGAATCGACCCGGCGTGACATTTCTGCTTGGTTCACCTTTCGTTGTGACCGGCTTCCGCAGGACGATGGTCCTCAAGGTTCATTTATAGCGCTACTAGCACGCCTCAAGACTGCGAAACAGACGGGTAATAAAATGCCGGGCACTTGCGAGGTCTGCGTGTCGGAGCCTTCCAAGTATCGATGCCCGACTTGCGGGCTGATGAGGTATGTGAGCAAATTTCCTCTCTCGCGATGTCTCCAGGCAGCGCAGGATGAAGAAAAATTATGTGATCCCGGACAATCACTTATTGTAGTCTTCTAGTTGCTCCCTCGCATGCACTCAATCACACAAGATCTATTGCGCCCCGAAGGCACTGCCGCCGAAATCGTCGGAAGACCAAGAACCCTCAGCTGCAGCCAATGGAGACCGCCCCGAGGCTGAAATGCCTCAGACGGAGACTGGTCTCGATATCAAGTCCTTAGGCACCTCCAGTCAGCTCAAGGAGCTCCTCGATCGCTTTCCTTCTCTGCGGGATCAGCTGCAGGACATCTACCAGGCTACTTTGGAGGAGGAATGGCAAGAGAATCAACCGTACGTCGGTCGGCACCGGGGCTTTGGGAAAGGTAGAGCGACGCATCGTCATCGCGGGCCGTGGACGCGTGAGAAAGGGTTCAACCGGGGAGTGGGCAAGGTCAGAAAGCTTCGGGAACGATGTGAAGAGGGGGATGAAGTAGGCCAGAAAGCAGAAGGCTATATGCGCTTCATGGCCTTGATCACGGGGAATCAGCTACCTGAGGCTGCATGAGAATGTGCCTGTCTGGTTTTGTTGGTGCGTCTTGCAACGAGAGGCAAGGTGGCAAACTACGCTTCCCACCGGAAAGGTGCCAAGACTGCACGCAGTGCAGGTTTGAGCTTGGCCAGCCGACCAGCTCGATGCTGCTTCACCTAGCAGCCAGCCCGTGTGGGCAAACTCGCTGGAGAAGGCGGTGTTGTCCGACGAGTCACGACAGCAATCCCATCGCAAAAGCTGCGTGTATATAGGTAAACAGTATAGCCTCACTCAAAGGCCACCGCAAAGCAATCGAATTTCAAAACACTAGCCAGGATGACCAAAATGGGGAGATACCACGTGTACTGTCGCGTAGATCTGACTCAGGATGGAGCTACAGGCGATAGTTTGTCGACCAGATAAGCTGTTTTTGCCGCCACGCAGGCCGATCGTCGTGGATGGAGCAGTCAAATGATCATACCCCGTAGGTAATCCAGACTCTGGGGAATACCAGAGGGCCAATGGCTGCTCGTATTGTGCGGATAATCTGGGGTCACCCTACCAATAGCATAATTGGGATTGCCCTGGTCGCCGGTCGCATTTCTAGAGGGTTGAAGATCAGGCTGTCCATGGACATCCATCCCGAGCGATTTACCCGCACGAAAAGTGGGAGCGGGGGAGATCGCTGTGGATGGATTCCTTCTCCGTATTCAACGGAGTGATCGTACTGTAGTCACTACCGCGGTTGTCCATGCCGACCAACTGGGATTCGCCGCAGGTTTAATCTAAAGGAAGGATTTTTTTCTGCTCTTTGGAAATAGATCATGTCACAATTTCTCCAAATGGTGGCTGATTCTTGGCTCGAGTCGCGCACATTGTTGGGAAGTGGTAGTGGTTGTTGTTGGAAAGAGGACCGGAGGAAGATGTGATTGGGATGAATTGGATTGTCGGGGGATGGAAACCAAAGGGAAAGTTCGCAACTTAGGACTTCCCGTAGCTCGCACTCTAACAATGACCTTGACTACCTTGACTACTGCCTTCGTCCGTGACTCTTACTTCCTTTCTCCTCTTTTACCGACACTCAATCCCTCTGTTCTGTTCCCTTAGGTCCGGCCCCCTGTGTGACCAGACAGGATTATTCGGCGATCAAGTACCGAGTGTCCGTCAGTTCATGTCAGTTCATGACTACTAACTTAGTACTATGCCTCGTGTTGCTAATTTTAATTGCAATCCTCCGCAGTAACATTAGTTAGCAAGCAGCTACTTATCTAGCTAACTAGCCAGGTAGGACTAGGCCCCCAGAGGCCTCTCCCTCCCGTCTACGTCTACTGCTCCGTCGGCCCCCAGTTGTCACTCACTACTACTATCAAGTGCTGTACCAGACCACCTAACTACCTAAGGTACTGTGTGCTGTCTATCCGTCTCCTCCGATTCTCGTCTCTCCTCGGTCTTCTTCTTCATCTTTTTTTTCCTTCTCTCCCTCCAGCCTCTTCCCTGCCCTCTCCGATCTAATTGTACTGTACCCATCGCCGACTCGGTACCTCCTCCTTTTTCCTTCTTCTCCCTCTTCCTCTTTCCCCTCCCCCCTCCCTCCTTCTCCTCCTCCTCCTCCGCATCATCCTCAAGAATCTGTTCAATAAATCTCTCGTCAGACTGTGCTACCTCAGTCTGCTTCCCCCTCCTCTCCTGCCCTGGAATTGTGAATCGTATCCAATCCCACGAGGGGGTTCAGCTGGATTACTACCAGTACCCAGGAGGGATCTTGTTACGGCTGCAGAAGAGACCAATCAGAAGCGGAAGAGAAAAAAAAGAACATCGCTCCGGGCCAGACAACGGGCGGCGGAAAAACGACCAAACAAAAGATTCCCTTCCCCTTCGACTGAAACTGGTCCTACGCATTACTCCCCCTCTAAGATCATTTATTTTATTCCATCTATTTTTCGAAAATCTTCCGTTCGATCAATTGATTGCGGTACAAAACGGATTTCAATTGCTGATCCTTCCTCTACCGACCTTGTGCGAGCGACAATGGATGAGCTGCTGTGTCCGCCTCCCTCACTTACCTAGCCGTTGAAACCTCACGCTGTCGCACCTTGTCTGTTTGCTCGATCGGACCCTCATCTGCCCCGCGACCACCCTCTACCCGTTCGCGCACTGTCCTCCCCCCCCCCTTGAACGACCCCTCATGAATTCTCAACTTCCGAATAGAGAGCGAGCGGTATCTAGCGATAGAGTCGAGGCTGCGCCCGTCCCGCAGAGACCGGGGCTCCCCAACCGCACCATCTCCGCTCCCGTTGGGGGCCTATATAAGCTCGATTCGACCAGAATGGCCATGGACTCGGTCAAAACGGAGCGGACTCTGGTGGAGGAAGATGAATCATCGCCCTCGGTGGGAGGGAACAGAACCTCATCCGCTCCCCCGGGTGAAGAAGTGAGCCGGTTCCTTTCACTGTGGTTTTATTTCAAGCTATATCCTTTGGCAAGGTTGTCTGACACTCAATGCCATTGCAGATGAGGCAGCAACTGCCCAACTCAAATGGAGGAAATGGGATTCCGTCAACTCACACCGGCAATGAGGTGAGCCTACCCTACGAATACGTCTTGCGGCATAGCTGACCATAGTCTTTGACGCAGCCCGCCCCGAAACCGAATTTTCCACACGTGAGCATCGCCGTGGTTGGCCCAGACCATGTGGGTAAATCGACTTTCATTGAAAGCGCACTGGATATGAAACACTCGCTCTCATCCCGGGCAACGACAAAAAAGATGTCCCTTGATGGGACGGTTTACCTTGTTCGGTTACTGGAGATTGATACACTGGAGATCTCGATTGGAAGCAATGGTGACATCCAATGGCCAAAATTAGGAGGCGATTCACCTCCTTCCGTGGACGGTGTGCTTGTTCTCCACGACGTCACACAGCCCGGGAGCCTTTCCAACATCAAAGGACTGCTAGGTTTGTTCTCTTGTTCTGAGCTACAAGAGTATCTCGATCGAGGTGGAGATTTGTATGCTAACAATCGTAGCCTCTCTGGACGCCTCATCCATACCTTTTCGACTGGTCGCAAGTAAATGCGACATTCAACCGCCCCATGGTCTACTTGAGCCAGTCTTAGATGGCTATGAGATCCTCCGCACCTCCCCCGATTCGCCACGGTCGCAGAAAATGTGCATCGCTCTGGTTCTGCGATCAGTCATCAGCGAAAGGAATGGTAAGTGTTTCAGTGCAGATATTCTTTTCCTTTCCCCTGAGTCTGGAGTCGAGTCCACATTATTGGCGGCGGTCTTTCACTATAAGTGCTGTCTGTATACCCACGGTGTCTCTGTCTCGCGTGACTCCATGAGTCACCCAAATTATCCACTTTTCTCCTGATTATGTCGGCTGTGGCCCGTCCATAGCAATGGTCCACCTTATGTCGCGCTAGCTCGCGGCTCGGCTGCGCCTAGCGTTCGCGTTCGGACTTCGGAGACCCGCCCGTCCCCAGAATGCAGGCGCAGCAGCAACAGCGCCACCCCGATTTCCCTTTGAATCTTCCGACTGGCCTAGAACCTTCTGTGTCGATGCTAACTGCGGCTTGTAGCTGACGAGCACTCTTCTGACAAGACGGTCACACCGGGCTGGCGTCATAGCCGTGCCAACTCAGAAAACCCCACAGCCATGTTCTCGGGGGCCGCAGGCGGCCCAATAACAGGAGCTCTGGACTCGGGGATCGATGGGTACGGTGTAGATCGTCAACTGACCGACTCAACCGCCTCTAATGGCCAGGGCCCACGCTATGCCCGAAGCAATTCTCAACCTCTACGACCTCACACGCCTCCCTCGGGACGACTCAACCAGCGCAAGCAATCCATCCCGGGAGAGTCATCGCCCGGCAAGGACTTTAACCGACAACATCGACTTCATGCCGCCTGGCGCAACAGTGGCGGATCGGACGCTTTCAGTAGCTTCATCGAAATGGGGGAAGAGATAGACGGGCCCCGAAGTATTCCTTCGAGTCCTGGAAGCAAAGACAAAACACCGAGTGAGAGCTCTTCCAATGAGAACGGCTTCACTTTCGAGGAGCTGGTAGACCGGCTGGTCGCACAGCCGATGTCGAAGCATGACTCCAAGTTTGCATCCATCTTCCTGTGCTTGTACCGCAAATTCGCCGCCCCTTCCTCCTTATTGACCGCCTTGATCAACCGGTTTGAGCGAAACGAGCGAGAGATTTCGGATCAGCTTACGCGCATTGCCGATCAATTGAGACTGCTAACCGTCATGGCTCAGTGGGTGTCGGAGTACCCGGGTGACCTGGTTTATCCCAAAACGCAGAAACGGATTGCCGAGTTTGTTGCCAACCTCGAGAAAAGCCATTTCTACATGTTTGCTGCCAAAGAGATTGGGTCTTATCTTGAGGCCAACGCGGAAGATGATAATATCGGGTGGCCGTTCAGAGATGGCGAGGTCGAAGAGGTCGAAGCAACCGAGCCCGCTTTTCAGTATTCGGGTCGAAGCTCCCCGTCGATCTTCCTCGGACCCCCTCCGCTGAGCGATGTGGGTGATGAAGAGGAAGAGGATCCTATCTACAGTATGAGTGCGTTGGACCTCAGTGAGGGCGCACTTGAGTCAGGGTCGAGGATGTCTGCGTCCATGTCGAATTCTTTCACCGCCGAAAAGCCCGGGACTGTGGCAAGTCAGTCGTTTACGGCCCTGAACATCGACTCGGCCCAGAAGGAGGCTCGGCACTTAGATTTGACACCCCGCGTGCCGTTGACGAAGGTGCAATGGCGACAATTCATGGAAATTCCTGATGAAGATTTTGCTCGTGAATTGACGCGCATTGATTGGATTATGTTCAACTCCTTCCGACCACGAGACCTCGTCCGTCATGTTAGCATCACCGGTGCCGACAAGGACAAAATCCACAGCCTGAAGAACGTCAATCGAATGATCAAACAGTTTAACCACGTGGCATGCTTCGTTGCGAGCGTCATTCTCCTCCGGGACAAGCCTAAACACCGGGCCAAGGCGCTGGAGAAGTTCATGAACATCGCATTTGTAAGTTCTGGGGAGTGTGCCTTGTTTGTGTGCTGCAACTAATCCTAGTGGGTAGAAACTCCGACGACTGAACAATTATAACTCCCTTGGGGCTGTCATTGCCGGGATCAATGGAACCCCGGTACACCGACTCTCGCAGACTCGGGAGTTGGTGCCGACGCAAACGCAAAAGGACTTCATGAGGCTGGTCATCCTCATGGGAACACAGAAGAGCCACTTCGCCTACCGCCTGGCATGGGACAACTCATTCGCAGAGCGAATCCCGTTCCTGCCGTTGCACCGACGTGATCTGGTTTCGGCGGAGGAAGGAAACAAGACATTTGTGGGTGATATGAAGACCCGAATCAATTGGCGCAAGTTCGAGGTGATGGGCGAAGTGGTGCTGGGGATCCAACGGAGCCAAAAGACACCCTATCCACACCTGGCGCGATTTGACGAAGTGACGCGGCTGATTTTAGACATCAAGCTGTCTGGTGATGACGAGGTATGTTTTTTGCCAGCGTTTCAAAACAGAGAGGATCTGACAGAAAACAGGATTTGTATACACGCAGTATGCAGGTCGAGCCCTCCGCTGGCGGTGACACCGGACGGAAGAAGTTTGGCTGGTTGCGGTCCTAATGGGACGCGAGAGCGTATAATGACCACTACGGAGATACAGCATGCGCAAGAGTGCAGGCTGACGAGGACCATGAATGTTACGATCGTCGGTTTGATGATGTACATACATACAACATACATACACACATACATACATACACTTTATTGTAAGATACCATGTAGTCAGTATACCCTGTTACTTGATAGCCAGGCCAGCTATTTTCGAACCACGTTTTTAACTAGGTAGGGTCCAGTATAATTGATCCGGGGGGACGAATTGATCACGTGAAGCTGACCGGCCCGAACCTCGCCCTCCGATAACAACCTCCGCAGAGATAGAACAGGTTCAGAATCATACCTCTCTCCAAAGAACCACAGCATCCACCTCCTTTCCTGTTTGCTGAACACCTCAAAACAAATCTCAACCCATTCACTCACCACCAACAAACCCACAAGAACACACCACCAAAAACCACACCCAACCCAACCCCCCTCTTCAAAAAAAAATGTCCGCCTCCGTAAAAACCACCTACCGCGCCCTCCTCCGCGAACTGCCCCGACGCAGCCTGAACACACCGACCCCGCTGCACGCGAGCATCCGCAAACTCTACGAAGAGCAGGTGGTGTCTGCACCGAAGATCAGAACAAGTGGGGGCAGCGCTGCCGCCGCCGCCGCCGACGCCGCGCAGGACACGCTCGCCCACCGCCTGCAAGAGGCGGAGCAGTTCGCGCAGTACGCCCGCGCGCAGCGGCAGTACGCCGAGCTGGTGGAGCGGTATAACCCTGGCAGCTGGTTGGATGAGGAGGAGCGGATTCGGTTGACGGCGAGGCGGGTGGGGTTGGATTTGCCGGTTGAGGGGAAGGGGGCTGAGGAGTGATTTCGGTGTCTTTTTGTCAAGGAAGGGGGGGGTAGGGGGGAGGGCGCCATTGGAAACTTGGGGAGTTGGGGAGAGGGGTGAGGTTGCGGGATTAGGGTATGTTATGTGGATGGGGGTAGAGGGGATTGTATATTATGTGGTTTTGCATGTGGGTTTGGAGTTTCGGCAGGGTTTAATTTCGTTTTATTTCTTGTTCTATACTATTCATTCGGGAGGTAGTTTGTGTGTGGGTGGTGGCAGTGTTGGAATGATAATTATCACATCATGTGTAGAGTGTATGTACTGGTATATGAGTTGCCTGTGGCTCTATCTTGCATGTCTGGGTAGCAGGCCTTTGCTGCATCAGCTGGGATCCTTTGGCGGGATGCGTGACTGTCCTGTGATGTGGATCAGGTGTTGGTCAGTCTATATTCATAGACCCAGGCATCAGTTTAGGCCTCCTTGTCTTCATGTCTCGTCTCTCGTGCCTCATGACTCGGTGGTCTTGTCTGGTCTCGACCACACTTCACTGACCTCACCCTCCCAGCTCGACCTTCTCCATCTGTCGCCGCAGCGTCGAGCTGCTCTCCTCCTCCTCCAAGCCCATCTCCATCTCAATCGCCGTGCGCGGCCGGTTCTTGTTCAGCCCCTCGAGCAAGGTGCACGCCTTGCACACCCGCTGACTGGAGATATACCCGCAGCGCTCACACTTGCCCAGGACCTGCGACTTGACCGCGGCCTTTTTCCGGTCGGCCTGCTTCTTCGGGAGCGACGACAGCGTCACCTCCGTCTCACGTTCGGCCGCGACCTCATCCTCAGCCAACTTCCTCTCCATCTCCGCCATCTCGCCGCCGCGAGTCCGCCCGCTCCCACCGCCGCCCTGGCTCCCGCACCCGGTCGTCTCCGCCGCCTCCTCATCGGCGGCCGCCCCGCCCCTCACCTCCGCGGGCACCAACTCCGCCATCTCCTCGCCACTGCGCACGATATCCAGAATCGAGCTCGGCCTGATCTTCTCCAAATCCTTAATCAACGTGCGGGCACTGCCCCGAAACGCCTCAGGCGAGTAAATGCACTCAGTACTGAAATAATCCAACTGCATGTGGTGGGCATACAGCACGATCTCCTTCTCGTAAGCATACTTAAGCGGCTTGCTGCGCTTGATATCACTCGCCGCGGAGCCGGTCACGATACTGGTGCCCCTCGCCAGACGCGGCAGATCGCCGCGCAGCAGGTTCATCATGACCGTCTCGGCGACGTCGTCGGCATTGTGGCCGGTCACCACGTGCTGAATGCCCAACCGCTCGGCGCCGCGGTCCAGCGCCTGCCGCCGGAACACGCCGCAGTACGTGCAGTTGCCCTTCTTGCCGACCTGCGCCACCACCTGGTCCATCGTCCAGCCGTACAGCTCCCCGTACCCCAAAATCACGAGCGGCATGGCGTACTGCGTCGCGTTGCGCTTGACCGTCTCCAGGCTGTCGTCGCGGTAGCCCTTGATGCCCTCGTCGATCGAGAGCAGCGTCAGCTGCAGCCCGTAGTCGTACCGCTCGTTCAGCGTCTTCAGCACCGACGCCAGCACCGTGCTGTCCTTGCCGCCGCTGGCCCCGATCGCCACCCGCTCCCCGCGCTGGAACAGCCGCGTCGCCGTGATCGTCTCGTGGATCTCCGTCTCGAATACCCTCAGAAAACAGCCCCGGCACAGCCGCTGTCGGTTCTTCGGCCGGATGATCACCGCCCGGTCGGCGTGGCAGATTGCGCACGGCGTGGGGGGCATTGTTGGTGGTGTTTCTCTTGCGCTGAGAGGGTTGTTGTGCGTGAAGGGCGAAGGATGGAGGGTGAAAGGGTTTGCAGGAGGAATCGGGTTGGTTTGGTCGAGTTGATCGGAGGGGTAAGAGTAGGAGGCAATTTTCTTGGAGGAGCGCGGGTTGGCTTTGAGGGATGGAATTTCTTATCGATAAGACGGGGAGGAAACGCTGGGTGGGTGGGGATTAGTCATGTGCTTTTTCTCCGGTTTGATTTGTTTGGTCGTTTGGTGGTTTTGGTTGTTTACTGAGCGTGCACAGCAGCCATGCAATGGCCCTGCTTCCAAGACACAATATCCAGATCTGATCATGCATTAATAAGTATACCCTGTAAGAATCATCTATAGGCAGAGTCCAAAACCGAGCCACCGAGAAAAAAAAAAGTGCCCGCCGAAAGTCTAGTCTAATCTAGGACACACATGTCCCCATAGTATACACCATTTTCTGCTTTCATCTTTCATCTTACATTCCCTCTATTGTATCTCCCAGGGAAAACGGTTACATCTTCCCCTTCAGCGCGTTGGAGATCATCTCCCGCCCCGTGATGCGCGAGGTGGCCCACAGCGTCGGGAAGTCCAGCGTGCTGGAGAAGGTGTCGGCGTACCCGAAGAACAGCATGGGCGGGATCCAGCCCCGGGCGTACTCGAGCGCGAAGCACGAGGCGTCCATCTTGTACTGCTTGACCTCGCCGCGGCGCAGGTGGTGCACGCTGCCCTGCGGGTAGACCTCGGGCTCGTAGGCGCCCGGCACGTACGCCAGCTGGGTGCCCTGCAGGATGTTGAAGTAGTCGTCCGCCGTGTGGCGGCCGGTGTGACCTTCGGTGCCGATGGCGGTTCCTATTGGAGGAGGGTGGTTAGTTTTATGGTGGTGGTGGTGGTGATGAGGTTTATGAGGTTGGCTGGTTTGATATAGGGGAGTGGGGAAGGGGAAGTCAGTGGGTGGGAAGTTTACCGAAAATGATCAGGTACTCCGTGATACCTATGAATTATAAATAGGTTAGCGGGATCAATGGTGAGTATAGAGTAGATTGGGAGTCAGTAAGGAAAAAAACAACGCACTAGCGTGGATGATGTACATGGCGCCCATGGCACCGCCGGCATTGTTGAACACCCATTCCTCGTCGTGGTTGATATGGGTGCTGGGGACCTTCTCGTCCAGCTCGGCCACAATGTAGTTCACAACGGAGCGGGTGTCGTTGCCGTGGGCGGCGATGGCGCGCTGGGAGAGGTCGTGCAGGTGGTCGGGGTCGAAGATGTAGAATTGCTCCAGTCGGGCGTTCAGGTAGTTGTACAGGCCGGAGAAGAGGGCCAGGAGGGCCACGGCGATGCTGATGGCGCGCATGGCTGTGAGAGAGGATATTGCCTGGCCAGGTGGAGACGGCGAGAAAGACAGGGTATAGTGGAAACAGAAGAATAGGGAGGTGTTCAGTAAGGTAACCTCGAGTGACAACAGCAGCTCTGGATGGTGTTGAATGGGCCGATGGATTGTTTTTCTTTTCCGAGCCTCGTAAAATCCCTAATCGGGTTTAGTGGTGGTGAGATGAAGCTGGGGATGCTCGGCTTAGTAATCCCGTGCCAGTCCGTAAGGAGAACCTTGCAGCCTGAACTACTAGGTACTGTTAATCTACTCTAAGGCAACCACCAAGAAACATACGGAATATTCATCCAGGATGCCAACGCGAGCATACCGTTCTACTCTTTGTTCCTTCTCAATCTCTCATGTCGAAACCACGGGCAGTCTGGATGCCAGTGGATACAAGCTCTAGACCCAGTTGCTCCGTTTATTTAGGGTCCGATTTAGTCTCGGTTCTTTGCTCCCACCGAACTCGAGGTGGAGATTGAAGGATATTAATGCATGTGCGCTGAGCCCCTGAATCCACGCCGCTGGCCAGTCGCTAAGCACTCGGCTCAGCCAACATGGTTGCAATAGAGTAGTAAGTTAGAGGCAAACTGCCGCTAGAAGACTTGACAGTTTGCAGCTAGTAAGCCCAGGATTCTTGTCCTGTACGTAGTCAGGTTGCTATGCTGTGTTACTGCGTCTCTTCTGCACGTAACCACATGGGCGGCGGATATATGTTTCGTTGAAGTGCAACAGTGCCAGGGTCAATTCAGCGCTGTCCCCCGATATACTAGCGTAACGACCAGACCAAACCCACCCGGCATCATGGAGGCGTCTTCGAAGCGTCTTCCACGGCTGTACCTCGGCCGCTCCATCAATGCTTAGCCCGCAGCCATCATGAGACAGGGGACCGTTAGTCTCTCTCCCAAGACTCCAAGAGTCGAGGAAAAAATCTTGTCCACTGCCAATTAAACTATACGTCAACTCGGAACCTTGTTTGATGCGGCCGACCTGGTATCAATCGCAGCAGTTATAGCCTCCGCGACGACATGTCTGATCTCTCCATGATTTGCAGAGCTGTCTCGATGTGCTGATCGCAGGCTACAATCCAACCTCGTGCACGTGCAAAAATCCTCTCTCCTCATCTATTCTCTCGATCCCCATCGTGGATACTATATGATATGAGCATTAATTTATTCCCCTCTCTTCCGGTTTTTCCGTCCATAAAAATAGCCCAAGTCGAGGTCGGGCCTTCGATCGCCTCCATTACGCCCCGTTTTGACGAGGGCGGAATTGGTTCCCAGATCATTCCCAGATAATTTATCCGTCTTCTCCCCTTATCGCATTCGAAACGGCCCAGGGAAATGAAAGGTGACGAATCCACCGACTCCCCTGGTCTAAACCCCTCTTGACTGGATATGTCGAACGTTGTCCGCTCCTCTGCACGGAGCATCCCGTGGAACCGTTTCAAATGAAGAAATAGCCCGGTGTTCGACCCTATCGGTCTTCTCCCTCGTGGTCCACCGGCTCCAGCGGGGACGGAGAATCCAGAAGGCTTCGCTCATGCTGACTGCTCAGGTCTCATTCCCCTTCCAAGATGGAGCAAGTTGGAGGGACTAATCCACCCCGTTGTTTCTGCTTGATTGAGGCCAAAGCCACAGCTCAGACGAACAGGCTTCTCAGCAAACCCCATCCAGGATTCGTGCCATGTGGGATGCTTATTTAAAGTGAGCTCGTCGACCTGCCATCATGTCAGATTTCTTCCCTACCAGCATCATTCATTTGTGGACAGTGGACGTTGATCGCACATTGAACCAACCCCAGCCGACCGATTGTCCTTCCTTACCTCACCATCATTTAACATCTTTTCACCATGAAGCTTTCCCTTCTCTCCCTTGCCACCCTGGCTTCCGCTGCCAGCCTCCAGCGCCGCAGCGACTTCTGCGGTCAGTGGGATACCGCCACCGCCGGTGACTTCACCCTGTACAACGATCTTTGGGGCGAGAGCGCCGGCACCGGCTCCCAGTGCACTGGAGTCGACTCCTACAGCGGCGACACCATCGCTTGGCACACCAGCTGGTCCTGGTCCGGAGGTAGCAGCAGCGTCAAGAGCTATGCCAACGCCGCTCTGACCTTCACCCCCACCCAGCTGAACTGCATCTCCAGCATTCCTACCACCTGGAAGTGGTCGTAAGTGGCTTGCTTTGTACCGAGCGGGGGAGAGACGCAACTGACCCGAATGGATAGATACTCCGGCTCGAGCATCGTTGCCGACGTCGCTTACGACACATTCCTGGCCGAAACCGCCAGCGGCTCGTCCAAGTACGAGATCATGGTCTGGCTCGCGGCCTTGGGCGGTGCTGGCCCCATCTCGTCGACCGGATCGACCATCGCCACCCCGACGATTGCCGGCGTCAACTGGAAGCTGTACTCCGGCCCCAACGGTGACACCACCGTCTACAGCTTCGTCGCTGACTCGACCACCGAGAGCTTCTCCGGTGACCTGAACGACTTCTTCACCTACCTGGTTGACAACGAGGGCGTGTCGGATGAGCTGTACCTGACCACCCTCGAGGCGGGTACCGAGCCCTTCACTGGCTCCAACGCCAAGTTGACCGTCTCCGAGTACAGCATCTCCATTGAGTAAATCAAACGTTGAGTGTTACGGATGGCCGACCGTGTTGCGTGGACGGAGGCCTGACGGGAGACGGGTGGGGATGGTGGTGGGAGAGAATGTAGGCGCCGTGTTTCAGTCCCTAGGCAGGATACCGGAAAACCGTGTGGTAGGAGGTTTATAGGTTTCCAGGAGACGCTGTATAGGGATAAATGAGACTGAACGGTGGCTACACTCAAACCAACCAGATCCTGTACATACAATGCATATACAATTATACCTACCAACATACATACAACTATGGTCCAAATATATCTACAAGTCTACTAGTTACTACTTGGGCGGTTGGATTGAGTGTCATTGCTTCGATGTTTCAATTCTTCAACATCATCTAATTATAACTAACTTGCATCTGGCATGGCGATAAGAATAGCAGCATCAGACATCGGGCGGGCGCTTAAGTACGGCAGGGGCAGGTGCAGGTGCAGCAACTAACTAATTAGTGCAGCCGACGGCGTCATTTGGATCGTAGCTAGTAATTGAGTACCTAGGTACTGTACGTACTTTCTTACCTAGTACCAAACTTATCTATCTCAGCTACTCCGTACACTTCAAGACACTTCCGCTCCTGGTAATGGACGGACAACCCTGAGCTCATTGGAATGACAGCCCTTCGTTGGCGCTCCTGTCTAGGCCATTCCCGACATTACCTAGGTATCAAGTACTCGAGTCTTCGACTGTCCACCAGTCAGTCGGATCTTTACGCGTGCCAGGATCGTGGCGTCGACGCGCTGACCTGCCTACCCTTGATTCCTGCATCTCGTGGCTGCTCCAATCATTGCCGCATTTCAGGCTCGCGCGCGCCAAACCCCCGACGATCGGCCCTGCGTGAGCCATGCAGCCCATCATGGATGACCATTCAACACTCTGTTGCAGGAGAAGAAATCAGTCATTCATCCACTCATCCCATTTCCCCCTCATGCATACTCTGCGCGTCGCCGTCCTTGCAGCGCCAGCCTTTTTTTTCGTTGCGCGCATACTCTGTCTCCTCTCCTCAACTAAACCCACCCACCCCCTCTTCTATCCTGCACCACCACCCTAGGGCTTTTCCTTATATCAAGCCCTCTTCGCTGGACGGTTCAAGGTGCTCTCTTTTTTCGATATCGTCAACAGTTCCATTCCTTTTTTCCAACCGGGGTTTCACCACTACTACCTAAATTAATCTCATCGTCTCAGTCGGTCTCTCTCTTTTACACTTTTCCTCCAAATACTTCCGGCATCCACTTGGTGTCTCAAAGCGTGTCTCAGTCCCGGTCACCCATCGCACCCCCATAGCGATCGCTCCCCAACTACAGTTGACGCGACAACCACGCATTCCTCTCCTGCCGGCAGGACTGACGTACATTCATTCAACTACTCTAATATATCCTCGACCATATCCGAGTCGACTGTATTGCTTGCCACACCAAATAGTGTTCCTGTTTCTCTCCCTTTCCTCTGCTCTGCACGGTCTTCTCCACGATGACCGCTCATCCCTACCTAGCCTACTCCAACAGCACCCCCAACATGGTTTCCGCTGCAGCGACGACGACCACGAGCACGACCGTGGATCTCAATCGGGCAGCTCTACATGAATTCATCATGCAGCCGGTGTCGCGGGGGATGGTTGCGCACTTGGCCGAGCAGGCCTCCCAGGTCATCCGCTGCGAACCGCATGTGACGGCACAACATGCCCACGGACAGCCGACACCTCCCAGCACACCTCCCATGGATGCGACTTTACCACCACTCCCCTCAGTAGAGACGTTCATTGCTTCCCTGGTTGCTCGATCACAGGTTCAGGTGCCCACCTTGATGACCTCGCTGGTCTATCTGGCCCGACTGCGGTCCCGCTTGCCTCCAGTGGCCAAGGGCATGCGTTGTACCGTTCATCGCATCTTCCTCGCTTCGCTCATCCTTGCAGCCAAGAATCTGAACGACTCAAGCCCCAAGAACAAGCACTGGGCCCGGTACACGGCCGTCAAGGGCTACGACGGATTCGCGTTCCCTCTGCCCGAGGTCAACCTCATGGAGCGCCAGCTCCTGTTCCTGCTTGACTGGGACACTCGGGTTACTGAAGCCGACCTGCTGCAGCACCTAGAGCCATTCCTGGCCCCGATCCGCAGTCGCTACCAGCAACAGCAGCAGCAACAGCAACAGCGCGAAGTTGAGCGTCGCCAGTCCCGAGATTGGCGTCGCTTCCACTCCTCCACGGATTTGCTGACTTCCCGCCTGCGCCGTCAGAAATTGGATGCTCGTCGACAAGTGGTGGATTCCGCCTATCAGCAATCCGAGCGACGGATGATGGCAGCCAGCCCGGCCTCATCGGTGTCTCTGTCATCCCTGTCTTCTGCATCGTCCGTTGCAAGCTCACAGAGCGCCTCTCCCGCCCCCTCGCTAATTGATGCTGCGGCCGACCGGTATCACCCATACCCGACTGGCCGCCGGCGTCCTCTATCCCGTGGTCGGATGTCGGGCTCTCCTCCGGGCGTGCAGGATGTGCCCGGATTGTCACGAGCCGATACTGCGGCTTCTTTGAGCTCGCGGGCGTCCAGCCTGTCCTCCAGTTCACGCGCTGTCACTCCTGCAAGTCTCCGGAATTCCAGCTCGATCACCAGCTTTGAAGAGGTCGCGTCCGTCCGCGTGCTGGACGGTGGCCGCAGCCCGTCATCATTTGTTGGTGACGGGTTGCCACTCGAGGAGTGCCTGCCGCCCGCGCAGCCCAGCAAGAAGATGCGTCTCGGCTATTCTGGACACGCAGCTCATCCCCACGGCCCCGCCCACCCGGTCGCCGCTGGCGGTCATGGGTTCGTGGCCCGCTTTCTCGCCACGGCCGCGGGGTCGTACATGGGCGGTCGTCGACACTAAACTTAGATCTCATCGAGCTGGTCTCGATGGTTCCTCCTACTCTGTTACATGATGATGTCTTAATGTTTTGTTCCGATCATTGATTTGCGAAAAGCACTTGGGGGGGTTGCTCACCTGCCCCTGTTACGAACGATCTTTCAATACCCTGACACTCTTTACCTTTCTGCATTCCGCTGGCGTTGATCGTGTTCCTGTTCATGGAAGTTGTATTGCTTTTTGGGCAAGAGGTTCTGGCAATTATTTTTGGGGTATGTATCTTGGCATTTGGTGTTTCAGAATGGATATGCAGGGCTGGATGGATATATACTCTGATTGAATCAGTTATGGAGTGAGTAGTTTAATTTGACCGTATACTTAGCTATTTAGTCACGAATATAATGGACAACTAGGTTGGATCCATGAGAAATAATGAAATCCCCGAAAGCGGCTATTTGTGGCTGTTCCTGTTTGGGCAACTCGTACTTTTCCCCCCCAAGTTGCCCTCGCCAAGGCACTTCAACCATGGAGGGTGACCGGAAATAGCACAGCGCGGGCCAATGAACACGGGCCCGACCGAGACCAGCCAAGAGACCCGGGGTCGGATCGGCTTGGCGGGCACTCGGAGATGTCTTCCTCATGAGATAACAATCCGGCGGTTGTCCCTTCCCCGTCAGCCACTTTTTGTGACCATTTGATCAGAAAAAAGCAGAAGATAGGGTCAATCGAAATGACAATCTATCTTATAATCTAATTTTCTAGTCTACTCAGTATTGACCTTTGAACTTCGATGTCTCCACGCTCGAGCCCTTCTCGGATCGGCTTGACACACGCCAATCACCGAAGCCGGAGGTGGAGCGCCGAGCAGCTGGGCTGGCGTCATCGCCTCCAGGCTGCGTCCGCCGAGCCCAAAGGGCTGACCCAATCCAACGAGTCTGCTTCCGGCCCGGTGTCAACATGCTTTGATTATCATCTTCCTTCTCCCCTCCCCCTCCCTCCACTTCCCATCCTTCGCATATCCCCCCCCTACCATAATCCCTGCAAACTATTTACTTCATCCATAACTATAGGCCCAACTCTTTATCTCTCTTTCTACTTTCTCCAACTTCCCCTCGTCCCCCTCTATCCTTCTCCTTCCTTCCTTTGTTCTCGCTTTCTCGACCGAAGACGCCTTATCTAATCAGACAACATTCTTGACTCACACTCACTATGCCCCTCACCATCCTCTCCCAAGAGCAACTCCGTTCTCTCCTCCTCTCGCTCTCCCGCGATCAGATTGTCTCCCTCCAGGAGAACCTTGCCCGTGCGCTTCGTGACTATTCGACCGGCAGTCAAGAGAAAGGGTGTGCCGCCACTTACCAACCTCAACGCACGGCTATCACTCGGCCCGATGGCTGCACCACCGTGTTCATGCCCGCAAGCACGGGCCCCACGCTAGGAATGAAGGTGATTTCGCTACAAGACAAGAATTCCCAGGTGGGCTGTACTGTCGATGCTGCCTCGAAGATTTCCCCGAGCGACCGAACCGGCGTTTCTCAAATCGACAAGCGCAAATCCATGGCCTCGATTGCCTCCGACGTCAGCGAACTCTCCCTCTCCTCGCAAGAAGGCACCTCAACCAGCAACTCCCTGACCATGACGAGCAGTGGTGGCAGTGGCAGTGGCAGTAGCAGCAGCAAGTCGCTGGCGGCGGGCTGCGTCAACCAACAACCGGTCGCAGGCGGCTTATCGAAGACGATGGGGGCCTGGCCCAGTGCTGGCAGTCGGGATACCTCGCCCCAGGGAAGCGTCACGCTGCTGGACGGCAACAGCCTGCCCTTCGGATTGATCAACGCACACGAATTGACGCCCTTCCGGACCGCTCTGACCTCCCTCATGACGCTCAACAAGCGCAAGCGGGTGCGGACCATTGTGGTGTTCGGGGCGGGGAAGCAGGCATACTGGCACATCCGGCTAGCGCTGGTCCTCCGTAGCGCGGACGTCAAGCGGGTCTACATCATCAACCGATCGTTTGACCGAGCGGCGCAGTTGCTCCGGGACATCTACTCCCCGGAGAACTCGAGCTGGCGCGGGGACGTGAAATTCTCCGCCGTCAGCTCCGACTTTGTGGAGTATCCCCGCATCCTGCATGACGCGTTGCGGAAAGCCGACGCGATCTTCTGCTGCACCCCGGCCGTTGATCCGCTGTTCCCCGCCGAGATTTTGACGGCCCGTGAAGGCCGCCAGAAGGGTCGGCTGATCAGCGCGATTGGATCGTACAAACCACACATGACGGAACTCCCACCGGATCTGCTCCGCGACGAAGTGAGCGTGCACACTCCGGGCCATCGTCACTTCCACAAGCACATCAAGCGCAGCGGCGTAGTGGTGGTGGACAGTCTTGACGCCGCCCTCAAGGAGGCAGGCGAGATTGTCCAAGCGGGGATCAAGCCGCACCAGGTGGTCGAACTGGGCGAACTGTTGATTGTGCGCGAATCCTCGCATGGGGACGCTGACAGTGACGATCACAAGAGTCTGCGCGAGTGGGTAGAACGGGGCAATGTGATTTTCAAGAGCGTGGGGATGGGATTGATGGACTTGGTGACTGGCGGAGATTTGATCCAATTGGCACGTGAGAAGAATATTGGTACGACGATTGCGGAATTCTAGCGAAATGATATCCAATGATGACTTGGTTTGCTGTTTGTTTATTTTCCATTGTTTTTTTTTTTTTTTTTTTTTTTTTGTCTTTCTTAAGTTAGCTGTCTTGAGTCAGCCTGGAAAGTTACTACTTTGGTTCGGCATCGGTGACCTTGACTCCTCCGAAGGTGTTCGGGACTTATACTTCTTGGGCATTACTTTGCGAGACCTTGGTCTTGTCTCCCCTTCTCTGTTTCATATCATTAATTAGTAGGTAGCGATTATACTTTCATGCTGACAATACCATGTGTTCTACTGGCCAGTTCCTTGCAGAGCAGACTTTTTTAGGCTCTTTAGGCTCTTTACAGGGCAATACTCGAGTGAAGCACTGATATCCAGACAGAGAGTGGATAGATGGAGGAGAAGATTGGTAATGCGCTGCTTGTCATACGGCGGGAGGGCGACACAGACCTCCATTTGGCTGGTCAATGCGGTTAGAGCCGTAATTTTGGAGCCGTGGGCGGTAATTTGGAACGAAGGCTGTAATCCCGCTGATGACATCAACCAACCTCGTCGTTTCTTATCGTCTCAACTCTTTCTCCGCGAGACATCCTCTCTCTTTCCCTCTCTTCGCCCTTTCCGGCTTCAATTCATCGTCACAACTCGACTTGATCCTTCACTGCCGTATATTCTAATGCACGGCGTATTCTCTCCAGGCTGGACCATGTCGCAGAGCGATTGCCAGCAACCCTGATTGGGAATCGCAGTGTTGGGGCCAAGACACGACTGCGAGGCTGATAGCGGCCGTTCACCGACGGCGCGATCGCCAGCGGGGGGAGAGGAGGGGCAGCGACGCATCATCCCACCGTCTGTCCGCCTTAGTTTCCCCTCAGTCTCGTGCTTGTATTTTATTTACTTTTTAAAAATCCCCTTCCTTCTCGTTCCTTATTTATTGACTCATATCTTCTTCATCCCACTGTATGTAGGTCGCTGTTTCCTACGGGCTTTGGCTTTTCGGCTTTTCAAGATGCGCAATCGCATGTGCCACCTGCCCAACGGGCAGACCTTCACCGTGTCACCCGTCTTTGGCGGGGTTAGCTTCAAGTCGAACGATGGTCAACAAAACCACCATGTGGTTCTCCCCGGTTGGAGCATCGTTCTGAATACCAGCAAACCCGTTGAGAATGCTGATTCAACAATGACCGATGGATCGGAGGAGCATCGCGGCCGGGATCGACAATCGCCAGAGGAGCTGGTGAACACCCGATTTACTACCCCTACCCTGCGCAATGACTCGCTCTACATCTCATACATTGTCGATCCGCCCAGCAGCGAGTACAAGCCGGTCAGCTCACCCACGCGCCAGATCGCAATGATGCTCTGGGTGACGCTCTGGTGGTACTTCCACGAACCCGAGCCCGAGCGTTACTTGACCACCGAGGCCAGCGCCAAAACTCCCACCACGGGCCGGCCCCAGGGCGACTGGCGTATCTCCATCCGGCGCGAAGGGTTTTTCAAGGGTCGCACATTGCTGCAGAAGCTCGAGCGCATGGGTCTGATCGCCTCGGAGGACTCCTCGGTCGGGACCGAACCCTACAACCCCGAGGCGTGGGCGCGCATGTTCGTGAGCCGTCGCAGCTTCTGGCAGATTGATCCCAGGCTGTTCGTGTTCACTCTGACCCCCCAGATGAATATCCCGCCGGCGATATCGGGCTCGCCCTTCATCCAGCGGGTCGCATCGCCGTCGCGCGCGAGTATGTACCTCAATAATCCGGCTGGGCAGGAGACCGCCCACTATACCCCGAACGAAGGGCCGTTCGCTTCGACCAGCCATCTCCCCACCTACTTCCCCCCAGCCCCGACACAGTATACCTTCACCAATGGGATCCGCCATCCGATCCGTCCCAAACCCCCGCACCAAGGGGATGTGTTCTATATTCGCTACATTCCCAGCCTGCAACAGTACCTGTCCTTCCGCGTACCGTACTTGGGAAGCTCCGCGACCGAACAATTCGGGGCCAAGCACGCTCACACTTCATCTAACAGTAGCATCGAACAACCGGTGACCCCTGTACCAGGGCCTTCCGATGTCGAATTGCTGCACAAATGGATGAACGAGCCGCGAGTCAACGTCGCTTGGGGCGAGGCAGGCCCAGTCAGTCACCAAGAGGAGTTTCTGCGCAACAATCTCCGAAGTCGTCACAGTTTCCCCGTCATTGGTTGCTGGGACGGTAAGCCGTTCGGCTACTTCGAGATCTACTGGGTCAAGGAAGACCGGCTGGGGTCGTTGGCCCCGGGGGGTGTGGACAACTATGATCGGGGTCTACATGTGTTGGTGGGTGAACAGGAGTTTCGCGGGCCGCATCGTGTAGCCGTCTGGTTGAGTGCCTTGGTGCATTATTGCTTCTTGGCCGATCCCCGGACGCAGACAGTGATGTTGGAGCCTAGAGTGGACAATGAAAAGTAGGGGTTCCATCGCCTGCTTCACAGAGGCATTAAGCTAACATGATTGATATAGGCTGATCGGATACCTACACCGAGCGGGCTTCTACAAGGAAGGGGAGGTGACGTTCCCGCACAAGCAGTCTGCTTTGATGAAGATCAAGCGGGACGCATGGGAGAGTCCTGCTACCTAGCAATGTGCTTCATGATGGATGCGATCTCGAAAAGGAAACGATACACGAGGAGAGTTCTCCACGATACCTGATCAATGTCTACGACAAGGTAGATTTTGCCTACCTATTTACGACCTACCTAGCTACCTAGTAATGAAACCGGGAACGCGAGAGCATAACGAACGCGATATTTCCATGGGATGTAGACATACCGCTGCCTTTCTACCCTCGTGGGCCGTGACTAGTCTGCGACTTCTTGACCGACTAAGCTTTCACCGATTGCCCATCATTGATTAGGGCTCCACTCTTGAACGTCTCCCAGTCTCCGACCCAAATAGAACCCAGAGTATCAGTTCCTTATCATGACAGGACATCTGCACAGACCGACACGGCAACTGAAAGTTTACAGAGAAACTAGCTGCATGGCCATCACGGCCAGTCAGTTCTCCGCTCACGCGCGGGATGTGACTAGCTGGTCACTAAATGTGCCGGGGCCTGCAGGGCGGGCGCGTATGCGGCCAACGATAGCGGGGGATTGCCCTCATCCCCATCACCATCACCACTTGGCACTGCTCCTCCTCCTCCAATTCTTCACGCCATCACATCCAATCACTCGGGACGGTCTTTTGATAAAGGGTATCGCCTGTTCCCTGTCATATCTCAAACATGAAGGGCGGCCTCGTTCCCGATTTTGTTTTTTCGTTCTTCACATCACTCCACATGAAGATGGTCAATACATGATCCATCACTTTCCCCTCCACCGCTTGATCTGTGATATTCAAATAGACACTCGGTTCCTGTCCAGGGTGACTTAGGAGGCAAAGAATGGTCTCCAGTACTGGCAGCCTCGTCTTCTTTCTTTGTCTCTCTTTCTACTCAACAACCGCTGCTGGTTCAGCATCACCTGTCTTCGAGCGAGACACCACTACCACCACCACCACCTTCACCCTCGACGAACCACTGCTCGCCGTCCAAATCGGCGGGATCATCGCCGCCTATCTCTTCAGCGTCATCTTCCTTCTGAGCCTCCTCCTTGTCGTCGGACGCCGTCTACGCCGCGCCGTCCTCTCCTCCAACTACTCCCTCCAAGTCCAGATGATGCAGCCCATGAAACCACCCCCAAGCATGGACCCCAGCCCCGTCACCCCGATCAGTGTCCACCTCCCCAGCCCCGGGGGAATCGGCCATGGCCCAATCCCTCCGATGCCCGGATATACCACCAACACTGGCACCCGTCACAGCAACAACCGCTCCTGGAGCAGCTTCAGCAAACACAGCGGCTCGCACAAGAAGTCGCAATCCCAGCTCTCCAACCCGAGCAGCAGCATCAGCCTGGCGACCATCAACGACGGCGTCGTCGCCTCCGACCGCCGCAAAGCCCAGGAGGACCTGGAGATGCTGTATGCGGCCGTGATGGAGCATGACGAGATCAAGGCAGCCAACGGCGGCGGCGGCAGCGGCAGCCCGCAAGACCGCAACGTCTCGCCCACGGGTACAGTGAACAGCAACCCATTCACCGACCCGCCGGTAGCGCCCGTGCAGGCGCCAACATCGCCTCGCACACCGTCCCGGCTATCGCGGATTTCATCATCATTGTCGCTGTTTTCAAGCAGCCGCGACCAGTCGTCCACCTCGCTCGCCAATCCCGGGGCTGCAGCTATTTCCTCCCCCAAGGGACCCAACGGAAGCGGACGGGGCCTGGGCCTCCGCTCGCCGCGTCTGGCGCTGCCTCTGCGGAAGATGTCCATCTCCTCGCCGATTACTTCACCCCGGAATCATGCTGCGCGAGAGAACGAGGAGGAGGAGGACGATCCGTACGCGCATTCGCCGTTGACGCCGAGGATCTATCACCCGGCGCCGCCGCCAGTTCCGCCATTGCCGGCGCAGATGCAGCCGCAGGTGAGAAATATCGGGGGTGGTGGTGGTGCACAAAGACCCGGCGCACAGAGACAATTCACCCACCCACCACCGCAGCAGGAGCAGCAGTATCACCAATACCAGTATCAGCACCAAGACCCATACCACACAGACGACCTCCCGCAATCCCAGACCGGTCTTCCGCCGCTCCCCATCCCACGAGGAATCCTTTCCTCCACCACCCCCGAATCCCTCGACGCAACGAATCCCCGCAGACCAGCCCGCAACGCTCCTCCCCCACTCACACTGAGCAAACCCCTTCCCCCAACAGCCGCAGGGGCAGGCGGCCCCGACGGACCCGGTCGCAGCCTGCCCCTCCGCGACGCCTACCCGCTGCAGAGCGCGCCGGCCACCAAGCTGACCGTCCTGGAGCGGCCGGTCAAACCCCACGGGGCCCCACGCACGGGCATCCCCACCCCGTACAGCCCCTACATGCCGTTCACGCCTGTGACGCCGCTGACGCCGAGTCGGATGGTCACGAAGCGGCAGCGGCGGAAGGAGGGGAAGGAGACCGGGTTGCATGTGTTGAGGGAGGATGATATGGTCAAGGGAGGTGGGGATCTGTGGGGGTATTAGCCCTCACTTTTGGGGGGGTTGGATATATAGTGTCCGGGTATGAGTTATGATTACTATGGAGTTTTCTTTACGGCTTGGGGATGGGGATACTTGAATCCGGACATCACTTTCTAAGAGACTACCGTGCCACAGACTTGAATTCAGCTAGTGCTGTGAATTTATTTCTATATCTTCCTCCGTTGTCTTCGTTTAGCCTGTTCTGGGAACTGAGACTTAATATATATTGGTTTCTTTGAGTTGGTTGGTATTCAGTGGTTGTTAGCTTGGTGGTTATAGTAGGATCGGATACAAGTCGAGGTAGTAGCTGAGATGCAGAATTTGGTGGTGGAAGCGGCAAATATATAACAGATCTAAACTGCGGGCATAGCTTACCAGGCACAGATGAAAGGGCTAACTACATTAGACTAGCTAGGTATGGGATGATGGGACGATATACGCTGAGTGTAGATAGTGAGTGTTCTCTGATTCGACCACTTGTGAAAAGTTCATCGGGGTAAGATTATGAAATCATTTTGAGCATTGATGCAATTGTTGGACCCTCCTAGCCGGCTAACTAATTGTCAACTTGCTAGAACTTCACTTGGTTATTGCAGGCTATGATGTTAAGAACATGGTTCGGATAGTATTGGCTGAGTATAGAAAGAGCCATAATAGGTGGGTTTCGTGAATTGATCAGTCGTCCAAATAGATTATTTCCCTTGGTTGTGTTCTAGGTAGGCCGGTAGAGGTATATGTAAGGTAGTTATAGTTAGTAGGCAGGGAGGGCAGTGCCTAAGTTAGTGGTTACTGCAAATCACCAAAGTCCCTAGAAGCCTGAGGCGCTGCCTTGTTGCCTGAGTTGAGCTGAAATTTCTATAGTCCCGTGACCCCTTTCATGCCTCAGGCCTCGGAAGCACCCATCACTTCATTGGCCTGGGTGGGGCTCGCCTAATTTCCTAGCGTCCCACACACAAGGTCGCTGAACGGTTGAAGAGATCTTGCTTCTCGAACTTCTCACTCGTGACAACGACGACAATCGACGACCTGCCACGCCGACAAGGTACGTTCCTGCCTCCAATCTCGCCCGCAATCCCATCGCGACCGTCACAATCGCATCGACATCCTATCCACCACAAAACTAACGACTTTTTCCAAACTGTCCAGATGGGTGCCCTCAAGTACGTGGAAGAGATCCAGAAGAAGAAGCAGTCCGACGTGATCCGCTTCCTGCTGCGTGTCCGTTGCTGGGAGGTGAGAATTCCCCCCCAAATGTCGATGATTTAACATCTCCCCGCCGGAGGGTGGTTTTCGCTCGTATGCTATGCCATAGGAATACACTTGTTTGCCCAACGGTGTTTTTGCTGGGCGGCTCGAAAAAAGACGACCCACCGAAAGAATTTTTTTCTTCTCATCGCCGGCGGATGATGGATGTGGCACAACCAGGAGAGGTTCCAGGAGCCTCTGTGTGTCTTGCTATACACTCGTTGAACTTTGCTGAGAGTGCATCAATATAGCTCCGTCAACTGAACGCCATCCACCGTGCTTCCCGTCCTTCTCGCCCCGACAAGGCTCGTCGTCTCGGCTACAAGGCCAAGCAGGGCTATGTTGTCTACCGTATCCGCGTGAGACGCGGTGGCCGCAAGCGCCCCGTCCCCAAGGGTGCCACCTACGGTATGCTTTTCCCACGACTCGATCCACGAGAGAACACGGCTAATTCAAGGGATGTATAGGCAAGCCCACCAACCAGGGTGTTAACCAGCTCAAGTACCAGCGCGCTCTCCGTGCTACCGCTGAGGAGCGTGTTGGCCGCCGCTGCGCTAACTTGCGCGTCCTGAACTCCTACTGGATCAACCAGGACTCCACCTACAAGTACTTCGAGGTCATCCTCGTCGACCCCCAGCACAAGGCCATCCGCCGCGATGCCCGCATCAACTGGATCTGCAACCCCGTCCACAAGGTTGGTTCTGCCATCGCCCCAGTCTTTGAGTCTGGTACTGACCCCTTCCCCAGCACCGCGAGTCCCGTGGTCTCACCGCCACCGGCAAGAAGTCCCGTGGTATCAACAAGGGCCACCGCTACAACAACACCAAGGCTGGCCGCCGCCACACCTGGAAGCTCCAGAACACCCAGAGCTACTGGCGTTACCGTTAAATGTAGCCCAGGGGCTGCAGAGCGGTGTTGTGGAGGAGAGTGTTGGAAATGGAAAACGCATGCTGGAATGCTTGTGGATGTGTTTACTCCGATACAAAAACTCGTTTCTGTGTGCAGGTCATTCTTCGACTGTCGTGGTGCGAGCATAATGCAACAGATCTTCAATGATCGGATGTTAGCAAAAACTTTTCTTCCTTTTCTCGGTTTCATCGGTTTTTTTTATTCCCCCTAACGAAGTATGCTTTTTCTTCTCGCTATCTTGTTTTTCTTTGGTACATTGGGCGGCCTGGTAGTGTAGATTTCGTAGTCTGGGGTTGTAGATTGGGATCACTGCCTCGATTGGCTAGATTGGAGGACTTGCATTAGCATCCGCAATCCGGGGTGTTGGTTCTCGGCCCAGCAGTAAGATAGTCTTGCACAGTTACTCCCGCAGTCTCCTGGTGACCCATCAGCTACGGACAGCAGCTCCAGGGAAGGGCTCAAAATTGCGAGGACCAAGTCTAGGAGGGTCGGCCATGGATCTACATACCGGAGAGAATGGCTGTGCACCTTCACCCCACCAAGTGTCAGAAACCGGCCACCATGATTTCATAGTGATGGTCTCATCGACGGTCATCGGGTTAGCCTGCTACAGGATGTATCAGGTGAGTTCCTCTCGCTGTTCCTCAAGGGCCTTGTCCCTGTGCCCTGGGAATCGTACCTCCTCCCTAAGCATATATAATAGCCGATGCTAAGAAGGCCAAGCCAGCCCTTGCCATTGGTGCCTGCAAATTGACCCCTAAGGAGATATACACAAATATAGATAGAACCGACACGAGTCTCTCTCTCTCTCTCGCGCGCGCGCGCGCCTCAAACACCTTGGGAATAATCGTGGAAGTCGCCTCCATGCGGCAAATCGTCCCATCCCATCCCGTGTTTGTTCGTAAAAAGGGTCAGGTCGGCCAAGCTGATGGATGGACAGGTCTAAGACATGTACGGCGACTTACGGGCGCGCTTCATTTACAGGATGCGAGCCCGCCCCATCGGACAGCTGGAAAGCTGGAACTAGCCCCGATGGAAGTTCCAAGGAGCTGGTTCATGTTAAGTTCCCGGTAGTTAGTCCAGTCTACGGAGTCGAAGGGGACAGAAAGTAGGTAAAAATAGTACAGTGCTAGGTAGAGTACTCCCCTCCGTAAGTCACCCGCGGCTTGAAAGTTGAAACTGGAACCCTCCACCACGCCCCCATTCCGGCGCCTAAAGCAGGACTGACTGATGACTCTATTCATGTCATAGACGTCACGGATCGTAGGGTCGTAGATCCAAATGGAGGTTTCGCGGACAGCGGATAGCTCAGCTGAATGTAGCACTGACAGAGTGGTTGGAAATGGAATCTAATGGTTCCTGGTTTCCTTTTTTAAAGGTACAGTGTAAGTTACCGTACGGTGCTAAGTTAAGGCTCATTACCAAGCGGGGAAGCCTTAGGCAACCAACGTCTTGAGTGACTGGTGACTGTGGTTAAGTTAGTTGTTATGGCTTGCGCATCCTCTTGCGACTTGCCCCCTCTCTCTCCCCCCCCCCCCCCCCCCCACCGCCGCCTCCCTCCCTCTCCTTTCTCACAATCAAAAGCATATCTCGTGATAACTCCTTTTTCTTGTCCTTCCCTTTCCTCCCCCTACCATCAACTCATCACACCGGTTGTGTTCGCCTGGTGGTGTTGTGGTTCTGTTTTGTCCCTTTCCTTGTAACTACTTGTACTGTACATGCTCACGTTACATCTTCCCCCCCCCTCACGTTACATATATCCTACTACTCCATAACTACAACCGGTTCAGGCTTCCTCTCGCTCAGCCTTACCTCCCCCCCCCCCCGCCAATTTGGGATAACTCACCTGGTTTTCTTTGATTTCTCGTGGATTTTTCTTAGTCCTTACTTGCCTCTTCGTGCCTTCGGCAAAATTACCCCGGTTGATCCTGGATTAAAGAACGGCCTTGCGGCAGGATCGTCCCTCGTTGCCGTCTCGCTTGTGCACGAGTCACTCGCTCCGCCGTTCATCCCCTAAAATCCTACTGCTGTCAATCCTCCGACGATAAGATCCCCTAAATCTCACCTGCTTCAACCTCCAACGCCGTTGTATCCCGCCATCTCCAGATCGTTACGGATCGCCGCCCCCTAAAAACCAATGCGCCCCTATGCCGTCGCGGTTCCTACGTAACCCGTCACTCACTTCAGCCGCTGGCCATCCCCATCCTTCCCTGGTCCCCTTTCCTGCGAATGACGAGAGGAGCACACCTGCCGAGATCGTCCAAGATGCGCCCGACCTGTTCGCCATGACGGGACTTACAGCTACTTCACCCCCAACCCGGCGCGGGCACTCCCGTTCCATCAGCCACCCTTTCCCCGCGCCGTTCGCCGCTGCCGCCGCTGTGGGCAAACGGCGTCCCTCAATCGCGAAGAAGAGGAACGGTCGACCGGGGCTGGATTCGGACGATGACGACTTCCTCGGCTACATGCCCGACCCGAGCTCCTCGTCCCCGCGCAACCGGCCCCCGCAACACGGCGTGATGGCCTCGGGGAAGTGCATGGCCTGCAACTGCACCGTGCGGTGGCCCCGCGATCTGAAGGTGTTTCGGTGCACGGAATGCTTGACGGTCAACGATTTGGAGCCGTACGTGGATGCGGCCAAACCCGGGGGTCATGGTAATTCGGGCGCCGATGGGAAGCCCCGCACCGCCATGGTTTTACGAAAAGGTATGTTTGGTGACAGGGCTCCGGCTTGTGATTGATGCAATCGGCTGACTGGTGTTTCCTTGCAGCAGTACCACTGTCTCTCGACCGGACGAAAGCGTTGCTGGACGACTGCATGATGGAGTACCTTCGGCAACTTCTATACGGAACCGGACCGCGAGCGACCCCAACTAGGAGTCAGCCGGAGAAGCCCCAGGATATCGCGCAGGATGAGAATCTGGCCCACTCGCCGGGCCAGACCGGTGAATACTTGTGTGATCCTCGTGCGACCGGCGACTCGCGCGGGCGAGCTTACTCGAATTCCAAAAAGCCAGGCAAGCTGGATGGCCCGCCAAACTTCTCGAAGCCTAATCTGAGCCCGTACTCATCCCACGGAGAAGGGAAGAGCTCGCCAATGAAGAGTCGAGACACGCCAACTATGCCCCGGCGAGATCGCTCGCCTCGTGAGGTTGGCCAGGGAAACACGTCGGATGCAAAGGAACTGCCGCGCCGCCCGTATATCTTTAGGCTGCTCGAAGACTACATAATAAATTCATTCAAGGGCTGTGATTGCTTGAATAGCTCATTCACCACAGTACAGCACGCGCCTCGCTCCACCAATGATAGCACTCCCCCCAAGCAGAGAGAGGACAAGAGTACTAGCGCGGCGCCCGCGCCCGCGGAACATGTATTTGAGCCGGATGCTAAGCTCCTCCTCCTGGGCGACATAGCAGAAAATTCGTCCTGGTGGATGAACGAGGTGGATCCTACCGTTCAGTCCCATGCCAAAGACCATCGGGAGAAATCCTCTGGTTCTAGAGCCGTCTCCTCTCGGAGCCCCCGTATAGACTGGACGGAGCTTGCGAAATGGTACCACTTGATCATGACTGCCGGCTCTTCATGGGTGGAATTGTGGTCCACGATGAAGCCAGCTGAACTACGTACGGATGGTGACATTGTGGCTGCTCAGAGGTGGGAATCCACTGATTTGGCTATGGTTGAGAAGGAGGTGGTCGAGTCGCGCTTGCACCTGCATCGGACACTGCTTAAGGCGACGGAAAATCTCCTCAAACGGCCCCGACGACCACTCAAAAAGCCAGAAGACATCAGATTTCTCCTGATGCTCTTGGTGAATCCATTGGTGCATCCCTCGAACTCGTCTCTGGCTTCGTACACACTGGTCCCCTCTGCTCCTCGGGGTGATAGGAGGCCTTCCCATCCCGTTCTCGGTAACCCAAGACCTGCTCCTCGGGATATCAAAGCTCCCACTCGACTGCGAAGCGGGGGGCCCGGGCATCACCCCGGTATTGTCAAACGAATCATGGGTCTGCTTGCCAATCTGCCAAACGATTGTCACCATTACTTGGTTTCCTGGTTCTCACGCTTCCCCACGGGACAATTTGAGAAAATTGTGGATATTGTGGGTAGTTTTGTGACGTATCGTCTGACTCGGCAGCATGGGCGGAAACGCAGCGAGACCGCGCAACCGGAGGATAGTCTAATACCCAGCTTCTCCAGCGCGGCGGGAAACACACCCGCCGAATTGCATGCCGCCATCAACGGCAGGAGTCCGAACAAGTCGGCCAAGGACGACCGGGACCAGCCCGTGGTCTATACTGATGACTGGCAGATTCGGGCTGCTGCACGGGTGATGTCGCTGCTGTTTACGGCCAACAATGCCACGGTGTCTCGCAAGCCAGATGGACCGGGGACCACTAGCGCCGGTCGATCGCCGAGTGACCGACGGGGCCATATGGTACCGATCAGCTCCTTCTACAACACGCTGCTGGATTATTCCGATCTTGTGGCGGACTTTGAGGCCTGGGAGTCCAAGTCGAGCAAGTTCTCGTTCTGCCAGTATCCTTTCTTCCTGAGCATCTGGGCCAAGATCCATATCTTGGAGCATGATGCTCGTCGTCAGATGGAGGTCAAGGCGCGAGAGGCGTTCTTCAATAGCATCCTCAGCCGGAAGGCGATCAGTCAATATTTTGTGCTGAAGGTGCGGCGCGACTGTCTGGTGGAGGACAGCCTTCGAAGAGTCAGTGAGGTCGTTGGATCCAGCCACGAGGAGATCAAGAAGGGGCTGCGGATTGAGTTTGTCGGGGAAGAGGGAGTGGACGCGGGTGGTCTGCGGAAAGAGTGGTTCTTGCTGCTCGTTCGGGAAGTCTTCGATCCCCACCATGGTAGGTTCAGCCTCTTGAGTTCTCAAGGTGAACAAGGACTAACTTGAACGCCGCAGGGTTGTTCATTTATGACGAGGACTCACGATACTGCTACTTCAACCCGTACTGCTTCGAGTCGTCGGAACAGTTCTTCTTAGTCGGGGTTTTGCTGGGATTGGCTATCTACAACTCGACCATTCTCGACATTGCTCTCCCACCGTTTGCCTTCAAGAAGCTTCTGGCGGCGGCCCCGCAGTGGTCGACCAGCCGATCGGTGTATAAGGCTAGCCTGGACGACTTGGCGGAGTTTCGACCTCAGCTCGCGAAAGGGCTCCGGGCCTTGTTGGAATTCGAAGGGGACGTCGCGGAGACCTTCTGCTACGACTTCGTCGCGCAGGTCGACCGGTATGGGGAGGTGGTGCCGGTGCCTCTGTGTGCCGGCGGCGAGGACCGACCGGTGACGAACGCCAACCGGCGGGAGTTTGTGGATCTGTACGTGCAACACCTGCTGGACACGGCGGTGACGCGGCAGTTTGAGCCCTTCAAGCGAGGGTTCTTCACGGTGTGCGGCGGCAACGCGCTGTCCCTGTTCCGGCCGGAGGAGATCGAGCTGCTGGTGCGAGGCTCGGATGAGCCGCTGGACGTGGCCTCGCTCCGGGCGGTAGCGACGTACGAGAACTGGTCAGTGCCGCGGCCGGAAACGGTGCCAGTGGTGCGGTGGTTCTGGGAGATCTTCGGGCAGGCGGCGCCGCAGTCGCAGCGGAAGATTCTGTCGTTTATCACGGGCAGTGATCGGATTCCGGCGATGGGGGCGACGAGTCTGAGTATCCGGCTGGGGTGTTTAGGGGATGACACGTCCCGGTTTCCGACGGCGCGGACCTGCTTCAACCAGTTGGGGTTGTATCGGTACGAGACGCGGGAGAAGCTGGAACGGGTGCTTTGGGATGCGGTGCTGAACAGTGAGGGATTTGGATTGAAGTAAGTAGTGGTGGTAGTGTTTGGTGGGGGGGTGAGAGGGCAGGTCCCGGGTATTGATAGGAAGAATAAAACCATCTTTATCTATCATGATGTATTGGTTGTAGAAATGTAATTGTTTCGAAGTACTTGGTAGTAGAGTGGATGCTGCTGCTCGGGAGAATCAGATGCATAGTAGTGGCAGTGGATAAGTTAGCAGCCTGAGGCCACCTCCAGGTTTCCCGCATTGCGTTAGTCTCTTGCAGCAGCGGAGATCACACTAACCCGATTCAGGACGAAGAGCGGCCGGCCATCCATATCAATCAAATTTTCCCGGCCAAAAAGCTGCAACAACAACCTCTTATGAAAGTTTGGTGGCTGTATAAAATTCTCCCCACAGCAAACCCCTTTCTAAACTTCCATTCTCTCAATTATCTCAACTATCACCACCACCACCTACAGGAAACCATTGTAATATTTTTTGAAAGCCAAACAGTACACCCATACACCCACCCAGTACACACACACCCCCCCCCGTAAAAAAAAGGCATGGCAACGAGACCAGCCGGTCCGCCGCCGACCAAAAAACGGCGCCGCGAGCCCGTCAGCGTCGACCGCAAGCAGATCGAGATCTACGAGGACCTGGCCGCCGAGACCGACGCCGTCCGCCTGAAGGCCGCCGCGGCCCTGGTCGCGCAGTTCACCCCGGACCAGAGTCCCCCCGCCGAGGCGGTGGACCGCGCCCTGGCGCGGTTGTTCCGCGGGCTGTGCAGTAGTCGCAAGGCGGCGCGCGTGGGGTTCTCGATTGCGTTGACGGAGGTTTTGGTGCAGGTTTTTGGGACGGCTGCCTCCGGGGGTAGTAAGGATGGCGATGGGGGGAAGGAAGAGGGCAAGGGGAAGAGAAACGATGTTGGGGCCGTGTTGGGGGTTTGGGAGCGGTTGACGGATTCGGCGGGCGGGGAGTCGGGGCAGGTTTGTTTCTTCCTTCCTTTCGATTTTTTTTTTTTTTTGTGGATAGGGGGTTGGGTTTGTTGATGTTGACTGGTAAAGGTGGATGCTAACGAACGGTCAGGAACAACGCGATCACTACTTCGGGCGTCTGTTTGGCGCGGAGGCCATCATCAAATCCGGTATCCTTTTTGGGGGCGGGGCTGGTGCTGCTGCTGCTGCTGCACCCGCGGAGTGGACCCGGCTGCTGGACCGCGTGTTCGAGCTGGCGAAGAAGAAGCCGTGGTTGCGCGAGGAGTGCGGTTGGATTGTGTATCGGTGTGTTTTGGATCTTGCTGCCTCTCGAAAGAGCGAGGGGAAGAAGGAGCAGGTCAATGTGGCGTTGGTGGAGGTCGCGCTCGAGCGGCTGTGCGCCCACGACCTGGCCAGAACCCCCGAGGGCGTCGCCGTCTGGCTCGCGGCCAAGGAGGCCTTCCCCTCGGCTAAGTTCCCGGCCAAGGTCTGGAAGCATGAGGATCCGTTGGATGCCAAGGAAAGGGTTTCCCTGGGGAAGGTGATGAAGGACTCGTCGGATTCGAGTGCCAGCTCCAGTGCCAGTGAGGATGGGGACGGCCAGAAGAAGGGTTCCTCCGGCGTCTGGAATTCCAAGTTGCACTTCGCCTGGGATGTGGTTCTGGGCCGGTTGGCGCAGGTGCCGAAGGCTAAGGCTAAGGGCGAGTCTTCGAGGCTGGGGTTTGCCGAGTTCTGGACCGAGGTTGTGGATAGTATGTTCCCTTTCCTTTTCCCCTTGTTTCTTGGAACTTGAGGTTGTTGGGCAGAGGGCGAGGGCGAGGGCAGGCTAACGCTGCGTCTAGATGGTTTGTTTGCCGCGGCTTCCTCCGAAGAACGCAAGTACTGGGGGTTCTCGCTGTTCATCAAGGTCGTCACCGAGAGTCCGCAAGCCGTGGCGGCCCAGACGTTCACCAAGAACCTGGTGCGCTGCCTCATGAACCAGCTGGCCGTCGAGGACCGCTACCTGCACCGCATGGCCGTCAAGGCCGCCAAGTCCCTGCAGACGCGCGTGGCCAAGGAGCCCGCCTTCGCCGCCGCCGCCGTCCGCGGCCTGATGGGGCCCGCCACCGGCGGCTCGGTCACCTTCGACCAGGCCACCAAGACCAAGACCGTGGAGAAGATCGTCGTCGAGGCCAACGTTGACGCCCTCAAGGAGATCGTCCCCCTGTTCGAGTCGCTGATCGCCGCCCCCTGCGGCCCCAACGATGGCAAGACCGCGGCCACCAGCCGCCAGTTCCTGGCCGGCTTGCTCCTGGCCATCGTGCGTGCGCGCGCATCCGCAGACAGCAAGGACGACGACACGTACAGTGTGCTCGAGCAGATCCTCTCCATCTTCGTCCGCTTCGCTTACTTTAAGGACCCGGCCGTCAGCCCCGCGCTCACCGAGCAGACCCAGGAGCTCTTCCGCAGTCGCATCAACTCCTGCATCAACAGTCTGATCGCCACCGCCCGGTACGCCTCCATCCCCTACGCGGTGGTGCGCCAGATCCGGGACCTGGCCAAGTCCGAGGAGCGCGGCAAGTTCATTGTCAGTATGGATGAGACGATCAGTGGCGCGGTCAAGAATGCGTTCAAGTCGTTGAAGAAGCTAGCGAGTATGGTATGTTCCTCCTCTCCACCCGGTTTCCTCCTCCAATTCCGTGTAAAGGAATAACGCGCGAGCCTGGCTAATCGTTTGTGGTTGGTGCAGGAGAAGAAGGATAACGCGGCGAGCGTCGACGCGTTCCGGCTGCTGTACTCGTTGACGATTCTGCAGGTGTACAACGGCGACGCGGACGCGGCGTCGATGCTGGAGGAGTTGGATTTCTGCTACACGCAGATCTTCGGCGAGGAGAAGGAGAAGAAGAAGAAGAAGAAGAAGTCCAAGGGCAAGAAGGCGGAGGACGAGGACGAGGAGGAGGACGACGAAAAGACCTCCGATGCCTCGGACGCCCTGGTGGAGATCCTGCTCAGCTTCGCGTCCAAGCAGTCGCAGCTCTTCCGGCGCATGAGCGAGCAGGTCTTCGGGGCCTTTGCGGAGAGCATCACCGAGAATGGCCTGGAGTCGCTGACCTCCATCCTGGAGGCCAAGGAGAGTCTGGCGGGCCAGCAGGAGATGTTCGACCAGCAGGACGAGGACGGGGACGACGCGGACATGATGGATGTCGATGGTGACGGTGACGGTGACGAGCTCGACAGCGACGTCGAGGTCGTTGAAGCTGGTGACTCCGCGGCATCCTCTTCCGACTCGGAGCTCTCGGAGGACGAAGGCAACGACGACGAGGAGGCGATCTTCGAAGCCAAACTGGCCGCGGCGCTGGGCACGCACCGGCTGGACGCGGACATGCCGGAGGCCGAGGAAGACTCGGACGCGGACATGAACGACGACGAGATGGAGGAACTCGACGAGCAGCTCGTGAAAGTCTTCCGGGCGCGCCGCGACGCCCTCGGCCAGAAGAAGGACAAGAAGGACGCCCGCGCCAACATGGTGCACTTCAAGAACCGCGTGCTGGACCTGCTGGAGATCTACGTGAAGAAGTGCCACGCCAAGCTGCTGGCCCTCGATCTGCTGCTGCCCCTGCTGCGGCTGACCCGCAAGTCGGCCAACAAGCAGATCTCGACGCGCGCCGCCAACGTCCTCCGCGAGTACACCAAGCAGTGCAAGGGCGCGACGGCGCTGCCTGCTATCCAGGAAGAGGACGTGGACAATGTGTGGGAGCTGCTGAAGTCCATCCACACCGAGGCGACGCACAGTGGGCCCCCCGCGCACGCGACGGCGTGCAGTCAGGCGAGTTTGCTGGTGGTCAAGGTGCTGGTGGCGCAGGAGCGGGGCAACGTGGCCCGCGTCGTGGAGGTGTATGGCGAGACGAGGACGAAGCAGCTGCTCAGTCGCAAGTGTCATGTGCAGCCGTCGTTCTTTACGGATTGGAATAACTGGTGTGTTTCGTTCGGGAAGACGAAGAATTAGAAGGTCAAAAGTTACATAGACGGTGGTTTTCGTTGGCTTCGATTCAGATATCCAGTGCTGTGGTTATGAGCTTTGTGCTTGTTTCTTGAGTAGGGTTGTAGCGCTGTGGTTGTGTGTCTGGATGCTCGGATGATGACAAGGGCGCAGGCAGGCAGGTTTAGGGTAAGCGTGCGGCAGAGTATGACTTTATCCAGGCGGTTACCTACTGCTGTGTTCTAGGTACATGTTTGGAACTATGGACATGCTGCCTCCCCGCCCTAGCACACAGAGAGAGACAGAGAGAGGGAGGCTATGCCACAACGGCCCCGGAGAAAACACAGGACACAAGGGAAGCGTTCGGAGGACTTGACCCTCCAGTAGTCGTCGTCTCCTACCTAGTAAGATACCTTGACCGAAAACGTATGTCTCCACACAGGGATGACACTGCGCTGGATATGCAGACGTCACGGTGAGTGTGGCTGGAGCGCTGGTTCGGGCTGTTGTCGGTTGTCGATTGTCGAAGTTTGAGATGTCATCGCGTGGTAGTTATGATCTTTGTGAGATAGAAACCGGCATTCTGGGAACTGGTCAGGGTCTGGCTTTGACGATAGCGATTGTGAATGAAGGCGTGTTCATGTTTACTTTGATTCACATCAAAGCAGAAGCTTCCACAGAGGATAGGAGCGTGTGAATGGGGAAGCTGTTAAGTGAGGTGGTAGTTGGTGGTTAGGGTTGCTAGAATGCTTCTTATCTCTATCCATGATGGACAACTCTGATAGCGACAAATAATCCCCTTTGAGTAACGGCAGAGCTTTGAGCCAAGCACAAAGCCTTTGATGGACAAGCGAGAGATGCTTTGAAAATACAAATGAAAAACGGAGTGCAAAGAAAGAAATGGGGGGAAATGTATCAATGTGAATGTGCAGTCTAAGACATACGATTGTGAAAGCCCTGGGAGTGAAAACCTCCGCTCTTCCCTTTTAGAACGTACAAACAAGGCAGGGCTCGATGCCTTGTCATGAGTTGATGGCCCTGGGGTTTCTGCACTATATAAGCTTGGGAATTCTCACTGTGGAGAAGTATCCAGGTCACTGCATCCTTGCTGGTTGTTCATCTTGGTCTAACCTTCTGAAAGTATTTTGTTGTTCGTTCCACATCTCAAGACTAGCTCTCAACATGTCTTCTCTCAGTTCCGAGCAGATGGCCGGTGACGCCGTGTCTATCCTTGATGAAGCTGCGCCGGATCTTGTCTGTGGTGCTGCGTCTATTCCTGATGCTGATTGCGGTGTTGATCGCAAGGCTAAGGTTGAAGATGACTACGAGGATGAGCACCAAGAGAATCAGGATGACGATCCGAACGATGAGCCGAATGATGAGCCAAGCGATGGTCCCGATGACCAGGACCGCTGTGACGAGCCGACCGATGCTCCTGATGCTCAGACCGATGCTCAGCTCGACGACGAGCAACCCGATGAGTCCACCGATCAGACCGAAACCACCGATACTCAGCCCGACGCTCAGGACAGCGACGAGAACGACGACCCGCCCAACGAACCCGCAGCCGCCCCCCACAACGAGTACAACTTCCTCCATGAAGCCGAAGCCTGGCGCATTCACATCCAGCAAGAATGGCTCGCCCACGGCGGGATCCTGCGCTGGACCACCCACCGCGTGCTACCAGCGGCCGGCGCTCTCGCGCAGTCCGCCCTGCTCTCGACGCCCGCCATGTACATCCTGCACTTGGTGCACCTCACGTCGTACCTGACGGGCAGCAGCCCGGCCGGCTCGGCGGCTTGGCCGCTGCGCTTCCGGTTCACCGACCAACTGACCGAGCTGGAGTGGATGGGCGCCCTCCTCTGCGTGCTGGGCGTCTGGCACCAGTACCTCTTTACGGCCATCTTCCAGGGCCACCGGACGACGCGGGCGCGCGCCGCCCGGTACCTGGACGTGCTCGGCCTGGTCTCGTGTCTGTTCTGCCTGCCCGGGCTGAACGGCTGGGCCGTCGGCCAGATGTACGGGCTGACGTTCGCGGTGCTGCACCTCCTTCTGCTGGGCCTGTTGGGGCTGTATGATTCCGCGGTCGGGGCGAGAGACTGGGCCCGTCGGGGGTTGGGGCTGCGCGAGGAGGTCGCGGTTGATTTTGTTTATAGTGGTGACGACGATGGTCGGGATGCGGATGTTGTTGTTCTTGCTTTGGATGGAGATGATGATGATGACGATGATGCTGCGCATGAAATGGCGGCGCTGCTTGGTCTCTATTACTTGCCCTAGACAGGCTTTCTGTTAGTGAGAGAGGGGTCCTGTGAGGTCTGCTCGTCGGTGCGGCTCTGGTGTGATGCGAAAAGAATAATGTCTTTTAGTGATCTTAGTACAACAAATTGATATGCGTTGGTTAGAATAAGTAACAGCGATTATGTGTAATTTCTCCAATTTTTATCCATTAAGTAGGTTTCTCTCGGTGAGACGTAGTTTAGTCTCCTTCTTACCACAGCCCCTTCAGAAAAGTAAATCCCTCGAACTCGATCATGTTGACTTCCGCCAGTACTTCCAAGCATCAAGAGTGGCTCTTGACCCCTCGACTGGCTGCCTCTTGGTATAGGCGTGAACAGAGCGCTCCAAGAAATGTCTGGCGTTAGAGTGGTAAAGTAAGTGTGCTCCAGTTGTGATAGATTCTCTCATATACATGTCTGCCTCAGATAAATACAATATACTTGTTAGTCTGGTCCGATGAAGATTATTAGGTACCATAGCTGCAAGGCCTTTCCCTCCATGTTATGACCCTCGAAAGAGACAGTGCTAGTGTGTCACAACCGGTCCACTTTCAACCAAGACAAAAGAAAATGAAAAGAAAAAAGTAAATTAAGAAGGAAGGAAAGACAAGCAAAAAGTCGAGACCCCATCTACCTAAGCTATAAAAGATAGACGCTCTGCCCTCTCATGTCATGTAGAACCCCCCCTTGGCCCTCAGGTAAGCGATTGCACCAACCCACCCTAAGCAGCAGTGCAAGCTCCGTTCACCTGAGTCTGGGGCGGTCCGACATCAACCGTCTGCACGCCACTGACGGTGGTGACGCTGTGGTCGATGCCGTTGAAGGTGCAACGCACATTCCCCGTGCTGGAGACGATGTGCGAGATGCTAAGCGGGTTGGCTGGTTTCCCCTTGGTGTTAGCATGGAAGGCACTACTTTGGAAGCAAGATTCACATACTGATGGCCGTGGAGGTGCCGTCGAGCGGGAACGACTGAGAGAATTGCGCGTCCGCGGCGCCTTGGAAAGTGATGGTGACGGATGAGCCCTGGCCTCCGGAGGGGGTGCTGGGGGTGGAGGGCTCAACGGGGGCCGGGGCCGGGGTGGATGGGTCCGGGGTAGGAGTGGTGGGATCCCCTGCGGCGGTGCACGAGCCCTGGGTCTGGGTCTGAGGGGGCCCCACGTCCACGGTTGCTACGCCGCTGACGGTCGTGCTGGAGTGGTCGATGCCGATGAAGGTGCAGGTGACGCCTGCGGTGCTGGAGGCGATGTGTGAGATGCTTAGGGGGTTGGCTGGAGTTTGGGTTAGTGATCGTTGGGGTGGGATTATGTTTGCTGGGCTCTAGGCTAGGCTCGGCTTACAGATAGCGACGGTGGAGCCATCGGTGGGGAAGCTCTGGGTGAACTGCGCGTCTGCGGCGCCCAGGAAGGTGATTTGGACCTCGTTCTGCGTGCGGACAGCAAGCGGCGCGGCGAAGACGGAGGAAGCGAGGGCGAACAGAACGGTGGACTCGGAGAGGAGTTGCATGGTGATGGTGGTCTATCTTTTGCAATCGAGAATGACTTGGAAGGTAAAGTGTAGCGAGAGTATGAATGCTGCTGCTTTGTTTGGAACTCTGTGACTCTGTCTGATGCTGATGAGAAACAGTTGCCAGGTTGAGCGGACGTCTGAGAGGTTTATATAGACATGATATGGACTGCAAAAGCTCTGCTCAGCGAGCAGTTCAAGTCAGGTATACAGCTCATGTCCCTAAAATAGAACTATACAACACGATCCGTGGGAGAGGAGTTACTCCGCCGGCCTAACATCAACAAAACCCTCATCGTTATCGCTCGGCTGCGCTCGGGAGAGCGAGAAATCCCACGGCGCGTTGGAAGAAAGCTCAGGGCATAGCCCCGGATTTGGCATAAATGCGTAGAGAGTACCATGTACAGTACTAAAATTATCTATCACACGACACACTGCCCCCCGGTGGCCGTTCCATGTGTTCACCGGCAACGGCAGTGTAGTCTCGTGCCAGGGATTGAGCTTTTTTTCCCTGGACACAACTGAGTCAATTACGAGCAGAGCCTCGTGTTGAGTGCATGCACAGCTTATTAAGGCAAACTCTATCTCGACGATCGCCGTCTTTGTCCGGGGAATTGACAGCATCCGCCGCCGTATATGCACCGCCCGAAACCTAAACCCGGACACTCAAAGCGGAACACGTCTACCGCGCTGATGGGCATCATCCAGCGATGCTGTATGTTTTACATAATAGTGACAAGTTTCGAGTCTGTGGCAGGTCAGCAGAAAAACGCGCATCTGATTTTAGAACAGACCGTGCTGGCCGAGGGGCAGTTGCTTGTCGCGGGCGTTGAGGGTAGGGCAAAAGTCATGACATCATACAGAATATGGAGATCAAGGGTTGTTTGTATACACACTGCCACCTACCACATCTGGTGGGCGGATGCTGCCGCTGCGAAGGGGGCTTCTCATTCGATGTCTAATTTAAGATCGAAGATGTGATTGTCTTGGACATCGGGTAGGGCCTCCTTCGCGAGGTACAGCACTGTGTTTGGCTCCATCCTCCGTCGCACTACCATCATCTGCCCCCAAGCCCTAATCACTTCCTGTGCGTGGCTCATCCAAAACACTCACTACCGCTGAAGCTGGCTCGAGCTGTTCTACTACTTGTCACAGTGTGCTTTCTTCTTTTCTACCCTCACCGCCTCTTCTATGTCTCTGATTCCCACTTGTCAGACGCCTCTTCGTGGTCCTGCAAAGGCCGCCCACGGCGCCACATCGTAAGCAGGTGAATTCCCCCTTCGCCGCACCACACTTAAGAGTGAGATGCCGGGTCAGACGATGATGACATCCGCGACTAGGTCACCGGCTGCGCGTTTGAACTGTGCAGCTCAGATCGCTTCTGCTCGGGTTGTCTCACTAGCGTGCCAGCCCTTTGCTGGAGTGGAGTAACAGTACCATTGCACTGAAACTTCCGCCACCGGGTTACACCTCGGCGGAGCTCGGTAAGAGAGAGAGGGTCTTCTTGAGCCGTGCAGTTTGTTATTTTATGGAGAGGGCGAGGGCGAAGGGAGAGGAAATCCCGGTTGTGACTGGCTGGAATTAGTTAAAGAAAACCTGATACAGCAACTGGAGGACGCAGAAAGCGAACTGTACATCGTGATTCCCTTCAATTGGGCATTGCACAAAGGCAAAATGACCTAGCAAGGCTAGGACTTTTTGATTCACCGAGTTCACTACCACTCGATTATCCTTGAACCTATTCCAGCCCACTCACCGGCCGATCCATTTCCAGATCCCACGTCATCCGTGTAAACCCCCCTGTCCGAGGCAGTGGGCGGGGCACGTCAAGCCTATGACAGTCTTCCAAACATCTTGGCCGTCTCCGGACCTGCGAGCTCTGCGAACCGAACTGACATGTCAAAAAGCAATGCCTAACACATATCCTCCCCGCGACTTGATGATGCTGCACCCAAAGAATCGACCAGCGTAGCAACGCACATGTTTCATCAGATGCGCTACTCAGCGAGAAGATCAACGACGCCGAATCACAACGGTCGCAGACTGGGCACGAGCTTGACTGTGGGCAAAGTACTTTGAGATCATTGCTCTCGCACCCGACCTAGTTGGACTGCCTCCAGCGGAATCTCATCGTCCCGAGCAGATGCAAGGACCTGCCTGAGCAGACTGTCCATGATGCTGGCTACACTGGTTTGTGGAGCCACGCAGTAGGAATGCTACCCACGGCTTCTCCCCCCTGAGCCTACGAAGTTATCGCAACTCCTGCAGTGTATTGTGTGAGTCGCGAAGCCATGGAGCCGGGCGCTGGCCGGCGTTGTCTCAGGGCCTTCCTTAACGAAAAGCCTTTGAGCCGGTGGCCACGTTCAGCGAGGCTCGCTTGGTCAACCACACGCAGCGGTCTTGATCAATGCAGATAGCTTGACTGCCAGTCGCATGATTCCGCATTCGATCTGCTGGGACCGGGCCTGGGCGGTAATGAGGCTTCGCGAGCATCGCTGTAGTAGATCGTCTTGCGAATATATCTTCCTCTGCCTCATTTTTTGGCATCGACCTGACGAAAAGTAATGAGAGGGATTGAATGGATATGGACATGGTTAGTTGGAGAGAAACCACTCGAGAGGTCCAGGTACTTGCTGCTGGCCCCCTGTTTGGAGAAACGATCCGGGGAGTAATGCTATCTCTGCAAATCAGTGTGAGATTGACTGTGTATCACCCACCCCGGCGGCTTCCCCACTATTATCAAGGATCTCGACGCCAAGTGAGGGGAGCCAAGCCCCAGCGCAACCCAGCACATGACCTCACAAAGGAGGGGAAATCAGCAATCAGAGAATCGGCCAACATTACTCCGACAGGATAAGCTCCTTCAATAATATAAAGCCCATACTTTCCTAAATTAATCTCTGCAAAGAAGCCGACTGACAGGCCGAACAACAAAATGACAGAAACTGTAAGCTTCCACACGCAGCCTCCTCCCCCGGCACCATCAACCCTAACCGCACAGTATCATATTCAACAGGGATCCTCACTAGATATTTACACAGTATAGCACGGGACTGTACCTTCTGAATCCCAGACCGGTCCACATCCGCGGCTCTGCGTTTAGGCATCCGACCCAGCGTTCTGGTACGAGTCGCTCAACGAGTCGATGCTGTGCGACTGCAGGAACTGCCTGAAGGTCATCGGCTTCACGCTCGAGTACCTGGAATTATCCAGCTCCGGCTTGAGGTATGTTTGTCCATTGGTGCAATAGTACTGATAGAAGCTGTTTTTTTTGGTCCCCGCCCGCGAAGGGATGGGAAATTAGCCTTTGATTCACCAAGACCGCGCAGTATTGAGAACAGAAACAATGAGAAAAGCGAGGGGGTTAAAGGAGGGCAGGACGTACAGAGCCAAGTAAGCGTAGATGTTCGAGGGATCCTGGTCATAAATGGCATGCATCTTCTGGTACAGCTGCTCTTGAGAGCCGAGGCGTACCAGTCGGGGCTCCCGGCCATAGACCTGGGCGAACTCGTCTGCAATCTGGCGGATGGTTTTCCGGTCTCCGAGGACTGGTCAAGGAAAATCCCCCACGAAACAGTCAGTCCTTGCCATCAATACAATCCAGGGGCGCTTGCGGAAACCCCGGGAGGAATCAAGCAAGAAATGCGGGGCGAGAGAGAGAAAAATGGAACATACAATGCCGCATGCCCACGGCCTTGGGATCAGTCGCAACCGCCGCCACAAACTCGGCCGCGGTGCTGTAGGTGGTCGACTCCCAAACCTCGTCCCCGTCTCCCCAGTACGAGAGGGTCAGCTGCGCGGGGTCAAAGATGCCAAAGTACCGGCTCCAGAAGGTCTCCATGAAGGCACCAATCAGCACATGCACCCCCTGCACAGTGGGCTTGGAGTCCAGGTAGCTCTTGACCAGCTTCATCGGGTCCTTGGCGGGATGCTGGCCCAACTCCAGCTGGGTGAAGTCCAGGCAGTAGTCACTGGCGATGTAGCGGGGCACCGACTCCAGCTCGCACGCATCGACCAGCACTTTCTGACCGGCGGTCATAAACTCGTTGTCACCCAGGTAGCCGCACACAATCACATCGCTCCCGCGGACGAACTCGCGGGCGTCGTCCAGGCTCATCGAGTCACCTTGGATGATGGTGATGCGGTCGGATGAGCGCAGGTGCTCTGGGAGCTTGGAGGCGTTACGGCAGAAGCCGCGGATCTGCACGTTGGGGTGGTTGCGGAGGAGGTTCTTCAGGACAAGACGCGAGAACTTGCCGGTGATACCGGCGATACCGACGGTCAGAGGCATGATTGGGGGACGAATGGGTGGGGTGGAGGTGTATGTAGGGGAGGCTCAATGGTTGAGAAGAGTTTGGATGGTAAGACCTGATTGCTCTGCTTTCTAGCTTTTCACTCCTCGAGCATGCATGAAGACAGGGTTTAAATAGAAAATCACTGCATTGAGTACCAGCATCCCTCGGTGTACTTACTAGTATAATCAAAGCCATGAGCCAATAGGAATCCCGGTAGACAGTAGTCCGTAGCGAGGAATCCACCTCCGTTAAGTTACATCATCCGTTAGTTCAGCAGTCGCCCATGCGTGGAGGTGGGGATTTGTAATTCCCCAGAGAAGACACTTTTCTCGATTACTCATAGTATCCACGGAGTATGCATTCTGCCAAGTCCGTTTTTGACCTGCCCAGTAGTTAGGTCTAGTTACAGCTTCGTCCAGATCACGTGATTTTGTCCTCATCATCACACATCTTTCCTTGCCTTGCATAGATATCCACTCCGTTGCAACAGTACCGTTAAAGCTTCCTTTTCATTTCGTGTCTCCTGGAATAGTCACGTGCTGAGCACCACCGGGTAGAAAGAGAGGGCTATCGACAGCCTTATTGCACCTGGAACTCTCCAACACAGTAATAGGAGGAGGTGCCGTTCCGCGGCTATGGAGGGAAATACAGCCACTCTGAGAAGGTCGGAAGAGATGTCAGGTCCGCATTGTCAGGCTGCAGAAGCTGGAGCTCCTCATTGCCGAAGAGATTGGTGGGGGCGTTCCGGAGATTGCTCGGCTGCACTGGGTCCGAAGCCGGGCGTAGAGGGCATCCGTCCGCAGTCGGTGCCGAATCCGACGTGAGCCGGTCAAGAATCACCAGGAAATGCGTCGACAGAGCGTCGTGATGCACGGACAGACTGGACAGCGTTTGTCGGGCCTCCTCAATGTCTTGGCGCCAGGAGATCGACTCGGGGACCGAGGCGTCGGCTTTCTGATGGATCACCGGCACCAGGACGGCGTGGAAGAGGCTGTAGCTGGGATTGAAAGCTCATTGTTAGATTGTAAGCACTGTACAGCTGTGAAAACTGAGGAAAGAGGGGCACAAACAGGACAAACGGTAGCGTGACGTTCGAGTATTGACGATCTTCGATGAGGCGGCAAGTGAGCCTGATGGTGCCACGGGCGAGGTTAAGACCACTCGTCCGGCATTGTCGCTCGCTGAGGTGCTCTCCTAATTCGGACTGCCCGGGCGAGATCTGTTTTCTCCGTAGCCAATCTAAGAGCGCGGGTCGATGGATGAGAAGTCGAAGACTTCTATCGCACAGCATTTGCCGGTCGCGCGCATGGATGGCCCAAGATGGGAGTCGATCGGCCGGGGTTTGACGAATGCAGAACGTGAGATTATTGTGCCAGTCATTGATCTTCTGTTCGTATGCCTTGATATTCTCGGGGTTGGTCGTGTCGGCGGCAAGGGTGCGATGATAGATATCATTGGCCATGCGGTGATAGCTGGCCTGGAGTATCAATCCCGAATAGATCGTCCACTCGTCCCTTTCAACCGGACGTGACCGGCTGTTTTCAGTTAGGTCCTTGTCATTGTACGCGTTAGCAGACACTTCAACGATGATTCGCTGGCGCAAGACTAGGTACCTCATCTGTGATGTTGAGCACCGGTTTGACGGTGATCAACCTATCGTCCGGCAGCAGGAGGGGGAGACCAAATATCTTGGACGCACAGCTATCCAAGCAATAGACACTCCACCACACACGCCTCCGTATCTCGTGTGCCAACAGAGTGTCCTCGGAGCCGGAGGCTGTTGACTCTTGATGAAGCCCCAGATTAACTGCAGTTCGTGTGGCGACCCCAAGACAGGTCCAGCCATCTTTTGGTTGACCGTATCTCTGGTAGTAATCGCTCATCAGTAGAAGCGCTTGGATCAGGCTTAAAGACGCCTGATCGAAGATAGAAAAGCAATCGAGCCGGCTCTTGGCCCGCTGTGAGAAGCTGTGACTGTGGTACCAGTCACCAGCGTCTTGGAGTGACCACGACCCCATGGCCAAAATCATATCACGAAGAACCAGCCAACCAACATCTTGTGCTGTATCGAGCTGATGTTCGTACTGTTTCAGAAATGTGGATTGATGCACAAAAGGGAAGAGCGGGTGATAGTGTTCAAAATAAGCACGGACTAGTCTTGCCTCGTCTGGAACGAGCGTTTCGACGCCGCCGGGTTGAGGGATCGGTAATAGAGTGTCATCCAGGGGGATGGAGGCATCCAGGACGAGATTAGTCGGTCCATCGGGGAACGTGGCGAGTGATAGATCTATCCGATCCTGTCAGTGCTGATCCCCACGACGACCCCAAATCGCAACAGACCTTCTTGTATGGAAGACAGGGGTGGAGCATCAGGAATCTCGAGATCAAGCGGGAGATCGGAGACGGAGGTGAACTCGGTGCTTGGGGTCCCCGGGAGCACGTGAAGATCCGCTGAATCATTGAGTAGGGATTTGATGATAGAATCGAGAGCACCGCCAGGAAACAACTTGCTCAAGGCGGTTTCAAGCGTTTCCAGTCTATCTTCGACTGCGGTGAGATGCCTTTAAAATGGGTTAGCAAGCCGGACCATCAACGCAACAACCAATCTCCAACACATACCGGCGTGTCAAAGGCGACCTGACGACCTTGTCAGGATACACACACGGCTTGTTCAGTTGTCTGCAGTGCGCACACGATGGCCGAGTTTTGGTACACTTTCAGAGTATCAGTCCGCCTGCGTCAAATGAGGGGCAGTCGACCGAGCTTCACCTTTGCTTTCCGAGCTCGACATTCAATGCACTATACAGATAGATTAGCAGCGGGTCCCAGTTGGCCAATCTTAAAACATACAGCCGGTATATGGGAGTTCCGAGCCAGGCTAGCCTGGTCAAGCTGTGGAAAATCATCCATAGCACTGGGGTGTAATTCCAAATTCGGTGTGTAGAATGAGGTCTTCGCAATGGGGCGAAGCTCGTGTGTGACATTTCCTGCACGGATTTGTTGGCCATTTGCACCAAGTAACTTGCTGTAATCTGGGCGGAACCAAACAACATGGCTGTGGCGGGCGGTGAGCGGCCAGTACGGAAGGATATACGAGTACGCCACTGTGGAAAATAGAATCTGTCGGCAGAAGAATAAGAGCTGGGGGGATCAAGCCTCTATATAAACCTCAAAAACCCTAGTAAAAAGGGATTCACGAAGAAAGCCGCTTCGATAACACGAGCTTCGGCCTCTAAAAGACCTACATATTCTAAGATAAGGGGGGCTTGTGATATCACGTGACCAGGGGCTCTGCGGGACTCGAGAGAGCTTTAGAAAAGGAGGAGGGGCTTACAAAGGTATAATCCCATAAGCTTAAGGGGCAATGCGGACGGACGGGTGGTTACAGAGAGTCATAGAGGTGGTTACTACTGCAGTGAGGATACTGAGCGAGGGAATTCGCTTTTGCAGAGTGGCCGTTATATCCTTCCGTAGGCCTGACTACCGAAGGCCTCAGGGCCACCGACAGAAAAACAACTAACTTGATACTGTGAACAGCTACAGCTCAAGAGCCGGGATGTCGAGGATTTGTGGGATCATTCTTCAGAAACATTAGATCAACTACTCCCGAGTCGCTGAGACTTTCCTCACAAAAGTTTTGTCAGGTGGCGAATCAACTGTTATCTTTTGCAGCTTGACCCCGTAGATACCGGACCGGGGAAGAAGGGGTATGTCGATTACATGAGTTAGCGGGGAAGAGATTACTATGCCAGGTGACAAAATGATACGGATAAAATAACTTAATGCTCTGGACAAGTAAATCGAAGAGCTTGCCCCACACGAGACCAAGCTGCCAGACACCCACCTCGTCTCACCAAATAGCAAACCATTGAATAGAAGTGTGTACCTTGAACCTTATTCCAAGGGCACTGAAGAGAAGCAGGAGTAATCTCGACAGCTGGTGTCCCCCAGACACTGACAAGCCCGGAACCTGTCCAGCGCGAGATAAAAATAGTCTTCCAGTCCCAAAGTGACCCAGCTATACCTTGCGTCCAAATCTCCGAGCTTACGTATTTTGTATACCCCTTCAATCTAGCCAGTACCAAGCTAGATCCTCTAAGAAGAGATGAGAGGATTATGCATAGGATAAGACATGAGCGTCTCATTTTGAAATCACCTACACACGAGTCTGGGGACCACGTCAGGTATATGCTTTTGTGAATAAAGTAGACTGTCTATGACAACAGTCCATCGTGTAAGTGCAGGAGCAGAATCATAAGGAAAAGAGAAATGTAACAGAGACAATCAGCAGAGAGCGTTGGACGGGCGGTGGGCATAAGATAGGTCCAAAGTGTCCTAAAGGTCAGGCAGGTCACTTCGCAGAAAGATACGTAGCATGCATCAATAGATCGGCTCATTGACCAAATATTGCCCACTCCTAACGATTTTTATATGTCGCATACTGATGCCCTATGAAGGAAATCTCTCAAGTCAGAATCTGCTAGGGAAGGCAGAGCCCCAAACAAGCATAGGCCCTACCTTGTGAGCAGAAGTCTAGCCCAGTGAAAGTCCCGAACCGTCCTCAATCGAGACAAAGCGAATGGTTCAGATCAGATCGGTTCACGAAAACAGACACGTTTTGTGAGTTGAGCAAGAGTAGCGGTCAGAGTATCCGATGCCGCCACTCCAGCTAGACCTGACACCTTGAAACATCCCTTTTCCCCATCGACCAACTCAAGAAGTTCCAGACGGCATCAACGAAAAGACTCCACTACTCCAGATTACGTACAAGCATATGCTCATCAACCCTTGCCAAGCACAAAGACAGTCAGGGAGCGAGGAAATCCACCCAATCGAGGAACTGAGAGATATACGCGTGGCTGGGGGAATCCGCACACGCAAGGGGGCCCAAGGGTTTATTGGCAAACTTCTTTGTTGAACGACATACCTCACTACCGCTCAGAAGCAGCATTCCTGCGCGCGACATGCCTCATCTGATGATCTGATGGACCCCACAACGAAGTACCGAGCCAATCCTTCTGACCAAACCTCCAACGAATGGAGGACCGGGTTGCATCCCTTGCGGATCAAGGCGAGCGAAAATGTCTCCCCTCGCCTTGAAATCCTTGAACTTGGACCACGGTGCCGCCAACCTGAGGGCTAAAGGCGCCATTTTCCTCTCCTCTGCCCCCATTCCTTAAGCTGGGAAGATGACCGGCGGCTTGGGGAGAAAAGAAACTCTTTCCCTCGCCGAGAGTCGAGGAATTGGAGCAGCGCGAGTATGGGTTGACGAGGTCAACAAGGTCAAGGTTGTTTTCTTTCTTTTTAACCAGCCGATTGCATTGCACTCTTGATCCACGCTTCAGGGTTTCCATCCGTTGAGAAAGCTGTTTCACCCTGTGTCACCGTCACCGTCACCGTCACCGTCACCGAGAAAGCAAGCAAGCATGTTTTGCCTCGACCACCGGCAGGACCCGACGGTTCAGGCGCTGCGTGAACACATCGAGAGCGATGCAGAGCTGATCGAGCTGTTTGCGACGGCATTCAGTGAGATCCCCGAGGAGTTTCTGGACAGATCCAAGCACATTGGGCCTGGCCACATCCGCGACTACAGTGCCTTGCTCAACAACATCGACCAGGTGATCCAGACGGTGCCCTCGTGGACGTCGGCGGTGGAGCAGAATTGCGTGATTGCCTGTCCGATGAATGAAGTGCTGGTTCGTCTCCCTCTCTGCGTCCACATCAACCACGCCGGACTTCAAACATGCTAACCTTCCCTCGTAGATATGGTTCATGAACACGCGAACGGGTTCACACATTCTCGCCCGCAAGGACATCAACGCGCACTTCTACGCCATCCTCCAGAGATGGGGTCAGTACCTGGCCTCCGCTGAATCCGCCAAGGCCATCCACAACGGCAAGGGCGGGTGGGTATCCTCCGGCGCGCTGACGGAACTCCTCGACGTCGTCGTGCACGCCCACAACACCACCTTCCGGGCGGCCTCCTTCGCCGACGCGTTCATCTGCGACCCGTCCCTCCCCAACTACGGCTTCCGCTCGTGGGACGACTTCTTCACGCGGCGGTTCCGACCCGGGATGCGACCCGTCGCCGGCCCCGAGGACGACCGCATCATCGCCAACCCCTGCGAGTCGCAGCCCTTCGCCCTGGTCAAGAACGTCCCCGCCAGCGCCCACTTCTCGCTCAAGGGGACCGTCTACTCGCTGCGGGACATGCTGGGCGACGGCAATGACACCGCCACCACTACCACCACCGCCGCCGCCGCCCACCCTTCAGCGATCTTCACGGGCGGTACCGTCTTCCAAGCCTGGCTCTCCGCCTTCAGCTACCACCGCTGGCACGCCCCGGTGACCGGCACAGTCGTCAACGTCCTGAATCTCAAGGGCACCTACTTCGCCGCCGACCCGGCCAAGGGCTTTGAGAACGTCGACCCTGCTACCAAGGCGTCATGCCCCGACCGCCAGGCGCCCGATCTCTCGCTGACGATGATCTCGTCGACGGCCACCCGCACTGCCGTGCTGATTCAGGCTGATAATCCGGCGCTCGGGACGGTGGGCTTCCTAGCCATCGGGATGGCGGACGTGTCGAGCTGCGTAGCCACCGTCGCGGTCGGGGACCGCGTCGTCAAGGGTCAGGAGATCGGCAGTTTTCACTACGGCGGGAGCTCGTTCTGTCTGCTGTTTGAGCCCGGGGTGGATCTGACCTTCTCACCGTTCGTCGGGGAGGCCTTGGCGCAGGATCCCGGGTATGAGGGGCGGTGTATTGCGGTAAATAGTCAGTTGGCGGCGTTATGAGGAAATCCCTTCGATCGTGGCCATGGAGCACGAGAGTCTGTCGGAGAATAAGTTAGGGCTCGGGTGATCTCGTGATGTGGACAGATGGACCGGCCAGGTGGAAGAATGGAAGAGTTCAGAGGATAATGGGCAAACGAGTTGCGGGAGACCAAGAAGGATGTCAAATTGATGACCTGATTCTATAGTTGTCGAAGACATCAGGAACATGAGTAGGGTTGGTCATGACATGACATCGGAAGTTTCTTCAATAATAATGCTGATACGAGGTTTCAAACCCAACCACGATGTAAAACGCATGATGTCCGTACCTTGAGGTTGGCTGCTTCAGCTCTAGACTGTGAGTTGCCTGAATTAAACCTGCAATTTGCCTCAGCCTCTGTCTCGATCCAATGTAGCCCACTAGTCGCAAGTGCCACTCCCGTCAACTTCTCAATCTCATGCGACCGGCTTAGCAGACCTACTCTCAAGCGCTTATCGAAATCATGAGGACCAACCACCAAAGGCGTTCTCCTGTCACGGCAATGGCCTGTATCTAGCGAATGTGACAGAGATAATGGTCGAGAATGAGATCTGAGCGAAGCCCTAGGCCCATTCACGGATCGAACATCCCAATGAACTAGCGTCCGCTTATCAAGCGGGTCAGCGACTGCATAAGCGGACGTCAAACCCAATCAGGCCAGAGAACGGCAAGGTACCGCAGATGCCGCGCACAGTCCCTTGGGTAGAAGCGTTTGAGATTGTCGGGTTTCGATCCAATGGATTTCCCGACACACGTCATCAGACCTCGCGTATACACACACTTGCATTGACCTAACGAGCGGGATGGGTATGAGAATGTCGATCAGTGGGATTATCCTGGCGGGGTGACCATATTAGAGGCCTGCATTGTAAAAGCACGGGCAGGTCAGCCCATTTCTCGATTTCACTCTTCGCCATAAGCTTCAGATCCCCCCACACTACTACAGTGATACTTGCTAATGACACCAGCATTCAAAGTCATTATCGTCGGTGGAGGCCCCGTCGGGCTCACCGCCGCGCACGCTCTCCACCACGCTGGGATCGACTTCGTGGTTCTTGAGGCCCGCGATTCGGTCGTCCTTGACCAGGGCGCCAGCGTGGTCCTGGCACCACCCAGCCTGCGTGTGATGCACCAACTAGGTCTTTTGACGCGACTGTCCAAGATCAGTGGCGAGATCTACCAGGTCACCTCCTTCACGCGGGACGGATATGCGTTCGCCGAGAACACGGCCATCTCTCGAGTTTTTAGAAAGAAGTAAGTGCGCCAGGCACAGCACGCCCTTCGGAGAAGGCATCGTATACTGACACATGGGATCTCCGAATCCCAAATAGCCACGGAGCCGGAATGACCTACTTTCATCGCGCCCAGATCATCGAGAGCATCTACGATGCACTGCCTGCCGCTGCGAAAGCCCGGTACTTTCTGGGCAAAAAACTTGAGACTATCAAGACGCAAGACCACGGTGTACGCGTCAGGTGTACCGACGGGAGCACGTATGATGGGTCGATGGTGCTGGGTGCCGATGGGGCGCATAGCAAAACGCGGACCCTGATGCGCGAGCTGGCGCTGGCCGAGGGGCCGTCGGCTCAGCTTAAATGCAAAGACGAGGCCTCGTTCCCGGCACAGTATCGATGCCTGTGGTGCAGCTTTCCCAGACCGGGCGCCGCTGACGTAAAGGTGGGCCATGGCTCAGTCACACACTCCAAAGACATGTCGGTCATGTTTCTGGCCGGGAGGGAGCGAGGTTGGGTGTTCCTGTTCGAGCGGATACCAATGGGGCCGACGACGGAGCGGATGCGCTACACTGAAGCAGAAATGAAGGCGTATGCGGCACGGTTCGCTGACTTCCACGTGTCGAGAACACTGAAGGTCAAGGATGTGTACGCGGCGCGTTTGACTGATGGAATGGCGAATCTAGAGGAAGGGATTCTGGGGCAGTGGAGCTGGGACGGGCGGATTGTTCTGGCAGGCGATGCGTGCCACAAATTCACCCCGAACGCGGGACAGGGGTTGAATAATGGAATCCAGGATGTGGTGGCGCTGTGCAACGGGCTGCATGCGCTACTGCGATCGACCGGTCCCGACGTAACACCGCACAAGACCTCCTTAGCCAAGGTCTTCGAGGAGTACCAGAAGATCAGGGCCGCGCCGTTGAAAGCCGACGCCGACCATTCGCGATCTCAAACGCGACTGGACGCCTGGGCAAGTCCATACTATCACTTCCTGGCTCGCTATGTTATTTCCTTCGCTTGGGTGATGTGGTTCCTCGTGAACTTTATCGCCGCGCGCGCAACGAAGAAGGCCTTAGTGTTGGATTATATCCCTGCGGACGAACCATTTCCTGACGCGCTGGTTAGCTGGGAACATCCGCTCAAGAATGAAGTCAAAGCAGGATAGGCCAGGTTGTGAGGAACTTTTGAGGGAAAGGAGGGCGTTCTGTCACTGTGGCCTTTACAATATAGTTAATGCCCTCATCATCTGTATCTGTTATTGCTATCCCTCCCAGACCGACTTATTGTCTTCTTCTCGAAATAGCGCATCGTGCAAGACGACATAGCTCCGCCACGAAGTCTCGCATCAAGTAGACATCAGCACAATAGCAAAAGTAAGTATGTGACCCTGCCGCCCGGGAAAAACGTGCCGCAATTGTGTCAAGCAGGTGAACGTCGTCCAGGGTCTGCGAGTCACCGGGATCGTTCAACACTTTGCAAAAGAGGTTCATGACCCTTAAAAGAACATAGTAGATTTCAAACCTGAGAGTAGCCCAAGAAGAAAGAACGTCAGCCTGATGACAGTTGGAATCGTACGCGGCATGGGAGGAGAGGATCGGATCTTACCAAAACACCTCCTGTGCTAATGCATCTTGCATGACAAGAAACTGTCGCAGAAGTGCGCGGCTCGCGTTTGCCGCAACCTCTAAGCTCAAAGTGATGCCCAAGGCTCGGCTGCTGGGATCGGCTATCCATGCCGCGCATCCCGTACTCATCTGATGAATGGCAGCAATGCAGTATTGGTGTTGCAATTGTAGCAAGCACGAGCGCAGGTAAATCTCTTCCTGGGTGAATACCACTCCCTGGTCATTGTTCGGCAACTGCAGGCTTCGATACCACTCATTCAATCCATCATCCAGCTCTCGAACGGTCTTCAACAACTCCGCATCAGAGGCTAATGCGGCTTGAGGAGAGTACAGCTTCCTAGTTATCTTGGATTGAACAAGGCTGAGCCTGATGTCTGTGGGGAAGAAAAATGCAAGATTAAAATTCGCTGGGGTTTGGTGGTCGTGGTAGCCAAATTCCATGGCGAGTTCGTCTTCATCTGGGAGAGTGAGGTCACAGTGATCGTCGCAAATTGCTGGGGGGCGGCCGGTCCTGAGAGAGAGTTCCCTGTCGCAAAGGTAGGCTAACCAGAAAAGGAATCGACAGTGTAAGTTGAAGACAGTGGGTGATTTCTGGACATGCCGATGTAGATGGCCCCCAAGGGTGAAAATGTGGCGGACCGAGGCCTGGAAGAACAAGTCGACTGAGTGGGGGGCACTGAAACGGAGCAGTCGAAAAAGAGACTACAACAGTGATTAGCAAGCGGACTTTACCCCTAATATGCCTGCAAGGAGGGGATAGCTCATGTAAAATTTGCCGGAAAGAAGAAGGTGCCCAGAGGATTTCAGGCCACCCAGAGAAGAGACCATAACTCCTGAGCATATGACGCAATAAGCCCCCAAAACTTCAAAGAAACAAACAGCCGCGTTGATAGATCAGAGGGCGTGAGCACAGGATTTGACTTACGAGCATCAGCAATGCTTGGATCCCATCTATAGTGGCCGCTCCATCCAAACACTCTGACAGAAGATACTGCGCTTGGTGACCATACTCTTGAATATTGTTATCCTCGGGCAGGGCTTGACCGAAGGGCCAAGAATTCATGAATGCCATGAAAGCAAAAATACAGGCTCTAGCCGTGGAAGGATCAGGTGAAGCATCCGATGCTTTATTCTCGTATGCTGCCTCCATGGTGTCATGAAATAGGTCTGGGTGGAGCAGAGGGAAAAAGCGATGCACCCAGAAACGTCTGAAGGACTGGAATACCAACAGTACCTTGCTCCTATCCGGTAGGTCAGGATGATTGTGGGTGTGGAAGTACTCCCTTATAGTTGCCAAGCCGCCCACAGATTGGCTTTGTCTTCGCGGACTTTTTAAAGACAGGCGATCGAAATTAATGGTCTGACCGGTGCGCGATTCCATCCACTGCCGACTTTCGGAGGTGAAGAAGGGCAGTCCATTAGAAGCACGAAGATGAGTCGGAACATGTCCCATAATGTGATCGATAGCGACAGGTGAGCGATGGGACGATCCTCGTTGGGTATTCGAGTCAGAAGGTGAGCTGCTGTCCTCCCATTGGAAACAACAATCTGCTCGATGAAATTATTAGCGTTTCTTGGGCATAGACCGCGAAGTACATACACGTGATCGTCCGTTGAGGAAGGCTGGTTGAATCGGTGGTTGCGATCGAAGGTACATTGCAGGCCCTGCTGCAAGCACCATTCGCACGGAATCCTGTCCCGATAACATTTTATCTGGAGATTATTAGAAACAGGCTTCAGGGGGGCGTGAGCGCCCTACTTTTCTGCGAAAGCAGGAGTCGCATGCAAGACGCGTGCGTGCGCGAGATTGAGAGTCGTTGGCTTGCCGAGACATTTGCGAAACGAGAGATGTAGGATGTAGAATGTAGAATGTAGAATGGGGGGTATTCGGAGAGAAGTGCCAGTGGTTGATGCCAGCCTGGAGCCGAGCGGGTGATTGCCTAACTAGTGGCTGACTTATGCAGGTAGAGATGACTAAGCAAGACATTACACTTCCAGCACAGCTGTGTGTCCAACCATCAACTGCATGATCACGCCTTACGCAAGACACAACCTCGCCAGACTCTGCCTCTATTCACACAAATGAGAGCCTAACTGAGCTTCCAGTTGTAAGGCCCATGAGAGGCCGCTAGAACAGGTGGAAACTCCCGATCCTGAACCGCCCACGCCGCCTCGGTTAAAACCGCATCCGGGAGCACGAGGATGGCATTGGCGGTTACCGTCGAGACCAGCAATTTGATGCGAAACTGCCCTACCCAGTCGTGTATTTCCTTGCAATACTGCATAGCGCAGAGAGTGAGTCTCTGTCAAGCATACATGTTTAGCCTTAATAGAATTCAAGCCTACATCTGGAGGAACTATACTAACCTGTTCCGAAATCACCTTCAGCAAATGAGTATAGGTCGGCTTCAAGATGACAGTGTTTGCAGTCACCCGGGTGCTCTCGATAGGACTCAAATAGCTGAGAAGGAGCGTCTGGGCAATCAATGTGTCGAGGGAGTCGGTGATGGCCCGGGTTTGGGACTGGAGGAGCGGGATGCTGTCCTTCGTAAGTTGAAGCGCTGAGATGGTCTTATCAAGAGTAACAACATCGACGCCGATCTGGAGAAGAGTGGCGATCACATCGTCAACGCCGGTGTTTGGGTCGATCTTCTGGAGTGGGCTATCTGGGGTTGCGGCGGGATGGACGTCTTGCTGAGAGCTGTCTTCGGAGATAGGTTTCCCCAGCAGTTTCGATGCTATAGCAAGTAGTGTGAAGATAGTGTAAGCAAGCTTCATTTTTATGGAAAGTGTGTTGAGATTGTGCCTAGAAATGTGAATACAAGAGAAAGCAGGACTTTGGTGGCTGAGGCTGGATCTCGATAACAAGTAAGCAGAAAGTGGGTGGTAATCGCGGCCGGTGGTGTTGGTTGTATTTAGACTCAAAGTCAAGTTGTACAACCGAAAAAGGAGTACAGCACGAAAGCCTGCGGTGGTAGTACTTGCGATGGCAATACAGTGCAACCCGTTGACCTGTCATACCTATTAGAGTTTGGTACCTGGAGTCACGGACCTGGAAGGAAATGCATAAGACGTAACTCGGCACATGCTGTGACTTCATCGATAGTATGAGACGTAATACGCTGCGTACACGAAGGTAGAACAACACTAGCCAATGTGTGGTTGTATGTGATGAAGGTAAGAGTCTCTATCCCACTTTATTGCACCAATATCACAGATCTTGTTCGGGGTCAAGCTTCGAATGCATTAAGGCTTCCATTCAACCTTGTTTTATCCGAAGGTTAGGTATAAAAATATATAAACTAAAAGTTTAGATCTCTCTTCACCGTAGCAGTGATATTTACTCCCCTTTGTATGTTTTCCCCAGGGGTTAACATGAGCCAATGCTTGATATTCTTTCAGTAATGGCATCGGACAACCGCTATATCTGAGAAGACTCGGAGATAACAAGGAGGGTCAGTTCTCTCGCCGGATAATTTTACCGTTACGGGGAACGACCCATAGCATCATGAATAAACAATGCTCGGGGGGAAGGAGCTGCACAAGCACGTGGCTTACATCTGCTAACCCTCTTATTACTTATGTGGCCAGCATCAAGAAAAATAGAGATCCCAAAAATCGATAGACGAAGATCGGACTTTCGCCTATCCACACGCGGGGTTTGGCTAATCCTTCACGCACACGTCTGTCTGTCCCAGAAGAAAATGCAGAATTATCCGGCGTAGGTAACATTCCTAAGCGACGTCCTGGGCCCCATCGTGCAGACCATCCTCGTCCAGTCTGTTTCCTTCAGCGTCCCACTGCTGCGGGGTCTGCATTAGTGCCACTCGCTTGGTGCACGGGAGGAGAGCTAATCCCAGAGGAATGATTGGCCTACATGCTTCATATCCTTGCAGATTAAAATTGGCCATACTGGATTCGATAACAATACGGGCTTATATTTGATGTCACATATGCATGTCCCCTCACAGTGGTGAAGTAATATAAGCCTAGACTGACGGTGAGAGAAACCCCCCAGAATTACAATAATTCAGACACGCACACTTCTCACTATGCTCTCAATCTCTTCGACAATACTTAGCCCCACAGGCTTTTTCTACTTGGTTGGGATCTGGGTTGCGTCTCGTCTCGTCCGCGCCTTGTACAATGTCTCCCCCTTCCACCCCCTCAGCCACATTCCAGGCCCGAAGCTCGCAGCTGCCACATTTCTGTATGAGGCTTGGTTTGATTTAATTAGAAGGGGTCGCTTCACCCACGAGATCAGGCGATTGCACGAAATTTATGGTTCGTTGTACCGCTGCCACGCTTGGTCCTGTATCTGACGCCGAGAGACCAGGTCCGGTGGTGCGCATCAACCCAGAGGAGCTACATTTCAACGACCCCAATTTCATTGACGAGGTGTACCCCACCGCCGGGCGCCCACGAGACAAACAGGTTCACTATGTCACCTTTGCCACCGGCCCTACTGCTGAGGCGATGTTTGCGACCATTGACCATAAACACCATCGCATCCGACGCGGCGCGATGAACAAATTCTTCTCGCGTGCACAGATTGCGCGGCTGGAGCCTGAAGTTAAGAGGCTGACCGACCAGCTCTGCGACAAGATTATCCGGCTCGGTAGGGATATATACCCTCTCCATTGTAAGAATTTTTGCTGAAAACCCAATTCCTAGGCACCAAGAACCACGAACCACTCGACATCACCACCGCGTATAGCTGCTTCACCGCCGACGTCATCTCCGGCTACTGCTTTGGCGAGTCCTTCGGGTTCGTGGAGCAGGAGGGCTGGGAGCCCAACTTCCGAGACGCCGTTGTGGGTCTATTGGAGACGATCTTTCTCTTTCGGTTCATACCTGTAACCAAACTTCTGGTACCTTTAGTCCCGTTCCTGTGGAGATGGCTGCCCCGATCATTGCAGGTCTACATGGAGGAGTCGACGGAGAAGATGCCAGCTCGCGTCCGCCAAGCGAGGCGGGAGTTCGAGACGGGGACCATCCCCAGCCGGCCGACTATCTTCCACGCGCTGCTTACTTCTTCATTGCCGGAGGCCGAAAGGACCGACTACCGGTTGACCGGGGACGGTTTGTCGCTGAACACCGCGGGGACAGAGACAACCGCCGTAAGTACCACCCTTTCAACATTCAGATCGGTTCTCAGTACTCAACAAACATGCAGTGGACCCTTACAGTCGCAACCTACTACCTCCTGGACCAGCCAGAGACGCTTGCCCGCCTTGTGCAGGAACTCCAAGCCGCCGACGCCACCAACCGAACGTGGATCGAACTCGAGAAACTACCCTACCTGAGCGCGGTTATCGCCGAGGCACTCCGCCTGTCCTACGGAGTCAGCCCGCGGAGCCCGCGGATTGCGCCGAACGAGCGCCTCGTCTACCGTGGACGGTTCCAGGGGCGCGAGATCGTCTACGACATTCCCCCCGGCACGCCCGTCGGCATGTCCAATGCGATCAATCACCACAATGAGGAAGTGTTTCCAGATTCGCATACTTTTAGGGTGGAGCGATGGCTTGAGGCGGATGAAGCTCAGCGCCGCCGGATGGAGACGAGTTTGACTTCGTTTTCGAGGGGAAGCCGCTCATGCGTTGGAATCAAGTATGTTTCAGCCTTGCTATAAACTGAATACAACTGTGCTCAAACTCCATGCTAATATCTATGACCATCAGTCTCGCATACTGTAACCTGTACGTGGCAATGGCGGCCCTCGCGGTGCGAGTGCTCCCCCGGACGAAACTGTTCCAGACGACCGTGGAGGATGTGGCGTACGATCATGATGTTTTTGTAGGGGTGCCAAGACGGGAATCGAAGGGGGTGAGGGTTGTGGTTTCTTGAGAGAAACATGAGAGTGAGGATGAGCCAATGGTCGGGCTTTCTTATGTATGGCTAGAATCATGCACGCATTCATCCAGTAGGGGTCATTCTCCCATCGTTAACCCAGAGCTCTGAAGTGTGAAGGCGAAGACACACTACAACCCAATACGTTCCCATCCCTGTAAGGCTATGCTGGATTACCGATGAGATGTAAACCCGGCTGACATGGCGTGATCACTAAGTTGCCCACTCCAATTGTAGGCTTGAGAAATGGTTACGGTGGGGGCGGGGGGGCGGGGCGCGGCCGGGACGGACCGGCGGGATCTCCACCAGGACGACAGTCAAGCCTTTGCGCCAGTCGACATGGGAAGGGCAATGTTGAGTATTCTTGAAAGCAGGAAAGAGACTGTAGCACAAAGAATACTACGCGTGTAGAGACTCTCAGCATGCCCACCATTTCTCATAGTGTAGAATGTCGTGAAGAGCCTGCGCCTCTGCACTCAATTAGTATAAACACATCAAATGCCATCAAAGCATCATTACTAGAGCACATGAAAAGGGGATCATCAATCTGGTCACAGCTTCAGGTACCACGCTCTCTCAACCTTGCATGAACTCTAACCAAGCATCCAGATGCTGTGCAGGGGGTTCCAGGGCCGCCAGATGAATCATCACCAATTAAGATTCCAACACATAATACGCAAGATATCCCTACCAGCAGTCAACCCTGAACATGTCCAGTTCGAACAAAGTTCATTCCTTGTATATCTACACCTTAGAGCCATCATATACGTCCAGCACCCCTATCCAATACCCCTATACATCCACCACTCCACCCTGAACCAGCGAGCCCAAACCCCCAACCCCAATCCCGCTACCAAAAAAACCCATCCAACCTCCCCCACCCCATCCACCAACATCCCCTCAATCTCACCACCAACCCCCTCTACGAAGACCCCTACATCGCACAATGCCCCTATGACGCCCCAATGACGTCCTACCCCTCACGCAAGCCCCCAAAAGAAGATTGCCGCGACTGGGACTCGAACCCAGAATCTGCACTCCACACCGCTAGCATAAGGCTAGTACGGGGGCTCTGCAATGTTAATACCACTACACCACTGCGGCTGTTGATGTACAGTTGTACTCGAAACTAAAATATGACCCCCACATGCCCTATTTGTTTTAGGGCGCTACGGCCCCAGAGCCCCGCTGTGGGGGCTGAGATTCTGGGGCTGGTTTTTGTGGGCTGTGGTGCTGGGTTTGGGATGGTTTTTGTATGTGTTTTGTGTCTGTGGGGGTGGGGTTTGGGGTGCTGGAGTGGTGAAGGTATGAGGATAGGGGGAAGTTGGGGGGTGCGGTGGAGGATGGTTGTGATGTCATTGGAATTAGGTTAGTCAGCTCGGGGTAAGGACCACTGTGCTTCAGCTTCTAGGACATCTGTTAGAGTGGGATTAGGAAACTAGCGTTTGTTTTGTAAGCGGTGATTAGGTTACCTACACAACTATAGTATCACAGTCATTAATCGGCATGTTTGGCAACAGATGTCTGTATGACCGGGGACTAGGTAGCATGCCAGCGCTGGAAAACAAGCCCTCAGGACAGCGAAAAGGAACACTGTTTTGGCGCGGAAAACCTAATTTATGCTGGATAAGCAGCATTCATACATCTTTCTTTCTTTTAGTCAACCCTCCTACAGTTTATTGATCAAGAATCTGAATTGTGTGGAGTGCGGCGGGCCCAGTTTCTTCCACCGGAAGAATGATTGTGCGACAGTGAAGCTACATAAAGAGGGTGCATACTTAGAAGGAAAAGGTAATCTAGAAGACCAAACCCAGCCGATTGCGATTGAGGTATACTACACAAATCAGCCCTGCCATCGGATTTTGGTCCTGCTTCGCTCAGTCGACAAGTACCAGGGAAATCATCAGAAGGTGCGAACTAGAAGCTGCAAAGCCTGTCGATAAATCACAAAGGATGGAAATTATATCCAAGCTGTTGATGAGTCCGGTAAACCTATCGTCACCATGCATCATCTTCCAAAAGTAGTATCGTGGCCGACGGAGGCAGGGGACTCCAACAGATGCCTACTACTAGGTAGGCAGTTATCAACTAAAACCAGCTGCGGTGGAGGCTTGGTCAATGATTTTTAGGGGGTGGAAGTGATCGGACTTGGTTCACCCAACTCTGCCGATGGGCGTGAACCCTGCAGTGGTGTGCCGACCCGACATCCGGGCCTAACAGCCTTTCCGCAATAGCCGACGACTGGCCCAGGCGGGGTCCAGGAGACACACTGGGGCAGAAATGAGGGCCCATATTTGAAAGGCAAACACTTTGCTATGAACAAAATCCTATGTTTGTGTTGGGTAGACTTTACCAAGAACAGGATTCCCCTTTTTGAAAAATTGTCCGCTCCATTTAGGCCCTGGCAGCCCTGTTTTCAGGGCAGTCTTCCATTCCTTAGTGAGGACCTGTTACCAAGCTGCGCTTCGCCTGTCTCATTCCGAGGCCATTGGTCGAAGCACCGGCTTTCGAGCTACCATCAGAAACATCGGGGTGACCAACTTTTTCTCCCCTGCAACCCGATACGCATTCATCACCCTCACCATGTCCATGACGCGACCCCGGGTTCCTGGAGCGAGGAGGCCCAGCATCTCGCCCGCGCTCAGGAACCGACCGCCCCAGCGCGAGGAAAACAGCCGCAGAAACGCCGCCACGAGCCCGCAGGCAAGGGTCTCCACGGCTCCGCCCATCCACTTGACCGAACCGTCAATGAGCTGGTACCAGGGCAAGCCTGCGGCGGCGGCGGCGGAATCGGCCAGATCTTCCGCCGCGCGGAGCTCGAAGCCGACCGCTCGCATGGCGTCGACCACCTCGGCGGTGGTGCGGAGATGCGGACAGCCGGCCACGCGTTCCAGGTCGCGGTGGCACTCGCGGTGGTCGGCGCGCGTGGCCTGGTATCGGTCCGTCATGGCCAGCTCGTAGACGGCGAGGATGCCCCCGGGCTTGAGGAGACGGAAGACCTCGCCGTAGACGGCGGTGAGGTCCGGGGCGTAGCACGTCGCCTCGATGGAGTACGCCCGGTCGAAGGAGTCAGGCTCCAGCTGCGTGGCGGTGAAGTCCCGGGCCACGAAGCGCACGCGGTCGGCCTGGCCGGCCTGCTCGGTCAGCCGCGTCGCGCGCTGGACCTGCGCGGCGCTGATCTCCACCCCGCAGATGTCCACCTCGGCGAAGCGGGCGAGCTCGCGCGCGGGGCCTCCGAGGCCCGACCCCAGGTCCAACACCTTCTGGTCGGGCTGGAGGCCCAGTCGGAGGGCGAGATAATGCTCGTGACGGATCATGGCCTGCTGCACCGACTCGCCCGGGCAGCGACGGCACACATGGAAGGACGTGCCCCAGGCCCACTCCATGAAGCTGCTGCCATTGCTGTAGTAACTGTAGCAAGAAGGGGGTTCTGCGTGAGCGTTGTGGCTGTCCGAGAAACCAGGCCAGTTCGACGACTACTACTTACCTGTCTGCTGCTTGGGCTTCACTAGGATTACCCCCCTAGGCTGGTGTCAGAATGGCATTTTCGACGCCCACTTTGCGCTGGATTACCGGTGGAAAGGCCCCTTGACTTTGACGTTGTGGCATACCTGCCTTTACGTCGGGGACGGACTTGGCTGCCTTGAGAATCACGGGTTATCTGGGATATCCGGCCTTCCGCAGGGTATGATTCCGTCTTGTTAGTTTTTTTATGGTCAATCAAGTAACAAGTAACATCCTCGAGATACTTGAATGGAAAAATACTCGTCGTGTGGCTTAGAAGCCTGGGTCGATGACTTCAACACCGACCCATGGTTCCGTCCGGTTCCCGTAGTATCCAGTATCCGCGTGCGATCAGCAACGAACTGGCCCATGGCACAACGATGACCGTTACATACCGAGTGGATTCAACGAGAACGTGGAAGAACTCGCAACCAGATGTTTGCCGTCATCATGATCATGTGCGTGACAACTAGTACGTTCGGGGTATCTGTTCGTCTAGTGCACCTCAAGCTCCTAGTCCTGCGGAATTAGATGATAGTTCATCGCCACGTCTACTCGAGCCTTGCTCACAGAACGAGGAACTTGCTGGTGTCACCCGTCTTACTTAGGTAGTAAGCTTCCGAGAAGGCCCAGCATTCTGCTAACAACTTATTCTGAAAACTAAGGGTTACTACCAGCTTACGTATGATCGAAGAATTAATGTTACTGCAAAGGTTGTACCGGAGTATCATAAACTCAGTATACGAAAAAGACTAGTAGATAGCATCTATCTTATCAGCACTACTAGCAGCAAACCTTGTCCAAAAACCAAAGAACCTTTCCACTTCATTTCACCTGGATCGCATGGCCAGCTCTGTCCGAGGATCCAGCTGGTCGCACCGGGCTCGGTCTCCTCCACCCTCACCGCCTTGCGCCTCCAAGCATTGCTTATGCGGTTGCAGGATTTGATGTAGATTCGAAGAAAACGCGTGTAACTCTGATAACAATCAAGACTGCGTGTGCTCAAGCCTATGCCTGGTTCCAGACGGAAGAGTCGCGATTAGTGGGCGAGCTCAGCTCGCACCGAGCTAACCAAGAGACTTATTACCTTTCTCTCCTTACCAATCTCCTTTGTAGCATCCGCGTTTGGGATGAACTTTCCCCACTTTGGCCAGAGCCCTCTGGGCCCCTGGATCCGACTGGCTGTCCTGGTGCCGTTGTTGGTTGTGTGTGCGTGCGGGTGTGTGTCAAACTTGTGGAGGGGAGGATTCCGGTTTGAGCATTAGTCGAAAAGGGATTGGCCTCGGTTCGCCAAGTTCAACGACAAAAGTTTGGCAAACAGCTGAGTTGGAATGAGAGCCCCCGCCTCACACTAGCGTGGTTTCGTGCTCAGGAACAGGTGAAGCTGGGGGTGAGGGATGATAGGGGAACAGGTGAAGCTGGGGGTGAGGGATGATAGGAGGGTGGTGTCGACGCAGGGCCGGGAAGAGGTCACACGATGTTCATCGGATTAGCAGTCTATCGCAGTGATCCATTTATATTTATTTTAATTCCTGTTATAGGTGGCTGCCGGTCAAGTGGAGGGTGAATTGCTGAGAAGAAGAAATCAATCCTGCGGTTGTTGCGAACTCAACTAATTCCTACGCAGGTCCTGGTTGCTTGCTGCCTTTTGCCCCTGAACGTGACCTGCGGATAGGGCTGCGGCGGCCCGTCGAGAGCGAGCACCGACCAAGAGCAAAAATTGACTTTGTCCTATGAGACATTTTGATTTTGGTACTGAACCCGAGTTAGCTGAAAAATGAGAGCAACGGGTTTGACTTGACCGAATCCGGCCGCCCGAAACACCCGATTCCTGGCACGAGCGTCGATTTCCCCGGAATCTCAGCCATCTCTGACCGCCGCCGGGCCAGTTCCTGTCGATCATACAATATCTTAAAATTGAGCCCTTTGCACATCACTGTATCATATCCTCAAAGCTAGGGGTTCGATCAACACAATCCTTGACGAACCATGCTATCATTACGGTACCACAGAACTATAAAGACACCCGAATGTCCTCCGAAGTCGACCTTCTCCTACAGCGTTCAACAATCATCCTGCCTGACCTTCGATCCCTCAACCCTAATATCCTCACCTAAGTATCAACAACCCATCCACAATGAAGGTCTCCATTCTCTCTGCCCTCACCGTCGGCCTCGCTGCCGGTACCCTCGCCGCTCCCACCAAGGTTGAGCGCGACCTGCCCACCGTCACCGGCGTCCTCTCCGGCATCGGCACCAAGGTCGACGCCCTGGGCTCCGCCATCCAAGCCTACAGCGGCGGCGACGTGGCCAGCGTGCAGCAAGCCTCCGACAATCTGGTCAGCGCAATCAACAGCGGTAACAGCCAGGTCAGCGGCACGTCGGCCCTCAGCTCCACCGACGCCCTGGGCCTCCCCGGGCCCGTGGACACCCTCAAGAAGAAAATCTCCACAGTCATCAGCGACCTCGACAACAAGAAGACCTTGATCGTTGAGGCCGGAAAAGGCGCCCAGACCTACAACGACCTGACCGAGCAAAAGGCCGCGGCGGAGAAGCTGTCCGACACGATTGTCTCCAAGGTGCCCGAGTCATTGCAGAGCCTGGCCGGTACCGTTGCTGGTGGCATCTCGGATGCGATTGAGGCGGGTGTAAAGAGCTGGTCGGACCAGGCTTCCAAGGGCGACGCCGCCCAGCCTCAGGCCAGCCCGGCTGGTGAGACCGCTGCTGCCGCCCCTTCGGCAGCTCCCGCTGCCGCGCCTAAGGCGGCTCCCACCGCTGCGCCCGCTGCGCCTGCTGCTGCTCCCAAGCCTGCTGCTTCCAACGATGCCCCTGCTGCTGCCGGGGCTGCCCCTGTGGGGGGCTGCGTGGCTCGGTATTGATTTGCTACTTGGTCCGTGAAGGGCTTGGGCACGGAGACCGACCTATGGTGAAGAAACGGGAATTGTGCGATACTCATTGGTTTTGTGGTAATTAATGTCACTGCATGCGTCATAGCCCTCAAATAAGCCTGATAATAATCCGTCTTCTACGTACTTAGCATACTAGAATCTAAAAGTAAGCAACTCGACAGATTTTGGTGGTGGTAATGTCCCAGGAGCAAACTGGGCACTAGAAATGGCCAGGCCATGGGGCCAGACTCCACCCAGTACTTAGCGCCGTTAACACTTAACTCATTCGCATCTCCCCACCATCTTTATCCATCAACCTCTCTTCCAACGTCTCCTTGAGCGCTTCCTATAGAGCTTTTAGGCATTCTTTCAATAGATACTAAGAAGCTTCTCGCCTTTACCTTGACTAGTTTTAAAAAGTCAGCCCCGAATGTAGGAAGGATTTGTTGAATAGAGTATGCCAGAAAACGCGTCGCGTGTCGCAGTGCTAAGGCAATTATGTTTCTATCCATTTCCTCAAGGAATACAGCTCTTGCAGATAGCCCAGCTTCATCGCGCAGAAGGTAGGATAAGCTGATTTGCGCTTGGGTGGATGTGCGGGGAAGAGATAGGATGATCTGAGATTTAAGGCATCTTAGATACTGCATCTCTCTTCTTTGTTTTGCAATTTAGGGTTAGGGTTGATGGACGGCTTCTTGGTCGGTGAAGGGCATTTTCTCGGTGAATGCGGTTATCAGGCAAGGCAAGGGGATTCATCTTCCACGACCCAAGGAAACAAGAAAGATCAGGCAACGTGTGCTAGAGAAGAGATTCATGGTACTCTGCAAAGAGAGGCGTGTTCTATCCAATAAGCTAGTCACGATCGACGTAGCCGAAAAACCAGCTCACCCCGCCCCGTCCAACGCCTGCCCCAAGCACATCTGATAATACACCCCCCTCCTCGCGAGCAGAACCTCGTGCGTCCCGCTCTCCACAATTCGTCCCCGAACAAGCACATAGATACAATCGCTCCCCTTCACCGTCGAAAGCCGATGCGCAATCGCAATCGTCGTCCGCCCCACACTCGCGCTCTCCAACGCCGCCTGCACAACCCTCTCACTCTCCGTATCCAGCGCACTCGTCGCCTCATCGAGAAGTAAAAGTCTCGGATTTCGGAGAAGCGCACGCGCAATCGCGATGCGTTGGCGTTGTCCGCCGGAGAAGAGGGACCCGCGTGCACCGCAGGGCGTGGACAAGCCGTTGGGGAGGGAGGATATGAAATCAAATGCGTTTGCCTGGTGGCAGGCGGAGTGGATCTCAGATTCGGGGATTGAGGAGGGGTTCGGGATGCCGAGGGTGATGTTTTCAAGGACACTGCCGTCGTACAGGATTGGTTCTTGTTGGACGAGGGAGAGGTGCGTGCGGTAGGTTTGTAGCGGGATGGTGGTGACGGGCGTTCCGTCGAGGGTTATGCGGCCACAGGACGGGTTGTAGTAGCGCTCTAGCAGGGCGATTATACTTGATTTGCCATGGCCGGAGGGGCCGACGAAAGCGATGGATTGGCCAGGGGAGACCTGGTTATCGTCAGTTATCCGTTTTGTTTCCGTACCCAGAGAGGATACTTAGGTGGATGGCTCAGCGTTACCTTAATGTTGAGATCCGTCAGAATGGTCCGGTTCGGTCTGGTTGGGTATCGGAACTCGATATCTTGTAGTTCCAAGCTGGCTGCATGGTTTTGGTCTTTCTCGGGGGTGCTATGGCTGGGGTGGTCGTCATCCAAACCCCCATCTCGCACACTCGGGACCAGAGAGCGGAGCCAGAAGATGTAGTTGCATGCTCCTCGCGCTTTTGTCAGGCCTGGAAGCTGGTTAGTCAGCGCAGAAAATTCCACAGAGGGTATGGGTCCGTACTAGTCGTGAACATGAAGAATGATGCAGCTGCCTCTCCCGAGAGGATAGCTCCAATAACAACTATGTATAGCTTCGTGCTAGAGTATTCGCCAGTCGAGAGCAGCCGCCCTCCGTACCTATACCGTGTATTAGACCAAGTAAAATCAACAGCGAAAGGAAAGGAAGATACATACCAAAAGCTCAACGCCATAGACAACAACGAAAGCGACTGCGTGAGCGCCAACCACGCCGTCGTCCACACCAAGCCTCGGATACTCCTCCGCGCAATGCCTCTCAGAATCCCCTTGTACCTGTCCAATATCACCGGCTCAATCGCCAACGACGCAACGGTGCGAATCGCCGAAATCGCTTCTCCCGCGAGCGCCGCGCTCTCCGCAAACCGATCGCCCGTACTCTTCTCAAGCTGCGTCTCCAGCCTTATCCGAAGATACCCGCAGAATGTGATGGGGGTCATGGCGCCAGCCAAAACGACGAGACCCAGTTTCCAGCCGACGGCGATGGAAAGGATCGAGCTGGAGACGATGTTCACGACGGCGATCAATATGATGCCGATGTTGAAGCCGAGGAGTTCTTGTAGGCTCGTGGGTTTTGTTGAGAGATGTGAGACGAGTGAGCCCGTTGTGTGCGAGGGTTGGTCGTAGAAGGTCATGTCTTGGGTTACGTAGCTACGGAAAATCTGCATGCGGTAGGTGTAGACAACGGTCTGTACGTGTTAGTTGGTATTGGCTGTCCCGTACAGGGAGGGAAGGGCGCTTACTGTTGAGATGATGTTGGTTACCCAACCAAGGATTGCGTACACGACAAGGATGACGAGTGCGATGACGAAGAACATGAGCGCGTAGAACTCGCCTTGGTCGATCATTTCTGCCGTGTCTGCAATCTGGAAGGCGTCGAGAGATCTGGCGAAGACGAACGCGAGGACTGGATAACTTCCACCTACGAAGGCTGTCAGCCATTAAGTCTCCCAGAAGAGGCAAGACATGAGTACTGTACCTCCAACAATACAAGCGATCACAACAATCACAAACTCCATCCACAGCTCGCGCCGCTCCTTCACGAGGATTGCAATACAGCGCAGGAGGCTCTGGCTGTCGATAGAGTCAGTCTCAAGCTCGAGAGCACTAGTGTCCCTTGGGCTTTCCGCCTCCACAGAGGGCATGTTCGTGACCAGAGCGTCCTCTTCAGTCTCTTGCTCTTCACGCCGTGCAACTTCAGTAGTCTTATTTGCGCCGAGATCCTGGGCTTCGATCAGCCGATGATACATCCCACCCGCCTCATTGAGCTCATCGTGCGTCCCCTTCTCAATGATCCTCCCCTTGGAAAGAACCACAATCTGGTCTGCCTTCCTGATCGTAGAGAGCTTATGCGCAATGACGATTGTTGTCCGCGACGCGGAAACATTGTCCAAAGCCTCTTGCACGATCTTCTCTGCGCGCGGGTCAAGCGCGCTGGTAGCTTCGTCGAGGATGAGCACTTTTGGATCCGAGACGATACTTCGAGCGATTGCGATCCGTTGCTTCTGGCCGCCGGACAGGACGCTCGCGCGTTCGCCGACGCGGGTGTCGTAGCCCTATTTTCTCGGGTGAGTCGGTCATCGTTCCAAAAGGAGAGTAGAAAAAGAGTGAATCTGTGCTTCGTACCTCAGGCAAGCCTTCAATAAACTCATGCGCATACGCTGCCTTGCAAGCCTCGATAACCCTCTCTAGCTGCTCCTCGCGGGAAGCATTAATATACTCCGTCCCAGCAAGACCATACGCCACATTCTCGAATACTGTTCCGTTGAACAACGTCGGTTCCTGCTGCACAATCCTCACGCTCGTTCTTAACCACCTCACATTCAGCTCGCGGATATCCAACCCGTCCAACAACACGCCGCCCTCAAGCGGATCATACCATCTCTCCAATAGCGCTGAGATCGTACTCTTCCCAGACCCACTCGGCCCGACCAACGCCGTCGTCTTGTTGGCAGGTACAGCGAGGGTGAAGTCTTCGAGAACGCGGACCTGCGGCCGCGTCGGGTATGAGAAGGCGATGCTCGAGAACTGTATTTCGCCGCGGCAGGTTTTGGGCTGTTTCCCCAACGTCGAGAGTGCGTCAATGCTCGGCTCGTGGTCGATGACCTCCCACATGAACTGCGCTGCGGAGGCGGCGCGGGTGATTTGTACGATTTGCGGAGCGATTTGGGTCATGGACGTTGCGGCGAGGATTACGGCGAAGATGACCCTGTTCAAGACACAAGGAAGTTAGGCAGAAAGATCTCAAGCCGGGTAGGCAGGGGAAAGAGAGGGGAAAAATGAAAGAAAGGGAGCTCACGTAACAACCGCCCCCGGCTCATCAATCTCCCCACGTGCATACATGCGAATCCCCTGCCAAAACGCCAATCCGTACCCGGCATACGCACAAAAGAACTCCCCCGCATAGAGGATCGCCATATTTGCCGACTGCCGAATCCCCAGCCGTCTCGCCTCGCCCGCAAACGCCTCATACTTACCCGTCAAAGCTTCGAACGCATTGAATGCATGCACGGTTTTCATACTCGCAAGGACCTCCTCCGCCAAACTCCCTGCGCGCGAGTCCACGCGCAGAATGGCATTCTCAGCTTGCACGAGGAACGCGGAGCAGATTGTCGTGATGATCAGGATCGCCGGCGCAATGCAGATTGTTATGAGCGTGAGCTTCCACTGCACGGCGAAGGCGGTGATGAAGGCTGCGACAAAGGTTGCTGTGCCCTGGAGGACGAAGCCGAGTTTCTCTGAGGTTCCGCTGTTGATTAGGTTGGCGTTTGTGGTGACGTGGGTGACGGGGGAGCCGCCGAGGGAGGCGTCGAAGAAGGAAATGGGTTGTTGGAGAAGCCGGGTGAGGAAGGCGGTTCGGAGGGCTTTGGTTGTGCGGAGGGCGGAGATGGAGATGGAGAGCTGGAGTAACAGCGGGGTTGGCATAGGCGTGGAAGGTGTTGTAGCTGGATACTGGGTACTGGGTACTGGGTAGAGGAACGTACTGTCCAGATATAAACCAACGAAAACTTTCCGATGAAGAGATACACAAAGTAAAGCCTGAGTAAGGAAGGCAGATTAGACCGATGGATGGGTGTGGAGGCACCTAGAACAATAGAACAAGGGGAATAATTGCACATACACAAATCTATTCAAACTATCCCGAAACTCCTCTGGCGAGCTCTGCCCTGTCGCAAGGTCATTAAACGTCGTAAGCATCTTTCCGAAGAGAAGATCCATCAGGGGAAGTGCTGCGCCCGCACCAATGGCTCCCATTAGAGCGAGCGCATTGAGCGTCCACCCGCAGGAGTCGGCATAGCTGAAGATGCGGAGGTAGCTCTTGAGCCCGCCGCTCTGTGGATGTGGATGAGTTCCGGTGTTAGATGGTTTGGAGTATTCATCTGTTTGTGGAGTAGGTGATGGTGGAGATGCAGCGGCGTCTTGGACTGTCGGTGAAGTGCTCATGATGAAGCAGCCATTGTGTTACGCCGATCAACAGGATGATCTGGCTCGGGGTGGGCTGGCCAGGATACATGAAGTAAATTGATTGTTCTCACGAAGGAGGGAACCCGCGGGCTCCGAGCCCGCTGACAGCCCAGACCGCAGCACCCGCGGATTCCGCAGGCTGGATCCGACGAGCGATGACTGGAACCTCGATGCCTAAAAACGCATTGGGGAGGTTGTGGAATTGGTTCCCCTACTGGTTTTGCTTTCACAAATCAAACAGTTGAGTTCGTCTCGGCTGTGCTGACTAGGGCCGAGAGAGATAACTGTCAAGATAGACGGCAAGGTCCTCGTTTCATGCTGCTGAACATGGGTACTAGAATTCATCTCTTTGAAATGCATACCTGCAAGTCATATATACGTCTCGATATCCATATATATGTATCTACTGGTTACGTTTGCACCCTCAAACTGTCTTTCATTGCCGCCCGTCCCCAAACATCCACCTGAAGCTTGTACACAAGACCTAAGAACAGACCCCAGCCCCCTGGCTCGGGTCAATTAAGCCACTGTTCACAAAGTACACATAATTCCAATAATCCACCTGGGTCCCCTCGCCATCCACAGTTGCGTTTCCAGAAAACTTGGCCGTCCAGTACGCACTGCCGCGGGTATACTGCGCAAACGCATACAAGCCCGTGTTCAGCGCCTTCTGCCTCCCCGCGAATGTATTATCGAGCTCAGCCTGGATCGACCACTCGCCTATGAAGACCGGGAATTTTCCGTCGCCCGCCGACGCCGCCGCATCCTCGCAGATGTACTCGGTAATGTTGGCCCCCGACGCGCTGCGACCCGCGAAGTAATAGTTGTGAACGTCGAACACGACGTTGGCGTTGGAGGGCAGCTTCGACGACCAGTAGGATTCGGGCCGGAAGGAGCCCTGGAACATGATTGGGATCTTGGGGTTCACGGCCGCGACTTTCTTGTTGACGGCGAGGATGTATTTGAGCACGTATGTGGCACCGCTGTCGGTGAGTGCGGCGGGGGCGCCGAAGGCGGCGATGTTGTCGACTGGCTCGTTGATCGGAGCGATGGTGTACGACGCAGGGTTGCCGGATTGGTTCTGCACATAGTCGATGACGGCGTCGATTGCTGCCAGGGAGTAGTCGTAGGCGGTTTGATTATTGAACCAGCCAAAGTGGCCAGAGGCCTCGCCGAAGGGCATTCCGTTCACGCCGCCGGGGAGCGAATGCACATCGATGATGATATGCATCTTGTACTTGGTGATAGCGTACGTGGCGATGTTCTTGAGGAAGCTGACCTGGTTGCCGCTGTACAGCTGCGATCCAGGAACCTGAACCCAAGCAGCGTAGGTGGTGGGTATGCGCAGTGTGTTGACCCCTGCGCCCGCTAGCTTGTCGATGTCGCTGGGAGTGATGTAGGTTGCATACCGACGCTCAAGAATCGGGCCACACTGGCTGCCTTGGTTGGCACAGAGGCCCCATTCATCCTCGGCGCCCTTGGAGTTTGCTGCCCACCATGTCGTGTCGATGGTGGATTCCTGGCAGAGCCAGCCGCCCAAATTCACACCGTTAGCCCTGTAAGTAGCCCAACTGATGTATTGGGCCATAGAAAGCCCAAAGAAGGGAAGAGTCAATGCGAGCTTCATGATTCAACAACAAGGAATGAGATGATAGCCGCGGATGTGTGCTGGTAGGTTGCGGTTGTGATTCCTCGAGAGAGCGAACGTCCGGTATTTATCTTGTGCCCGTTGCGAAAACTGTCCCTGCTCATCTCCGATGACTACAGATTAGGCTCTGTGCTTTCGTAAGAGAAATTGGACCCTGAAACGAATTCTTCACGCGATGCGCCATTTTGACGCTTGTGGGGGTGACTAGAGGCACACCGGGGAAGCCGGGATTGGCCATCACGCACCCCGCATCCATCCAGCTGGACCTGACAGGGAATATCACTGTGTAGAGTCCACATCCCGACTCAACATGGAGTCATTAAGACAGACAGTGAGTGGGCAGCTCGGACCATGATGCACCGAGTTCTCTTCTCGCTGACTTCTCCCTTTACTTACCGACTTCGCTGGTGTGACCTTGTTTTTAATTCTCGTGTTCCAGTGCCCTCAATCTATACTAATGGTATTTCTAGCCTAGCTCTTAGAAAGATATTCTCTATATAGATAAAGTTGGCTCCCCAGTTCTACTAGATATTGATAAATACTTAACATTCGCCTTATGGCGGCTTGTATTACTAGACAAGAAGTATTTTAGTCTAATCTTCCCCGTCTTAAACAAGTATAAGCAGAAATCTAAGCCTCGTGCAACCGCCTCGAAGAAGTTTCACACGGGCTACCTAGCCAGTAAAAATTTTATTCCGATTTAAATACTGTTTAATTCTCTTTAACATCTTAATAAAACTCGCCGAGGCATAACTATCCCGCAGAAACCACATTGTCGAGTTAGGATTTGAACGACTCTGAGTAGGATGGTATGGGGGCTTTGGTATACTAGGATTCCACTTTATCAGGCCCGTTCTTGTAGTACGCAGGTCTCCGCCCAGACCCCTGCACGAAAGGCCGTAATCCCTGAGAGCCTGAAAGTCTGCTGGACAGGCTCAGCTTTTGCGGCAGCATCAATCCGAGTAATACTAAGATACACCTTTGTCGTGGCGAGTTGTATTTTTAATTCCTTGCTCAATATCACCGTGTTATATTGGACATCAGCCAATCGCGAGCTAGTTTCAACAGAACGTTATTTTGCCAAGGACCACTAACGTATGCTCCAGAAGCAGGCCGCATTGAAGTTACTGAAAGCAAGTGCTTCTCAAACCAAGAAGCTACTTTGCGATACCTCTTCAGTTATCAAGTATCAGCCTAGGCTTTTCTGATAAGCTCATGTTCTCAAACTATTGAATCACAGAGAGCAGAAAGGCTCCAAAACAAAACAGACTTGCGTCTTATACTGCCTACAAGAGAATATTTTTGCCGGGCTGAGAACTGAAGATTACAGCTTTCCCAGTGTGTGGACATCGACACGTTTGATTATCCTCTTGCGCATAGCGTACAGAGAGAAATTGGAGATAGAGCAGTTGGAACCTAAATTGATACCCTCTAGGTCAATAAAAAGCCGAGGTGATGAATTAAGAATCGACTAAAATTACGTTCTTTGACTGAACAGCATTGCTGTATGCGTTGACTGCGGCAAGAGGGCTGTATATATCCTCTTCTGCCTAGCGCGTCGCCGGGATTATATACCTCCATTAACACTCTAGGGATTCAGTCGAATCGAGGACGTTCATGCGAACAGATTTGGTGGCCATCTTGCTGTAGCATAGCCACTGATATGCGGATACTCCCCGCAGCAAAACCTCAGTGCCTACTACTATACAGAGTAAAAAAACCTCTGGACCGTGCTATTCCAGCCCCCGTGCCCAGGGACTGAAAACGAGTTTGCCAACCGAGACGGAGCGGGAGACCACATTCCACCGCGGGTCTTCACAGCCTCAGCTTGTCGCTCTTCCTTCCCATATCGCATATATCGCCTACCAATCCAGGATCGACATTCGGTATAAAACCCCATCACATTCAAACTGATTGAAATGCCATCAACCAGCCCAACCTTTTGCGATATGGCCCAAGCTTTACAAAGCGACAACAGTCTTCAGATCATCCTCGCCACAAGCGAGAATCACACCCAGGTCATCGGGGGGGGGGGGGGGGTTTCATGCCTTCCCCGCTGCAGCGAGACGCAGTCAACGGCACAGAGCGAGAATGCACGGTGGGAGAGACAAGTTTATTTTTCCATTTGGGCGAAGACTTCAGAGTGTTTCATTACAAGAATCAACTGCATTATTTGTTCAAGACGATAATCTGGATGGATGATGAGACGGAGGACGAGGCGTCGTCGTCGACGACGGGCGTGCATTATGTTGAAGACCGGACCAAAACAGCGGGTGCAGCGAGACTGCACTTTGATCCTCTCCAAAAGACATCTTCTTTACTTGCCGCCGAGGAGAGAAACTAAGGGTGGGAGGGTATGAGAATCACTGTGCTGAGCTGCCAGGAAGCTATGCCAGAAATTCTGGAAGTGGTGGTCAGTCCGAGCCGGGTTTACGTCTTTTGTATTGTGCCCTGAGCACAAACGTCTATAAGAAAGGTAGAGCATATTTCATCCAGCCCTGTAGATTATTCGAAGCCTCATTTCCAGTCCCCAACCCCTAAGACCTCGACTGCTAACTGACTAATTACCATCCGCAGAATCCACCTTATCCCCACCAACCCGCCTCCCCATCCTCCTCAACCAGACCTCCAAATCAAAGCCCCCCTCACTGAGATCCTCAGCCCCCCCCACAAACTTAAACGTAAATCCCAAAACCTCTTGGCTCCCCTCCCCATCCACAACTCTAATGCGACACCTCTCCGCCCGGTAATTCTCAGTTTCATACACCGCCAACCTCTCGCCCTCCTCCCGCGTGCGCACTTGATAGACAACCCCCCGAACCACCGACCCCGGTTCTGCCTCCACCAAAGCCGGATACTGACCCCACAGCTTACATGCGTAGCCGAGGAGGTACGCAGGCTTGAGTTGGGGCTTCTCGGCTACGCCAAGGACTTCACCCAGTATTGACGGGTCGGCGAGGGTGCCGTAGAAGAAGTAGGGGCCGGTGGGTGCTGCCACAGGTTGAGGTTTTGGTGTGTGGTTGATGAACCTGGGAGAAGTGGTGCGTAGTCTTAGGACGTGGGGTGATATCTTTGATTTCGGGTTTGACGGGGGTGGAGGTGGTGGAGGGGGGCGGGAGTGGCTGCTTTCTTTGGCTTGGGGAGCCATAATGGATATTGTTGATTCAAATGAGAAAGTAGAAAGTGATAGAGTGCTGCCTCAGCGATTAGTATCTACCAAGCATGTTAGACTAAGCTGAAGGTTCTGGTTAGTAGGGAAGCTTGGAGGTTCGTGGAAGGGCAAGAAAGCAGCGTTTGGCGGGGAGATTGTACGTGCCGCATATTCATTGGCCAAAGCCGGGCTATAGGCCGTTTCTGCAATCTTGATTTAGGAAAAGTTGTAACAATGGATGCTAGAGGCTTTGACCAATAATTGGAAGAATTATGATATCGTGTATTCCATTTTCGAGAGCAGTCTCTGTTGGGATATACTCCGAACTCTGGGAATTAACTCTCGGTGGATCAGGTGCTACTAATCCAGAGCATGCGATGCAATTAGTTGGTCATGCCTATACCTACTACCTTACTACCTATGCACCTAACTGTCTTTTGTATGGAGGAATGGGTGAGGTGTTTTGTGCCAGAGGTCCGAGCTACCGTACTCGGATCAAATCAAGGCTCGTAGTCGGGATCTACCTAGAAAGACTAGGATTCCAGAAGAAGGGCTAGAGCTGATACATGGGACGCGAAGAACGCGGTCGACATTAGGGCTGCCATGTGGGAGTTTTAGAACCGTTGCACCCTATCAAAAGTCGGCAAGGTCTCCAGTTTCGGGGAGTACAGTCCCGATTAGGCCAGTATCTATATGGGTAGACTTGAATCTAGTCAAGGTAGATATTAATTGAAATTCTATCTTAACGAGGCTAAAGCTTAACTTGGATTGGAACTCTTCTTCGAAAGGAAGTATCTTTGGTCCGGGTTTTCTGCTAGACTATACTATATTATCCTTTGGTATTAAGGTATTTAGCTCCAGATATAGTTCTTTAGTCTTTATAGTATCCAACGCGAGAAGGATGAATCACTACGTTCGCCAGCGGAGCATCCTACGGCTCTTCCTAATACGGTCGCAAATGGCCCAAAATACGAGCAAAAAATGAGGCGCAGTATCTTAGCTAACATTCTGGATGTCCCTGGTTGGTATCAACTTCACAGAACACATTGCTGCTGATGGTCCTCCACAACGTTACGCCCACAACACTTGCGACGGCATGTGCAGCAAGGATCCTCTTTGCGCTGGACCTCGTAAGGTTTGGAGAAGACCTGGACGGTAAAGATGTTCTGGAGTCTGTAGCGGCCCACGCCACGGTAACGGTGGTTTTCATAGGAAGTTCTTCCTGAGTTCATCATGTAAACGACAGGTGACTTTCGATTCACGCAATTGTTTTGTAACCTCGAATATCTGGTCTCCGCGATGCAGTTGTCACACTCGCTGCCGCTGACCGCCAACCGGTGGCCTTAGCTACCGGGTAATTTCCTCGCAGATAGCCTGCCGACATCTTCCATCTCTTTCGCAGGTGTCATCATGACATATTATTGACACGAGCAGGTCTTGTCCACGACCCTCTTCCGACTCTATCGAGCTATTGGAGGAGACGCTATTGGTTATATCAATCGACAAATCGGGGCGTCGAAGTACACGATGGATCTCGTCCTAGGCGGCATCGCGACCATCATCATCCCCATGCCTATGTCCTACCAGTATGTCTCGGCTATTACAGCGGCCGATAACGGCATGGTCCTTGGTCATCCTAGCGGTGCTGTTTGAAAGTTCATTCATTCGGTAGGCGTTTGAGAAATAGGCGGGCACGCCCGCTCCGGGGGTCATGACCGAAGGGCCGCTGCCCGTAGCTGGCGTGCACGTTGACGATGGGCGAGATATACAGTACAACTACACTATCCTGTCAGATAATACTCCCAGTATCTGGAACTGTTATGCCAACGATGATCTGCAGGTCCGCCTGGCTCCCCGATCGGGGATGGAGGACTACTGTTACGTGGCCGTGAAGAACCGCGGTATCGGACCTGCACACAATCTGAAAGTGACTCTGTATGAATCGAACAATCCCACGCTCACCCTGTGGCGGGAGCACCTTCAAGCGCGGGAAACTCTGAGGCTCTACGGTTCTCTTAGTGAGAACAAGCAGCAACAACGCTTCCTCGGACCGTTTTCTTGGGTCGCAGATACCAATCGATCATTTGATATGGTTTGTGTATTGGCTGTCATCAACGTCGACGAAAACACTGAACTGGACGTGCCTGCGCCACGGGACCTATCGACCGAGATCATCTAGTTCATTTGACAATAATCTGGCAATTCAATGCTTTGACTGGACTTGATACAGGTGACCAAGATACTTGACTATGGAATTTGCGCTTTGCCGAATGTGTTTCAGAAGAAAAAAAAAGGAAAGAAAAACCAAAAATCATGGGAAACGACCTCTATTACTTAGATAGTAGCTTGAGATCTAGTTAAATTACTAGGTACTGCCTCCTGGCTGCATGCTCACTTTCTGCTATCAACATTGTTGAGGTTTCTAGGAGGTGAAGAAGGCTTGTTGATTCCTCTACGTAAGGCTATCGGAGAACTAGCTAAGGCAGCCGGGTGGGCGGTGAGCTGGTTCCTCAGGCATCAAGGCCCCAGGGCCGCCGTCAAACATCTTGCAGTATGAACAGAATGATACAAATTTGTGTGCCGTCACTTGTGAATGAAAAGTCTTTACTGGACTACAGTTGCATAACTCAGCGATTGAACAACATTACTATGTTGATGCACCAATATCACACCGCAGTAAGAAAAAGTCTCGATACGATTATCACCCCCACCATCCGACAGGGTGGATCGGCGAGCTGAAACCCGCCGGCGGAGGACCGGCGGAGGATCGGTTGGTGCTGACTCTGCGGCTCCACTGCAGTGGAGTGGGCAGTCAAGCAAACCGGTCCATCTAGCCAATGCTTGGTCAAATCTTGATCCTAACTACTCAGTACTAGTACAGCTGCAGTATTGCGGGGTTGAGTGCTACGCGATGAGTGGGATTATGCTCCGTATTTGGGTTTTCGCCTCACACTAGGGTCCCCCACTGCTTATGGCTTAGTTGGTGAAATGCCGGGTTTCTGCATCGAAGAATGAGGGGCATTGTGGGATAGGAGGGTTGTTCGAGACGAATCATATAGTAGATACACTTCGATGATATACTGTCCTTTCAGACGAGCTCTTCAGTGGCGAACCCTGTCGATAGAGGCAAACCCCAGCGAGCCAATCTCTGGACAGGTTCCGACTTACCTCTCAAGGTACCTTTGCAGCGCGCGTATAACCCCCACAAGAGTCGCACCAGCCTCGCCCGCCTCTTTGCGTTCTAGCGAACCCTCCCGCAACTCCAGGTCAAAAACATGATCCGCGCCCTCGACCGGAAAGTACTGCACCTCCACACCACCCTCTCGCAACTTATCCACCAGCCTCTCACTCTCACCACAAGAAACTTCCCGATCACCCGTCCCATGCACAATTAACGTCGCCGGGAACCCAGGCCCAAACACGCCGTAGTCCAGCGGGAAAAGCCCCCTCACGCGATTATCATGCCCATGCCCATGCCCCGCGACCGTCGCGTCCAGCCCTAACCCCACCACCCTCTCCCCGAACCCAGCCTCCCCCGTCAGAGAATCCAGAAACACCCCGCGCTCCAGAAGCAAATACAACAAGGGAAGCCGTTTCCGCGTGCGCATCTCCTCTTCAGAAGACGGGAAATCCTCCCCGACGCTTACCTCGCCCCGCGCAATTCTTTCAGAGACTTCGCGTAAAAGGCTTTCCGCTGTAGCACGATCAACCGCCCTCGCACCGGGAAGGTGAACGCTCTGGGCCCATTTCTGACTCCCCAGGTCTAGCAGCGGGTAGAAAAGCCAGAGCGCCTTTGGGGGCGGGAGCGGAGTTTGGCTAGTCTGATCAAGTAGGGAGGCAGAAGGGGACGTGAAGTGCAGTGCAGTCACCAGAGCGCACCAGCCTCCGGCGCTGGCGCCTGCCAGAATGATCTGGCCGGGATCGGCGGTGCAGTCGCGGTGCAGGCGGTGGAGAGAGCCGCCGGCCACCCATTCGTAGGCTGCGATTGCGTCTTCGGTGGTCGCGAGGCCGGTCGATTCGGGCAGGACCCTGTAGTCGGCGGAGATGAGGGTCCAGTTCTGGGTGAGGGCGTGGTGAAGGAGCCAGGCGGGGATCGCTCGACGGCTGCCTGTTATCTGTGCTGGTTCTTAGCTTTGAGGCTTTTTTGTTGTTTCTTTTCGTCTTATTTCTTTGCATTGGTTTGCTTCGACGGCGGTTTCTAGGATGAAAAGTTGGAGAGACTTACGAGGTAGCCACCGTGAAACCACAGGAATATTGGCCTAGGAATTCTCGAGTCCTTGCCTGGAGGAAGGTACACGTCGAGCTGGATCTGTGTGGTGAAGTGCGTCTTGTAGACGTGGGTGTGTTTGTCGTATGTTCTGGTCGTCATCTTCGTGCTTGTTTGGCTACAGAAAAGCTCGTACTCGTTCTTATCGACAATTCTTAAAGACCCGTGTCGACTACCCTGAAAGAGAATAACTCGCTAGGAGTTGGAGAGGCTGTTCTACCTGATATGGGGACTATACAGTTTTAGTGTAAGTTGCAATGTGGGGCTAGCAGGAGTCTACTCAAGTGAGGGGTATGGTGCGATACAAAGCATGCAAACATAACCGAGTTAGACTTGTGGCATTTTGCTATCTGCCGTTGATTTCTTTTCACTACTACGGACTACTGGCATTCTCTCCAGACCTCAAGTCTCCTCTCCGTCTTTTCGTTGCTCTGGTCCTGATCGCACCTGGCTGCTGTCACTGTTCCAACTCTTGTTGACTAACTATCCACCGCATTAGTGGTCGTGAGGCGTAATGGTGTGGTAGGCGTCGTCCGCATCGTCGCCACGCTTGTGAGGAGTGATGGTGTGATAAGCGTCGTCCGCATCATCACCACGCTTGTGGGGAGTGATGGTGTGATAGGCGTCATCCAAGTCGTCGCCCAGTGCTGCAATCATGCCCGCATCTGCTGAGCGAGCCTCATGGATAGGAAATCGTCAGTCATGCACCACGGATAGAGGCATTCTACATACCCATTGTGGGAACCGGGGCAGCAGCAAGCTTTCCGGCCAGGAAGACCAAGGTGACAAGGAAGAACTTTCATCTTCACTGGATCAAGCGACGCAAAGAATTGTTCTGTTGAAATGGAAGTGGTAGGTTTGACTTCTCGAGGCACCTGCCGCAGGAGTTCTTATAGATTCGCACAAGTCGTAGAACCGTATAAGCCTACATACATACATGTAACTCGGCATGACCGATCTGGCCGGGGTCACTCACTACCCAAGCGAAATTAGGCCATGCATTAGTGCTTGTTAGCACCTCCCAGCGAGCAAAAGCCGGTCTGATTTCACATCTTCAACCCCTCCGGAGCAGTTCTCCCCTGCCTATTGGTGCCCACCTGCATTACAGAAGAAACTTCGTCAGGAATCTGACATCAAGTATCATCTTGCGGCTCCCCATACAGATGCCTTTTTGCACAACAAGTATTGAAGGCCAATGGCATATATGCCTAACCTCTCCACATCGATCAGAATCGGGAGAGAGATATCTTCACTCCGGTATTGTGTGTGCAGGAGCCTTGCATCCGAGTACAGCGGTCCATGCATCTTACGCGAGCTCACGAATCAGAAGCATTCTTGAATGGCGTTTAGGACGGGTCAAGCAGGATTGCTGAATCCATGAACAATATTCTGCCATTCTATACCTGGGGCTATAACATTGAAGATGATGAGACCAATGGCAAATATGCCTCAATCATTCCTACCTGGTGATCCATCACCGAGACGATCTTTTGCAGTGCTCTTAACTCCGAGCAGGGCCTCGGATATGCAGAGCCGCAAGACGATACCAGGAAAAACGCATAAGCTTTGCGGCACAACGTCAGTGCTTTCTGCACAGACATTGCCATGGTCGTGCGAGCAGTACAACCCTGCCTTACATCCGGCTTCAGGTATCATACCATGGCTGTATTTTACCTTATCTAGCCTCGTCGTTCGATCCCACCTATTCCGAATCAGGTACTGAGGTTGACTGGCAGTTTTCTGAATAAATACTGCATTGACCCTGCAATAGACCTTGCAGTTTGCTCAATCGCACCATTCCTCTTCCCCTCCCCTTTATCACTTAAGGAGCTTTGTTGAGCAGGCAGACAGCATGGATGCCAAATTCGAGAAGTTGCTTCAATACGATGAGAGCGGCTCCGATTCCAACAGTCTCTTCTCGGAAACTGGAGGTCTACTGGGAAAGAACGCTCCCATTACCCAGAGAAGGCCAGCCTGGAGACAATGGATCATGCCAGCAGGCCATCTTGCCCTGCTGGTGCTCTACAGCTCAATATTCTTCTTTCTCGTGCGACATGTTCGCAAGATCGAGAAGCAAAATGAGCATGTCGTCTACTGTATGAGTTTATGAACGACCCCTGCACATTTGCCCGCTCTGACATGATCTCACTGAACCTTAGCACCTGCACAAGAGGCTGTGAAATTGGAGGCGATGGAGTTCCGTTCGTTACCCCTCCATTTGCTCCACTAGCTTTCGCTTTATTGATGGTACTGACTAAGGGTTCAGAGGGCCAGCTCCGGATCATCAGCCCATACCAAGGCGACCCCAGCCCTGAACTCGATCAGGCCTGGAAAGATCTACTACAGTGTACAAACCCCCTCTGATTTGCAAGCAGCATTGCCCAAAGTAAAATTCTAACCAACCAACAGACTCCAACATCTGGGTAACCGGCGAAGAGCTATCGAAGATTAACAAGACCTCCATCCCTGTCCCCGGCGAGGAGGACAAATACTGGGTGGAGCTGAGTGTTGTCCACGAGCTGCACTGCATTGTCAGTCACCGCCACCACTAAGGCTCTCTTCAACCCTACCTGAGTAACGATGGTATCACTAACCAGAGTTCAATAACATCCAGAAACGCCTCCGCCAATACATCCACTCAGACTACACTTCGCCAACATCTCCGCCGAGGACCGTCGTCTAAATGACCTCCACACCGGTAAGCTCCTCCCTGACACAGAACACCTATCACCATTCCTCTAATATACTCCCATGGGCAGACCACTGCCTGGAGATCCTACGACAAAGCGTCATGTGCCACGCCGACATCTCCATGATCACGATGACCTGTGAGCCCACGAGCAAGTACCCCGCCGCGGACTTCCAGAACGTCCACGAGTGCAAGAACTGGGACGTGCTGTACGAGTGGCAGAAGGAGCGGTCGGTCGATATGATGAAGCCTGGGTTCTTGGTGCATCCGTATCTAGGTAAGTTCTTCCCGTCGGAGTAGTTGCATTGGAAGGGGGTCTTCTCGTATTCTGCTTCAATCTGTTTTCTATCACTTCTTGCGAGATGATGGCCGCTGACTGCGAATCTTTCGGCTTCCAGGCGTGCCGTTCCCGGATGGGTACTATCATGGCATTGGGGCTGCGGATCCCGAGAATGCGATTGGAAAGGGTGGGGAGGATACGGACATGGAAATGGAGATGGACTAAACGTCTTTTTCAAGCATGGAACAATGCATTTGTCTACGGGGATATGCCACTAGCTTGTGGAAAACGTGATCTAGGCGCTTGCATCGTGATGATAGATGGAACCAAGATGAACGGCAATGACCGAAACACTAACTGACCACAGGATTGTATAATCGATGAAAGTGTTGCACCGCTCGGCCAAAAGGAATTTCAAGACATTGATCTAGCCGATGGTCTGCTCCAAGAAATCCTCATTCCTTTCAATAAGCAAATGCTTAGGCTCCAGTTCGTAATACTCAAGAGATGCGCTACGGCTAATTGGGCTATGCTGTTGACTGTCGAATAACCTGCACCAACCAGAACTACCGGGTTCCGCTCGTGCCTAAGGTTATTAGGTTACCATACTTCTCGAAAGGAAGGTTCTCATTGGGCTACGATCTAAGGATACTACAGCACACTAAAATGATACTATTATTTGATGTTATGGTCCAGTCGTAGGCTGAAATATTCTGAACGCATGTTGGAGCACTATGACAGGATCACAATGCCAAGGATCGCGACCACTTCAAACTAATAACCTTCAACATCGTCTCTGGTTTCCAAGAAAACATCGCCTTACACTATTTTACCCGCAATGCAAAGCATATAAGATCCATAACTGTCAGAGATATATACTTTTCCCCACCAAAGTCTGAGCTACTGAGGATTCAACCTTTACGCGGGCAGCTCTTCTGGGTACTCGTTCAGGGTTTACAGCCCTTGCATTACTGCCAGATAGGGGATCGAAGAACACAATATGTATAGATGACACTTTATGCAGTCTAGAGGTAACGTTAGATCATCTTGAAAAGAATCGATTGGTTATAATGGGGTATAAGATTTTACTTACCCGGGTACGCAGCAATTTGCAAAAAGTCCTTAAACATTGAGGCGTGTTCAGATGAGATGGTAAAATTAAATAGTGACAAAGTCCCCTGCCTCCTCCGAGTAGTGGGCATCTCACCGCCTCGGCCGCGTGTAGATAGTTCCTCCCAGAGACCTCAACACACTCATGTCCAATGTTGCCAGGCGTTTCGCGGTCCTCCTTGATCTCCCAATATTATGAGAAGCCTCAGGTTCAACTAGCGAGGAGAGGAGAGTACGGAGCTGACTATGCTTGATACGCCCATGTCTAGGCTCACCCCATCTCTTTAGTATGCCGAGGCCTTTTTCTGATGACGCTGGTGGCTTCTGGAGCAGGAGCTGAAGCGGCAACTCTTCACGAGACAAAGGGAAGGTTAGCCAATGTGTTGTACAAAGCAGGGGGAAAGTTACAAAAGCTCACCCAAAACTGTCGTTCCCTAACCATACACGGCTCAAAATTTCACCCTCAGCGCCATATTTCCCTTCCCGCTTCACTCCCTTGCCCTTGGAGCGATTAGTGAACGTCTACTCCCTTCTTGCATCATAGTCTTGGACACAGTGTCGGGCCCGCACAGATAATACAGTCTGGACTTTGAATTGAGAAGTGTTTGTTGGGTGGTGAAAGAGCAGACTGATGCGGTATGGACATGTATAGCCTTGTGATTCAGCAACTTACATTGGTACAGCACTTCTGGTTTCTTCATGTGCCCTGCAATGATGTTGCTCGAGAACTCCCGGGACACCAAGGCAGTATGCATTGAACAAGGCACAATGCAGAAGGTGCCCTGCACATCCTGCCGCTAGCCACCTATCTCTATGCTGAACTGTACGCAAAGCACCTGATGAAAAATCTACGCATTACTCGTCCAGGGGCGCCGGAAAGTGTCCTGTAGCAATTGCTGTACTTCGTGCTGTCATGTACAAATTATGTCGCACCGGGTGGCATACCCTACACAGGGATTGAGTCTGCGGGTCGCAGAATAAGCCATGGATCCCATTCTCAATCCGCTCTGAAATCATGTTATCTCATTCTTTGATGAGGCCGGCCGACCTCGCACGCTCGCCTTTTCTTTTGGCCCGGCGGTCTGTGACCCCGCTCCGTTCTTCGGCTCCAAAGCTTGCCTCTAGTCTCGAATCTAGCATGGGTCAACATCAGGACCGCAGTAGCCTCAGACCCTATCACGCTTCATGTACCGCAGTGGCTTCCAGAGGACGCTCAACAACCGAAAAGAAAACATGAAGCTGGTCTGGTGTGCGTGACAGGTGGAGATTCCTATGAGCATGTTCGATGCAGGTGATTGTGGTCAAAAGCACTGAGTATCCCCACCAGCTGCGTCACGGCAGCGAAAACGACCAATATATGAAAGAGCTGATGGGAGGACCCGTATATGTCGAATCGACCTGGGAATCGACTCTCGGGAAACTTGGTCTATACGATCATCGTACTTAGAATTTGATTCCCCTTTCTGCGCGGGACCTTGAGGCTTACCGCATAAACCAAAGCGCCCATCAGCAGGAAGGCTCCCTCGATCAGATAATAGGGCATTCCAGATTGAATCATCATTTGCGAGAGGCCAAACATCTTGATCCCATGTATCAATGGCGCGAAGCCAGAGAGGCCCGTCGCCACGAACGTCAGGGCCCGGAAAGTGCGAAATTCCGGGCCCCGAAACCTGGGACTTATCATGATGAAGATGGTAAGCAGTCCGAGAACCCCGATCTGGCAATCGAAGTAAGCGTCACTCGGGATCAATCTTGAAAGATCAGTGGGTGTGCAGAAATTGACTCACCATGGACCAATAGATTTTGCGCTGCACAGGCTCGCACCAGAAGACCATGTATATCCCCGATACAAAATCCCCGATCGTCAAGACTACTATGCCAATCAGGTCAAGCCGCAGCCATAGTTGTTCAATCTCGTGGGAGTGATTCATCAAGGTATGGTATGTCGTCGACAGTCCCAGGCAGGTAGTGGCGGTCAAAAGGAAGAAGGCAAAAATGAAGCCATCAGCCACAGTGACATTGGAGTATTTACTTGTCAAATACTGCTGAATATACCACTCGCCGAAGAGAAAGGCGACGGCTGGTATTAGGTGCGAGTAGATGTTGACCGACTCATTGTGGATGTATGACAAACTGCCAAATGATACTCGAGCCGAGCCTGAAATCGGGCGATAGCCATGAAGGATGTATTCGTTGTCTTGATGCCAGTGCGGTAAATCCTCGAACGCAAGAAGATCTTTGGATCCCGTGGCAGCCTTGGTCGGACTTCTTAGAGACCGTCGGCGGAGGGTTCCCTGCTCATCAGGTGACCTCTGCATCTGAGGGGATGTAACTCGAAGACGGGTAGAAGATGCCATTGCTTTCACGTCTGGCAATGACCATGATCATAATGCGGGTGGTGGTTGGGGCTGGAGGTGGGAATAAGTTAAAGAAAGGGGGTGAGGGTCGTGTGGGGGGACTGTTTCTTGCTAAACCCGATAGTCTTGCAAATGCTTGTATCGCTGGACTACCTTATGCGAGTTCAAATGTCCCAGAGCATCCTAATTGGCGTCCTATTTGCTCCGCTAGAGGCCGTAAGCGCTCGGTTGTAGAGATGCCAGCGGCATGACAGCCAACGAACAACGTTGCATTGCCCAACCCACATCTCAGGCGACATGGTCATTGCACTTAATCAAGCGCCATCCGTGATTATGCTGCATATGTTCGCCCAATGACAAAAATGCCTCATCTGAGAGTCGAGATCCCCTAATTTAAGATAGTAAGCTACCCGCCGGGTCTGGCCTCAACGCCAGTCATGTAAATGGTAAGCTCGTGGTATTGCTAGTCATGTATCATAGAGTTGTAGGGCAATGCGTCCCACCACGCACACACGTACTGTACCTTTACGGTGGAGTCTTATTTACACATACCAACCAGAGGTGGGATGGGTGGATACCCGCGTCGTCCCGGTCCGAACAGGCTGTATCATTCCGTACTATACTATACCATACTGTATCGTGTCGTATTGTATCTGGTAACTACCCTGACCACCCCCACAGGAGGTCCAAGTGTGACCCCCGTTTGACCACTTATTGATCCACTGTGTATATACATTACATACATCTCTCTGCTCTGATTGAATGCCTCCATTGCATCGGCATGCTTTCTCACACCCAACACAAACTGAGGGGGTGATTCCGTCTCTTACATTCAAGGACGCAAACTTTAGCATTAATCTTTTATACATTCCCATTGTCGATCTGCATTTCGATTGGGTATGGCCTCCCTTGACGAGTACTCCGTCGGGTGGGTTTGTACACTGCCCATCGAGGTAGAGGCTGCCAAAGCTTCGTTTGACTGCATTCATGAGAACTTGCTACCTCCGAATCTGAACCTCAACAACAACAACAACTATATTCTAGGAAGTCTTCAAGGCCATAAGGTCGTACTGGCCTATCCAAATTGCCGCGCAGGTGATGATGGTGAAGATGATGATAAACTATCCTTAGCGGATGTTGCCACGCAGTTACAGGCAAACTTCACAGCTGTTCGGATCATTCTTATGGTTGGTATTGCGGGTGCGGCTCCAAAGACGAACGAGGATATTCGTCTTGGTGATATTGTTGTAAGCAATTCGGCAGTCGGTCTGCCGAGTGCCATTCAGTATGCCGCGAACGAAGAGCATATGGAAGATCAACGTCTGCGTGGTAGAGCGCTAAGACGGCCGACTTCATCACTGCTTCTCACAGCAACGAGGAAAGCCGAGACAGCCGCCATCTTCGGTGACAGTAAAATAGATCAGTACGTCGGCGACATTGTACGCAAAGACCCCGTCGTTTTCTCCCGCCCAGGTCCCGAACCAGACTTTCTCTTCCAGCCGAATTATGATCAGGCAACTATTGCTTACAGAGAAACCGCGCGCAGAGATTGCGACCTGGGGAGAGACTGGTCCCGGCAGCCTCGGGAGACACAGGGACCTACAGTGCATTATGGCCTTATCGCCGCCGGTCATCATGCGGTGCGCCACGGAACAACTAGAGACACATTGCCGTACAAACAAAGCGTGCTTTGTTCCGAGACGGGTGGGACCGGCTTGAAGGATGCTGCTCAATACTTGATTATCCGAGGAATCTGCAACTTTGCAGATTCGCATCACTCGAAGCTCTGGCACCCCTATGCCGCAGTGACTGCAGCAGCGTACGCAAAGGAGGTCCTTTCGTTCATACCCAAGGTTTCCAAGACAGTACCTCTGACACCCAACCCCGAGGCTGGGCCCATTCTCAGCGCTTTGCTGTTGACCAGACCAGAGGTTGACCGAAAGTCGCTGCTTGTATTGAAAGGGCGCAGAGCCGACGGCACGTGCAAATGGCTCCCACAGCATCCACGCTATCGGGAGTGGTTGTCAAACCCAAATCAACCACTGCTTTGGATCTCGGGTGGCCCCGGAAAAGGAAAAACCATGTTGGCGATCTATATTACAGAAGTACTAGAGTCGGTTGGTGGTGGTGGTGGTATCACCGGCGATGTTCTTCTCTACTACTTCTGTAGTAACCGCGATAAGAATCGGAATTCGGCCTTGACCATACTGAGAGGCCTCATACATCAGTGGATTGATCTTCAACCGCATTTGGCCCAATACATCAAGAACTCCTTTGAGGGCACTGAGACGACCAAGTACACCGTTTCCAGCTTTGTCGCCCTGTGGAGTGTTTTCCTCACGATGCTTCAACATAGTGGGTCTTCCCAGGTGGTCTGTGTGCTGGACGGCTTGGATGAATGTGAGAAGGAATTGCTCGGCCAGTTTCTCGATGCCGTTGGAAACTATTTGTCAGAAGCCCCAAAATTGGGAAGGCCACGACTGAAGCTTATTTTGCTCTCCCGGCCCCATCCAGCTATTTCGGGGAGCAGGCTCGGCCAGTATCTGCACATCAAATTGGACGACTCCAATGCGGATACAGCAGATGACGTCAAGAGGTACATCACTGCCAAAGTCACCGAACTGGCAACTGAACAGAATCTCTCCGACGAAATGATTGCGCAAGTTCGGCAGGCATTATTGGCCGGCGCCGATGGTACCTTCTTGTGGGTGGGCTTTGTTGCCAATGAGCTTCAGGGGAGGAGTTGGGACAGAATCAACGAAATCATCCACCGGATGCCTAAAGGCCTAGCTGGAGTATATCAACGGATGCTCCAGCAAATTAACGACAAGGAAGCGCTGGTGCCCATTCTTCAGTGGGTGGTTCTCGCTGCCCGGCCCCTCACAATTGACGAATTGACAGCGGCCACAGACATCAAGGCATCCGATACCCTTACTGCAGCCGATGTGACCAAGGGTCGGCTCAGACTCTGCGGGCCGCTCGTGAAGATTGAAGGGGATGTAGTGAACCTGGTCCACCAGTCGGCGAAAGAATTCTTCCAGAGCAACCAGGTCAACGTCAAAGGAATCAGCATGTTCTACATGGACGAGAGCACCCACAAGAGTCTCATGCGGACCTGCCTCGCACACGTCGAGCATAGTTACCTCTCCACCGGCGCGACCGATGAGAGGTTTGACCGCAGTCCACTCTTCCCTTATGCTGCTCAATACTGGCCGGTGCATTTCTATCACGCGAATGACGCGGTTCAAGGCCCGTCCGAGTTCTCCCGTCCGTTTTTTGGAGCCAAGTCTGCAATCCGAGACAGCTGGTGGAGATTCTATTGGGAGCAGGAGAGGAACGGCGGAAACGCGCCGGCGTTCACGCTCCTTCATCTCGCTGCGTATCTTGGCAACGTAGCCTGGGCTAGATGGTTGATCAGCAAGCATGCTCGCCTCGTTTCGCGCAAGGATAACTACGGCCGAACGCCGCTGTGCTGGGCCGTCAATCGAGGTCATCGGTACATGGTGAAGCTGCTCCTCGATCACGGTGCTCGTGTCAATGTCAAAGATCGAGGCCGGTTGACGGCACTCCATATCGCGGTCAATGGACAGTACAAGGACATCGTATCCATGCTACTCGATCACGGTGCCCATCTGGAGAGCAAGTCTGAGCATGGAGACACCCCGCTGATCCGAGCCATTCAAACGAACTCAAAGGAGATCATCCAGATGCTGCTTGAGCACGGCGCGCGCGTGGACGAACTGCCCACCCCCTCAGGAGTCGCCTCTCTGAGAAGTTCTTCTGACCCGATGGAAGAGAGGGTGGAGGAGCTACTGGGACTTCGAGAACAGATCTTCCTCGCCCGGTACAAGCAGGCGTCGCGAAAGGTCAACCTCGTCATGAAGGCCCTCGGCCTTTCCTTCCGCTTCCCCATCGTTCTTCCCCTGGTCACCCTTTATCTGAAGTTTGTGGCCTTCGACCGCTGGGAGAATATGCCTGTGCTGCAGGAGGTCGCCAGGAGGCGTAAGATGAACGAAATGCGCCAATGGGCAGAAGCATACCGTGAATTCTTCGTCCAGCTGGTGGTTTCCAGGAATCAGAAAGGGCTGCAGGCCATGACCGACCTGCCGACGCAAGTGTTCCGGGAGGTCGCCCCCGGGGATCTGCAAGCCCTTCTCGTGATTGCAGTCCTCGTCGGCTCGGAGGCCAAGCTCGCAGCCGTCCGACACGGGTGGAGAGAAGGCGATGCCATAACCGCCAGAGCATTCTCGCATTGGGCCGCGATCGCCTGCCAGAGAGGCGCCGAGGAATCTTTACACTACGGCGTCCGCGACTTCTTGAACGACTTCGACACCTCGATCCGTAGCGGCAACCGGGAGGACAATGTGGCGCGGACTGTGGTGCTTCTGACATCGCACTTTGCCATGATCGAGAATGACGAGCCGCGGCCAATCGAATACTTCTCCGGGGTCATCGCCGAGTTCTACGAAGGATACATTGGTGGCGCGCACGAAGTTGACTTGTTTAATGACGCAAATCAGGCATGCGCCGGTGAATTGGCCGGCATCAGCCAAAACCGCGATTCCACTAGATTACTTCTCTTCCTGACAAGTGTCTTCCAATTTGCCCAACGCTCGCAAGGGACAGGACGGGATCGCTTCCTCAATTTACCCTCCGCGGCATGCTTGATTGTCTGCCAGGAGAATGCCATGTCTCACCAGTGGCTGATTGGCGAGGCGATACCAGAGACGATGGGTACCTTGGTTTCCAAGCAACCACCAGGATTGCTTCGAAAGCGTGCGTGCAAAACCTTGGTGGAGTGCCTGATCATCGGGAAGCAACATGGCTTGATATTGCAGGCGGCTGAATTGAGACGAAGTGCGAAAGGAAGTCTGCAGTCTCTGCCCACCGACGTCCACGAGATGGTAAGCCGGATCATCGACATCTGAAGCACCGCGCAGCCTCTCGGCTTAAAGCGTGGTGAGGTACAGCGAGAGCCAGGTTGCAAGGAACAACGGGGCCCCTGTTGATACAGATGATTGCATGTTGCGAATGGCCTTACCGTGTTTGATTTTCTGAAGCAGTCTGCTTGCTTATGGCGTCGAGGCGAGGTTCGCATTTCAAGTAGCGGTTCTGATGAAGTGTTTTGACATTGGGAGCGATGCACCGTACAATAGCAAAGGATTCTATCTAGCATTTGATGCTTCGCGTGGAGGTCACTCAGTCTTGACACTACTTAGGTCTTTCTTGAACTTTCCGCATGGATGTCTGTCTCTGAGCGGTGGGTGTCTCGGGCAAATCCTGTAGCGTGCGCTCATCATAGTACAATTCTCGTCTTCGTGGCTGAGGTTCCTCTGATCTCAAGGGTTTTAAAACCAAAAGGGGTTCCGCTCTTCAGTGTCTCCCTCCATTGACATTGGCCGTCCATTCCCCTTTGTTGTCACGACCATGCTAGTATGGTTGATGATTTGGCGAAATTGGGGAATTGAGGCAGAAGATGGTTTGAGACTCCTCTGATTACCGGCGGGCCGGCGCTGACTCTCGGTGTCAGTTGAAATCGAGCTTTTCAGGAAGGGCCAGGGCCAAAGAAGACTCTCGCTGTGTTTGTGCTGAGATGGCAGTAATGAATAGCGATACAGTGGCTGGCTATCTGTTGCTCAGTGGCTGTGCTGCTACGGCAACGGGTTCGCAATACTTGCTTCGTAAAGCACGCATGCCCATGACCTGAGTACGCCTTATGGAAATCAACAACCATGGACCCTATCCCCTCCAATATGACCGACGAGACCTTGCTTCCGTCTTTCTCTATCCCTGCTGTGTGGTCAGCTTGCCTTTCCGGTCGCCGGATAGCCAAACCCTTGGATACAGGCCGACTCGCAAATGATGTCAGCAGTCTGTGTCGCTGTGATAGCACAGCAACTCACAACCCGAGTCATGTGAGCAACGAGCTGTTGACATTCAATCTTCACAAGCTAGGTGGTTGGCAGCAGGGCCAAGACATTAGCTCGAAGAGGCACGAGGCATTATGATCTCAAGCCCTCGCTTCCCATTTTCGTCGCCGTGCGCTGGAATCGCTATCCCAACAGCCGCCTGAAGAACCGCGTCAGACCCGACCCATCGGACTTCGCTTTACGTTTCTTGTCGGATGTTTGGGGTCGAGGTGCCGGTGGGCGTGTTGACGTCGTCGAGATGGGGTGGTCCAGCGGAGATGACGCTGACGGAGCGGAAGCCGATAAGAGCAATCGTTCTCGCATTGGCGGCGGTGGTGGTGATGGTGATGGTACAATCGACTGGTTTGGTAGTAAGGGGCCTGATCGACGCGGGGCGGAAGGCTGGCCATGCGCTCGGAGTGCAATCAGGATCCGGCGCTGAACGCTGGGGTCGGAATCTGGCCGTGCGTGGACAGTTCGATTGAGCCGTCGCAACACCCGGTCATCAGCGATAAATTCCTTCCAAGATCTGCGTCCCATGGGGAGAATATTGGGATCTGCACCCATCTCGAGGAGAAGGTCTACTATATCAAACATGCTCGTCTTCACCGCGTAATAGAGCGCGGTCCGTCTTCCGGAATCCATGCCGTTGACATCATGACCGAGTCTGAGGAGGAGTCTGATCAGAGGAACACTGCCGGTGAGAACAGCTTGCCGTAAGCCTGTCGCGGCTCTGCAGCAGCGTGACTTGCTAAAGGCCAAGTTACTGGTGGCTTTGTACAAGTAGCTGGTTGGCTCGAGATCTAGCCATTCTTCCGCAGTAAGCCCATTCTCGTCGACCAGGGCTGAAGGCTCTGCGATAGCAAAGCTGTCAAGTAGGACCTGAATAGTAACCAGATCTCGACTATGAATGGCTAGGTGAAGAATGGACCAGCCATGGTTATCCTGCTGCGAGGCACCGGATCTCATGCAGTCGTCTTCCAAGAGGCACTGGACAACGTCTGAGTGCCCCATGTAGGCGGCATGATGCAGCGCAGTCCAACCATGACATGTTGACTTCATTGGATTGGCTCCCCGTGAAAGAAGCAAGCGTACAATATTAGCATAGCCTCCGTTTGCCGCACAATGCAATGGTGATGTACCATAAGAGCTGACAGCGTCAACGTCGGCCCCTCGATCCAACAAGCAGTGCACGGTCTCCAAATGGCCTTCCTCCGCTGCCCAGTGTACTGCGGACCAACCATCCTGATCTTGATGATTAGGATCCCCGCCAGAGGAGAGAAGCATGTGTACAATCCGAAGGTCGCCAGAAGCTGCTGCCGTTTCTAATGGGGCTCTGTGCCTATTTGCGTTCTGGGATATGCTGGCACCGTGGATCAGAAGCATCTCAGCAACTGAAGACCAGCCAAGTCCCGCTGCCCAATGCAGCGCAGACTTCCCATCCGCGCTAACTGCATTAGCATCGGCGCCTATGTTTAGCAATTCGTTTGTGGCCTGAGTTTGCCCTGCAACCGCAGCCCAGAGACACGGAGAAAATCCATGATTGTCAGTTCTACCTCTATCGGCACCATGTCCGACCAGAATAGATATGGTATCAGTAAGGCCTCTTTCTGCAGCATAATGCAGGGCTGTCTGGCCGTAGTTATCACCCAGATCTATGGTGGCCTTATCGCCCGCATTCAGCAGCAAATCCATCATATCCCGACCCCAGGACTGTTCCATGGAGGCGTAATGTAACACTGTTCTGCCATCGTCGTCCTTGCTGTCCAGACCTGCGCCTCCGTGAGTCAGTGACTGAACCAAAATCAGATCACCGGCTTGTATGGCATGGTAAAGCTTTGCCATTCTGGAGCCATGTTTGTCCTGTAAGTCTAGTCTTGTTACGGATGCAGTAATATCCTCTTCGCCGTGGTCCTTGCTACCATCTGCAGCCACGGCGTCATCATCCCAATACTTGAGAGCTTCATCATCCATTACACTGTACATGGACGCACGGTATTTTGCAAACCCTGGCACATCATCCTCTAATGGCTGGTCACTATCAATATTCTCGGCGTCTTCCTCATTATCGCTAGGGAGCTTTTGCAACGTGAGCAAGGCGATCTCTTTAATATGAGCAGCAATGTGTGACTGGAGAGCTTCACTCGAAAAGACAGCATTAGGCTCGACCTTGTCCGGGGATTGGAAGTCATCGCCAAATGGGCATTCCAGTATTCTCTCAAGTAACGGTCTTCGTGCTGCGAGGCTGAGAGTTCCGATATGCGTTGCAGGGACGCCGTGCTCCTGAATGGCATGCTCTTGATAGTGAATCGCCTCATCGAAAGTGATTGGATTATGAGAAGGCGCTCTGCACTCCCATGTATGCCCGTGAGCATTCTGCATGTGGCTGATCCAGGCACCGGACGTCTCGAATGTTGCTGGGCCGGCTCCATGACAACCCGCTTCCAAGCATTGTGCGGAAACACAAATGAAAGGCTCTAAGTCTCTGATGACGTGATTTCTACGAAAGGTTAACCGCATTTCTCTCCCAAAAAAGCGAAAAAAAAAAGGTAACGGTCTGCTTACCGCCACAGCATTGGCTTCGCTCTGCTCTTGAATTCAATAATGACGCCACAGTATGGACACTCATCAGTCGGCGGTAATGGTGGGAACGACAGATTGTTATTCACTAGGACAGACTTGGCTCGAGGCACCTCGGTCGTAGATTTGGCGTAGAGAGCTCTAACAGCAGATTGTCGAGCAGTAGTTGCATTGGTTATGGGCACGGGGGGGGCGCTTGCTGCTCCCAACATCGTTTTTGTTGTCGCAGGCTTTGGAAGCATGCTCGAATCAAAACGTACAGTTGGAGCACTTCCATCTATCTTCGGCAGTTGAACAACAGTTGGGGCAGTTCGCGGATGCTGAACACTCAAGCCGATTCGCCTTCGATGGGTTCGCTGGTAATACAATCGTCGTAGGCGCGCCGCATTGGCTTCGATTAACGCTGTGCGTAGGGAATCCGGTGCCATTGGAAAACGGAACCGGATATAGCAATCTGTGTAGAGACGCAATTCAGCGATTGCCTGGTTTGCTTGTTCATCATCTCTGTATCTTTCGATCCTACGCGCCCGGTCGGCTTTCGCGGATTTTCGAACAGCATTGGATAGACGAAAGAGCCGTGTGACCGTCCCGCCAATGATATCGGTGATTTTTGAGATGTTCTCTTCTGCTGGATCTCCGTCGCTGTCCGAGTCACTTGCATCATCTTCGGGTCTCCTCCTCCAGACTTCCGAGTCACTGTGTCCTGACACACGCTGTCTTTTTCTGCTCGGAGTCGGCGGTGGGTTCCCAATCGGCTTCACTTTTATGAAGAACTCTTGTTAGCATAGACTCTTCGACCATTCCTCGGCGATCGGGCGCAGCGGGTACTTGCAAGACACCATTGTATCACAAATAAGGCCTAGGAGCTGATGTATGATCTCCACGACCGTGGGACTGAATCGAAGCCTGTAGTCCAGCGAAACATTGAGCGGTCCATAAACATCCATGTTTGCTGCCCAGAGGGTGAATCGTGCCAGCTGATCATCCATGATGGTAGGATCCGGCACAATGTCTGGTAATACTACATATTGGTGGAAAAGCGAGTTGCACTTTGTTGCGTGCTCTGCGATTGTCGGGTGAAGATCATCTTGGAGAAAGATATCTTCCATCATCTCATCTTTCCCACGATTTAGCACCTCCATGGTCGATGGAGGCGGTCCCGGCGATTTGCGAGAACAAGGCAGCCGATCCCGTCTATTCGAAAATAGAGTATCCTCAAGGTTGTTGTTGGACAAGCAATTGCGACCAAGGTGTAAAGAAGGGTCGCATGGATCCGAAGAGTGTCAGATGGTGAGACACCGCCATATGTGTTGGTCTTTGCTGAGTTGTACGGGAGTACTGTAATAAAGACTTTTGGCCCGGAATGAATTGCCAGGTGCGTCACAAGCCAAATATACAATAGTGTTCCAAGTTGGTACACCCCCTGGTACACCCCGAGTCGTTCAGGGCCAACTTTGTACCAAAAATACCCAAATTCACAATTGGCTTACCAAGGTGGCGGCCAAACTCAACGGATGGGGCTGTGACAGTAAGGTAAGTGCTCCGTGACCATGACAAGACCAACTAGAAGCGTACCGACTAGTAAGCATGGCGGCCGGCGCTGAGTGCGGGTTTCCGGACTCACGACTCGATAACTAACTAAATTCTATACCTATTGCTATTGGTTAGTCGATGAATTGGAAGAGTGAGTGAGGGGCGACAATGACCAAGTGAATGCAACAAGTAAAAGGGGTAGCATGAACCGCGATGGCATGGGATCAATCTCGTCTCTCTCACCTTTGCCTGGCCCAGTCAAAATAACTCCAACCCTCCCCGCCATTGCCAAACATCTAGAAGTCATGACTCTTGCAAAGACCTATTTTCTGTGTCCGACATCGGATTTTCTCCACCCACCGCCAGTGGGTCCGCTGTGTCTTGGATCTATACTCCGCTCCACGTCAACACCGCAATACCCTCTGAATAGAGGGGGATCTGTCGTCGTGACCGCGCCATTACCGCCGGTCGTGGACACCAACTGGAGGAAGACCATCTCCACCGAGCAAGGACTCGGGTGCGGTGTCTATGCACAGTTCCTGCAGCTGGCTACCGGGGAATCGCCTCTTGGGCCTGAGGTGAGCGTTGAGACTTCCAGAAAAAGGGCGGAGGTGTTTGCATTCGATCGGATGACGACTCTATCATTCGAGCCATCGCAAGAGTACGTTGAAGAAGCTATCCAAGCACCGGCCGTGCAGACGTGGCTGCGGGAGCCCAAACAGAGATTCGCCCCCGTGGTCTCGCTCTTTCTCGTCACGGGTATGAAACTCGTTCAAGGCGCCAGGATCCGATACTCCACTGCGCAGAGTGCAACAGTCCGAGGAAACATTGGTTTTGACGTGACTGCGCTGGGTACATCCATCGGCCCAAAGGGCCACTGGGTTAGCAGGAACGAGGACGGGACAGAACTCAATCGTGAAACGGAATTTGTGTTTGCGTTCCGCGTGAAAAGGCTCAGATTCGGGCGCAGACTGAGGGTGGAAGAGTACAACAAGGGCGCATTCTTGGCCATTGGTGGAGAACAAGAGGACAACACATCTGTTCTGGTCGAGGAAGTGGACGGGTCACAGATGAGGGCAGCTCTAGCCGTTCCGGATGCGACCGAGAATGGGAATGTCTATTGCGTCCCCGCTTAAATATGCTACAATCTTTTCGAGACCCCAATGACCAGTGGGCAGCTCTACTTTCACGGCATTGTCAGTACCTAGCTGTCTAACTATACATGTGTTTCTTGATGTCCCCAATCTTTTCATAGACATGCTTCCTTGTCGAATCTCTATCAAATATGACATGGGGCGTGAGGTAGTGATAGCCTGCTCTTGTATGCCTGACCATACTCTTCAGAACCGCATCCATCGAGCCGGCAAATTTCAACCACGGCCCCAGGGATTCACTGCCTGGTTTGATATATTGGTCTTGCTGTCGGACAAAGGACAGAACCGATGCTGCTAGTCCAGCGGCTATAGGGGTTGCGATCGATGTACCTGACAATACCTTGACAGTTTGACCGCGGCCATCTTGGTTAACTGGCCAATGAGAGGAGACACACTCCCCAAGTAGACTGAAGTTGACATCTTTGTCGTCTGCGGTCGGGTTGAACATGGAAGGATTACCATGTCCATCAGTCGAGTGTATACAAAAGACACCGGGATACTGAGCTGGAAAGGCCCTGCCAAGGTTCCCTCCATCATTCGATGCCGCCGAGAATAACAATGTCTGACTGTGTATAGCATTGGCTATGGCTTCTTTTATTGGGGGGCTGTGTTCACGAATCCCGAATGACATCGAGATGATGTCCACTTTCCATTCGGAAACTGCGAAATTGATGGCCTGAAGAAAGATTCAGCTCGAATTCGATATCATGCTCTGCCACAGAGACAGTCCTACCTTTGCAATATCGCCGTAGGTACTACGATCGAGTGTCTCTCGATGCGCTATTCTGGCGATGTAGATCTCAGCACATGTGGCAACTTTGAGCAGAAGCCCAAGAGCATGAGTGCCGTGCCCGATCTCATCTCCGATGTCTTCTGGCTTTGTGTTCGCGATGAAGCTTCGCGCGGCCTTGATCCGTGGATCTAGTTGTCGATTATCGGTCATTAGAAGTGGATTCTGAGGGTCAAACCCAGAATCTAGGATCGCTATTCGTACCGGTTCAAACGCTCTGGGCTCGGCTTCAATTGATTCGTAAGGGTCAACAAAGTGATGAATGGAAGACAGAAGGTTGTCCATCCATTGTTGCGAAAGTTGACTCCTGTCTACCTATTAGAACCGCCAAGCATCGTGACCATTAAGAAGAGACCTCACTCTTGTTCACAACTCGCCTGGTAGCTTGCATCAAAAAAACACAAGCTCTTCGCTGGCGGCTCCGCCAAATGTCCGCTGAGTTGCGTTCTCAAAGGAGGCCGTGCCGGCATTCGTAGAGCCATCTCTGAGTTGAACGATGTGTAATCCGCAGGCGTGACGTCAGAACTAGAACGGTCCGGAATTGCTTGGGCGCCGATACTTTCATTATGTGAGTCTGCCTTGTCTGTTCGATGGCGCACAACTTCGCAGCCGATGGAGCCCCAGCGGAGCCTATTCTCTTGAGACTCAAATGAGCCCAGATCCTCCAACCGAAGTCCCCACCCCTTGATTATTTCAGACTCGAGCCGCTTGACAACATTTTGGTAAAATAGTCGCTGTACGCTGACCGATTCAAAGTCAGCCTGCTGTCCAGGGGGTAAGTACTCCCACTGCAGGCATGCCTTGGTAGCAAGATAGTAATCCACGCTAGCATCAGCTTCCAAAGATTTAAGCTTTTCGAGACTGGTGTAATAGTCAGTGTTGACGTTTCTGATGGTGGACGAGTCCTCCTGCATCAGGTCCACGGGTGTGCAATAATGAAGCTCGCACAAGAGTATACCAAGCGCTAGCACACTGGCATTGGGATGCACCCTGTGTTTAGAGTTCTCCGAGCCAACGCCGTTATCTTCATTGCGGTTTGAATGGGTTGGGATGTGCTCTAACGCGAGGAAAGGTTTCGTAATATCTGGAAGTTCTCCACTTTGCAGTGGCTCAAAGAACAGAATCTTCGAGTGATCGAAGGAAGGCTGCAGCCACGGTGTCTCCAAGAATGGCAGAAGTGCGGTCGCCAGAGTGACGGCCAAGACCCGTTTACCCTTGAATGGCAGTACAGATGAGCCCCCACGTAGTTCCTGCTGACGCTTGAATAATGCCGACAACGAAACCGTTCCAGACCTGCTATCACCACCAAAGGTCTTTGGTTGCGGACGAAGCCTCTGAAACCTCCCATCTTCAAGAGCAAAGTTCAAGCAATTAGCCTGGCCAAGAGACTCTGTAATGCTTTGACAAATGTGGGCAAAATCGGAAGCACCGCCAGTTGCAGGCTCGAATGTGCTCCTCATCCTGTTATTATGCACATCTCTGCCGCGAGTTCGTCAGTCAAGATCATGGCCGATTGCCGAAGGCCATAAAAGCTTACTTGACGGTTATTCTGGCTTCTTGTAACTCTACCGCAAGAAGAGACCGTACGCCGAAGAAAACTTCGAAGCACGTCTCGACCTTCAGATCCTTCCTTTGTCGTGGCAGCGAAAGTCGAACGCTTAGTCCTGAGCACTTATGGCAAACACAGATCCAATCTCTTCGTAACGCATTGTTCAAGGATAACAACCGTCTTCTCATCAGCACGGCGAACTCGGCATTTGGGTCTTCGGGATCATCGCACGTAGCTGGATCTTCGCGAGGTAGAACCCGGCGTCTCTTAGCGTCACTTTCCAGATACGCCAGTTCCTGAATGACAGCTTCACTTTCTCTTCTTCGTTTACCAGGGCGAATGGAGATTTCAGGGCTGGAATGCGAATTTTGATTCCGACAGTTGATCACGCTGCGCATCGTCTGAAGCATTGGATACGGCACATCATCCAGTAGGCGCTGGTGCATTACTTCATGTTAACAAGTAGCAAGCGAGGGGCTGGAAGACTGAAGCTTGTTGTATATGAAGAGCGCTTACATAGTCTGGTTCTCGGGTAGAGTCGTACTGAACATAGTCTTCGAATGCACGCAAGACCTTTGCACGACGTTCGGGCTCAACCTCGTCCAAGTCGTCGGCATCATGCTGCAGGTATGCATCCGTTCGAAGCCAGGCTTCGCATGCGCGCGATCTCAATGACGCGGGCTGCGCGGACCTTTCCGGTGGTTTTCTAGCGAAAAACCCCAGCACGGACTTCAAAAGACCTCGAGAATCGTTTTCGTCCATCATTCAAAATCAGCCCAAATGGATGAAAGATTTGACCGGGACTCAAATCGGCTATAATATGCAAGGATTGAAAGGCAGAAACTAGGCGCCTTGGCTATGTATTATTAAAGCCTGCCAGTTCTGGCCTCGGGGCTGTGCTAGCCTGCTGCTAGAAAGAAAAAAAACATTTCTGATTTTAGGCCGTCTATTCACAACCCTCCTTCTGACAAAAAGGATCTGGGTAGGTGGTAGCCAGAAAAGACCACTACACTACGGCAGGTTCTTTTTTTCCCCATATCTACGCGTACAATTGTCTAGTAGAAACAACCTTTTTCCATGAGCATGGGATCGCGAGTGACAGATAGCGGATCTCAGCGCGGAAGTATCCGGGATGACCCCTTCGGAAGACCAAGCGGAGAGTACTGTACTAGTAATACTAGTAACAGTATTGACCACGTACTGTACTATACTGTATTAGAATTTCTAGTAGTGGGGTTAACCCACTAGGTTCGGCGCGTATTTCAGCCCTCAAAGCTTGGACCAGGACCAGGAAACAGCTGCAGTGGATTCAGTGGATTCTCAGTACGACAAAATCTACCTATCTTTGTTCGGAACACATCAATAAGCCCATTCTCCAGCCAATATCCTATAGATTGGGGTGAATTCTCCGGCTCGAGGGTGGGCCGACGGGGACCCAAAATAATGAACAGCAGTAGACTACGGACCTCAGCGGTGACAAGCCCCGACTCACTAAGCGGCTAGCATGAGAATGACTACGAGCAGCTGATAGCAATGGCTCAATTAAGTGGACCCGGGGCTTGAAATCAACTAGTAATCTATAGGTAGTTCCTCGGTCATTTTGAGACTTTGCTAGGAATCCGATCCTTTGTCTCCTCACTGACGCCACAGCGGCTTAACCATTTGTCTGCTCGTTGAGTGGCCACAGACGTGTATGTAACCGTCATGCTGTGGATGCTAGCCCTGCCGTTTCTACCGGGAGATAAGTGAAGCCTTGCTGTTGTAGGAGCGCCCTCCTTTCTATTTGAAGCGGCAGCGCTTAGGCTATGCATCCATCCACGGTACCGTATAATTTAACAGTCCTGCTGTACAGTACATGCGTGCCATCCTACCCCGGATAATCGGGACTTTTGTACGGAGCAAATTGTTGCTATCTGTCAATTCCCGCTTAACTTACAATCAGTCCCATCGCCCTCAACTATACCTTTGCGCTGGTATCCCTCGACTACCGCCTTGTTCTAGGTTGAGCTAAGCCCACTGTTACATGACAATTTCCTGGTGACATCTCTCTGCTTCTCTACTCCTTTTCCCGGCAACTTAGAACTAAGCTCTTTTGATATTCTTCATCCTGGCACTGTCCGACTCTTGATGCTCAAGTATCTCGGGAGTAATATTATGTCAGGGGCAAACCTCCAAAGACGGCAAGTGCCGAAAGTCAATATGAGTACCAGGATTGATTCCACGAACCAGCCCAAGGTCAAAGCACGCATCGTTACGTGGCGGGAGATCTCCGAATGGCAATTCGACAACAAATATATCCTCGGTGGCTACCGGCCCGCGAGAGCAGACTATATGGAGATCTTCACCAGCCTGACCTTTTTGCACAACGAGTCGTGCAATGTCTACACTCATCTGATTGGGGCTCTGCTCCTACCACTCGTTGCAACTACGTTTCGGCGAGAATTGGCACAGCCTCATTTCCTCGGTGTGTCATTTATGGACTACGCTATGTTTGGGATCTACTTCTGGTGTGCGGAAATCTGTTTGGTCCTCAGCGCGCTCTACCACCTGATGCAACCCCACTCGCATAGAGTAGAGCAGTTCTGGCATGGAATGGACCTGCTTGGGATTGTTGTTGTGACGGTGGGCACATTTTCGTCCGGCATCTATTATGTCTTCTTTTGCGAAGCGAACTTGCAGAAATTGCACTGGACCATTGTAAGTCTCCCCCGTGGCGCGCTTCTCCGCACAGCCCAGTGGAATGCAACCGTACCCTGACGCAAGCCCTAGGTCCTACTTACGGGATTCGTCACCGGTGTCCTAATCTCGAATCCATTGCTCAAAACACCGCGCTGGCGGAAATTGAAGGTGGGCGCTTTCGTTACCTTCGGTGCTTCATCATTTATACCTTTGCTACATGGAGTTCAACGATACGGGCTCAGATACATGCTGCAATACTCGGGAATGCGATGGTATCTACTTGAGCTGAGTCTCTATGGCATTGGAGTCAGTCTTTATGCGGTATGCCTGCACGCCCACTCACTCCGCTTTCTACCCCGAGAGAAAAACAATTCTGACAAAGCCGTATAGTCCCGTATTCCAGAGCGCTTGGCGCCTGGAAGGTTCGATATTTGGGGGAGCTCGCACCAGATCTTTCATCTCGCTATCCTAGGCGCGATGTACACACACCAGATTGCTCTGTTTCAAGGCTTCACAGCCTGCCATACATTGGATGTGTGTCAGCTCCAGGGTGTCTATTGAGCAGATTGCAGCTTGATTCAATGCCAGTGTACAAGCTACAGTACATACAATCCACAGAGCACATAGACTCGTTGGCAGCTGCTTGAATGGTACGACGCTAAATGTCGAGAAGGGGAATCCGAATCGGCAGCCCGCCGTGATGGCAATAGGTCGAGAATCTATGGAAGATAGGACATTAGAACCTTGTAGACCTCAGTACGGTACCGAAGAGATATGACTCATGGCCATTGCTCTTCAGAGAACTTCAGTCCCCCTTCGCTCTGGCGGCCAATGTCTGTTGTTATTAGACGCTAGTAAGAAATCCGCCAAAAATACTCGAGGACTTTCTGGTAAGAACGTACCAGCCTGTCCAGTGCTATTGAGGATTATGGCTGTACTGGCTTCGACTAGCGCTTCGAGTGCTGTGTCCGTCGTCGTTTTTAACGGAGAAAATGATTTACATTGGAACTATTTTGAATGATTTAGAGCACTTAGAACATATTATCATCTCGAATCAGAGTCTCACGGCAAGACTGATCACTCTGGCTGTCACATGACACTTTCCCCACAATCCTGTACCGCTTCTTATAGAACTCAAACCACTCATTGAGGATCGTCTGTTCTTGCTCCCCGAGGTGGTGGAACTCAGCTGTGCACGATGATTTTTGGAAGGATGATCGAGCCAGTGCATGCGAAGGGTCTTTCCCCGCATATTCTGCATGGTAGCAATTCGAGGTCAATTTCAAACCAGTATTTAACGCCCCTTGGCAGGAATGTACAGGCGTACCGTGATAACACCCCCCCGGCGCGAAAGCGGGATTCCTGCTCACATCGAAGACTATCCCCTTGATGGCGAAGAGGGTCGGACGGGCGGGATCTGTGCCTGGTGCATGTTATTTGCGAGGACTGGGCACTGGTGCTCGGTGTACTTTAGCATACCATCGGCGAGATGTAGTTCGTGCGGACTGATAGCGTCGAGCTTGTCGAGATCGAGGGATTCGGGATACTCCATAATCGAGTCATTATATGCTAGTGTTCCTCAGATAAATAGGATGTACTGCCCGATTCTAGTCTTGGTAGCGGATACTCGACTTCTTAAAGATTATCCCCTGGAGCAAGAACTGTGGTATCTCCCTGCACTGCCACCCCCGGCTATTCTGTCTCACGGGAATGATCGGTTGCTGGCTCTGGACCAAGCCTGTGAAAGGAGTTGGGTAGGTGCAGGCCTCACGTTCCCACGGAACACGCAAAAATAAACCTCAGCAATAGTTCATCTGGACGGTGCAAAGCGAGATCCTTTATTGTTTTCCCCGCTATTGTTCCGGTTCAGTGGAGATGGTACCGAATCGGGTGGAGTTTGCCACCCCGAAGAAACAATGGTACGAACATCCCGGCAGCATCATCGATTACGAATTCAATGCTTAACTTCCGGTCAGGCTCATGCTTCCCGACCAGTCGGTAGAATGTTTTGCCAATTCTCGGATCCGACTCCGCAGGAAGCCGTTGGGCAACAACGCGCTTATCCGGGGTTATTTTCTCGCAGACTAGTAGTTCAGAAGTGGGAAGGGTCGGCTAGACGCATATGACACCACCAATACGGGAGATGCTAGTTTTATAACTCTTCACAGCTCGATATGTGGCTCTTCAATCAAGTTGAACACCCACCGCTCAGGCTATATGATACTTATACGCAATATCCATCGCCATTGACAACAACCAGAAGCCTAGCGACTTCCCCAAGAACCCTCGTCCCTTGACTCCCATCAAGCCATGAAGTCCTTCCCAACGCGCTCCGGCCAGATCTTGATATACGGCCACTTGGGCGTCGGGGTGCACGACAGGGTCGGGGGTCAGACGTACCTAGTGGTGAACTGCCTGATGGTAAACAGAATGCGGCCCAAGAAGGGCCCTTTGCGACGGATACCAAAAGGATAGTTAGCAGACGGAGAGTGTGAGAAGTGTGAGAAGTGTGAGAGGCAGGCAAGAAGGAATGCAGTAGAGCGGTCTTTATACTACTTCCATTCCATAGTGTATGTTTACCGGCCGTGTAGATACGAAGCCGCAACACCCTAAGTATACTCCTGTTTAGGAATGATATAAGACGCTGGAATCCAATTTGTGAAACTCTGTTAATGATTCAGTGGTGGTGCCGGGTCGGCTCTTCGGGTATACCAGTTCATTAATGACATACAAAACTTTCAATTTGATATTTTCACAAACCAAAAAGAACAGCAGCCCTGCCCAAATGTACCACGCGGAATCTTTATAGAGGTCGTTGGCCAGTATCAACCCCATAATCGCTGGTGGTCTCTATACCGCCCCCCCTCCCCCCCCCTTCCCCTCCGGGGACGAACTGCTTCCTTTCGGTGTGGCCGCTGCCAAGGCCTCTCTGCACAATTTTCCAATTAAATCTAGGATTCTAAATTTGTCTGCCAGCCGAAGCCAGCGCAGTTCCACACAACAGTACTATAGGCTTTTAGTCAGGTTCTATTACCAAAGCCTGATTCGGGATTTACCTTTTTATTATGCAGCCGGTAAAAATCAAAATGATCCCCATCGGACAGCAGACCATAAATAGGGCGAGATGGCTTCTGAGCTTTTTCTCAGCATCTCTGTACCACCACTACTCCAATCATATGATCAGTAACCCTTTCAACTGACTCCTCACTGTGACTTTCCCTAGAGCGAGGTTTACTTACGCATATACCCCATAAGCTAGGGCACCCCGGAAGATCTCATCTCTTCCGTTTTGGCCTCGATGGCCACCAGATGCTTAGTGGCATCATCCCCATCACCGTAACACAATGACCAATCTACATTCCCAGCAAGCTCGATTCTCTTCTCGGGGAAACGTACAACCATCAAAGTCTCATACTCGAGATGAACCGCCGCGTGTTCATTCTCTGGATTTTCCAATCCTCCTACTACCGCCTGAAGAAACAGATCTATGCGGCTTCTAGCCTGAGCCTCATTCGCGCGGGAACCTTTGGTTGCCTAGTGGCTCTAAGCCATATATCTAGTGCTTGATCTCAGTATAATGTCAGTAAGCGTTGTCATTGTAAGTCATTGTCAAACAAGGTGACCGGCTCACCTAGATGTTGCGCCCACTGCGACGCTCGCGATTGCCAACATCGTTGCACGACGGCCACTGTTTCGAATACTCAATTAGCAAGACTTAGTCGTAGCCTGGGGTAAATGACATAGAGCAGGATATACTCACGTAAAGTAGCCAGGAGTTGAGCCCCATGACAAGTCTCTCTGGACTTTGCCTCGATGCAGGCAAGGTACTTGAAATCATCGTTGCCGTCGCCATAGCAAAGCGACCAGTCCACGTTCCCTGTGAGGGTCTTCTCTGGGATCGATGGAGATATCGAATGGTGATCAGGTTCTCCTCGTTCATTTTGGACGAGAAGGAAGAGGAAGTAGAAGTGGAGAGGTTCGAGGAGCTGGAGGAGGAGGAAGAAAAAGAAGAGTTGGTAACTTCGGTCTGCCCGCAGGAAACTTGGGGAATGGTGATTCCGTTAAATGATGGAGCAGTGTGAATGCCGGCTTCTACGTGTGAATCTGGTGGTGGGAGAGGATTGATTGAATGTTGGAAGGAGCGATCAGGAGGACGAGGGTGAAGGAGAAGGCGCGACGGGAGTACTATAGCAGCCTGCTTTAGGGCCTGTTCTAGCAGTGAAGTACTAGACTGTAGGCTAGTCCTTGGCCGGTGAATGTCGATCGCGAGCAGGTTCGGGTTGCCAGCTGCGGTCACAGTGCACCAGAGGGTCGTCATGATGAAGACGACCAGTTCATCAAGTTGAGGTAGGGCTGCGGGCGTTCTTCGAAATGAGCTTACAGTGACGAGATGGACCCAGTTTGCTTGGTGACACATCCACCTTTGGGGAAAACCAAGATCAGACACAGCAAGCACATAGCTCAGTACACTCGTCTCTTCACTGAGCAAACCTCATCTCACGATGGAATCCACCAGCAGCGACACCACGAGCCCCCTCCTCTGCCTCCCTCGGGAGGTATTCGACATGATCCTGCAGCTCCTCAGCCCTCCAGCGCAGGTGTGTCTACTCCTAACATGCCGCGGTCTCTACCACCACCAAGTCTACAAAGCCACCATCAGCGACCTCCGCCCCCACTTCCAAATCACCTCCGACATGATGAACTACAACAAGAAACGAGGCTACGACCGACCGACAATCTACCGCAGGGCCCTCCTTCGCCAACTCCAAAACGACCGCTGGGCCTACTGCTTCGCATGCTTCGAGCTCCATCCGCGGGCCGAATTCGACAGCTACAGCTGCCACCACCGATGGGCGCCGTTCCTGGCGCTCAGCACCAGCGCCATGTGCACGGCGCAGACGGGCATCGTCGACCTCTGCCCCTGCATCAGCCTCACCGCGCGTCACAAGATGCGGATTGCCCGCTACCTCGCGAAGGATGCGTCCGACCCGCAAGACCGGCGGTATGCCCCTATCGACACGGACCCCCGCTTCCGAGACATTCCCACCGGCCCCAACACCCGCGGCCTCGTCCACGACTGCAACATCCCCGCCTGCTGGGCGGGTGACATTCTCTCCCACAGCATGGTCCTCTTCCTCGACAGTCGACGGAACCTGATCGCGCACACGTGGTACCGCGTAAGCACCCGCTGGGGCAGTGCCGGGTGGTCCTTGTATGCGTGTCCGCATTATTCTCTCCTGGCCTTTCGCTACATTGAGCCGGTGCGCAGGCCTTCCAACGTCTGTCCACTTTGTCGAGCGCAGTGGCACACGGAGCTCGGGTGGCCGTGGCGGGACGAGCTGTGGGTGACCCTCACCAGGGATCTGGGGGGTGCGCGGTGGCCGCCCGATGCGGCGTGGCAGGCGCAGCGTCGGCTGCGGAGTCGGGATTGGTACAGAAAGATGTTCAAGGAAGACAGAATGGGGGTGGATTGGGTGCAGGATCGGGATATTGTGGACGATTCGTATGGGGAAGAGAGTGCAGGAGATCAGGGCGAGTGGGATTATCCGTATGAAACGGAATCGGAGTTCTTCAACGATTCGGACGAGTCGGAGGAGTCGGAGTCAGATGATTCACTCAGTTCGGACGATTCAGACGAATCCGAGGAGTCAGACTATTCAGATGATTCGGAGGATCCAGCAGATTCAGCGGATACAGATGGTTTGGACTATTCAGGGTGATTCCAAGGTCTGGAGGCGTGAAGCGTGACACAATTCAGATGATATGAACGATGCGATATGCTTTCAGGTATGACTTTCCGAACCAACTCACTTGATTGATTTTGGTGGCTGGTGCGTGTGGGAATAGCTTAGAAGCAGAGTCACTTCCTGGAAGGATAAATGCAATAGAGGCTGCATCAGCTCTCGTTCAGGGTACGTACATCTACAAACCTGCTAGACTCTTTCAAGGCTATGCCTTGGCCCCCCTCAGAATCGTAGAGTTAAGGTTAAAGCCCGCCGCCCCACAGGAACCCTAACTATTAGCTCACCCTTACCAATACTACAACCTACATCTTGTTTTGCCTGCTTGCCACCTCAGACCCTTTGCTTCGGTGTACAGATGATGTCTCTGTACAACCTGCTACCTGCTTTCTTCCCACCAGGTCCTCTATCCTGATCACTGGTGATACCAATTTTTAGATCATGGCACAGTCACTACATAAGATGCAAAAGATTCAATACATTTGATCAATGTATGCGGACGATTGAGCACTCAACTATCCCTTAGAACCGGCAGTCTATCCCCAATGTTCAATGGCGACGTAAGGATGTCTTTAAGCAATCAATACGGAAAACGCCTTGCAGTCAACTACATCGACCAAACCGCTCGAAGTATTCCGACCAGGACAGCGGTGTATCAGACCATTACAGTGGGCTCAAGCACTGAAACGCATACAGTGACGTATCGCAACCTCGCCAACATCATCAACAACCTGGCCAGGTGGTTGGACGAGCTCACACCAGTGACAGAGGAGCACACGCGGACCATTGGGTTAGCTCCATCTCCATGCTGCGAGATCATGGTCTAAGTCTCCTGTTAGATATCTTGCTGCACTGAAACATGCGCAAACAGGATACGGCAAGGGCAAGCTGATAGCCAGCCTTCTGCTCCATCGAGCCGGAGAACTCGCCGGCGTGCGAGGATCGATCTGCCGCCTGGGCCAAATCGCCGGATCGGTGGACTCAGCAGGTGTATGGCCTCGTCGAGACTGGTTCCCGTCGCTGCTCGACTGCTCCCAGGCCATCGGGTATCTACCGGACTCTCTAGGGGCGCAGGATACTCTCACCTGGATTCCGGTTGATATCCTGGCAGAGTTGATAGCCGATCTCGCGCTGACGGGAGAAAGGAGCGGGGAGACGACGTCTTACTACCATTTCGTCAATCCACAGTCAGCCGAATGGGCGGATATGGCACCGGGCGTGATTGCTCAGCTGCAAGGGGAGTGCACAATGACAAGCTTGTCTGACTGGGTGAGGAGGCTCGAGGATCATGCGGCCAGAGCAGCGAGCTCTGAGACGCAGCCTTCATCGGGGGTGAAGTTGATTGGCTTTTACAAGTCGCTTCAGAGCCGTCCGCTGAACTTAGAGACCTGTCAGACTCAGGATGTGATTCCTCGGCTTGGGAGTATACCCGCTGTGAATGAGGAGTAGATGCGAGCATGGCTGAGGCAGTGGGCTCATCCAGAATAAGATGGAGATAACAGGCTGTGAGCTAGGAACTATTTTCTGAGACTGTCCATTGCTAGCCACTTCCCGGGCTTGGTTGAAGTGAATTTCCATACTCATGAACCCATATTGCACGGTCACAACCCCATCTATCGACCTTTCTGAGTAATACGGCCTGACCCACAGGTATACGCGATGCTCGGCTTGAATCCGCTGATACTTCTCGAACAACCAGCCGGGGGGGTTATACTGCGTACAACGTAGATTTCACATGACTCAGCGCTAGTGCAACGATGGCTTTTTTGCGCCCAAATTTGGGCGTCCTAGGTTGATCCCCGTTCAGAAAGGGTACTGAATCAATCTGGTAGTGCGGGGCGGTACCCAGCCCTGAGTACCTAGGTACGCCACTTACGCCCCTGAATGCAGAGCGTGGCTGCCCGCATCACTTTTTCCTGGGACAGCCAATCCGGCTCATCCATTTCTGAGGAATTGATCGATCGAACAAATAGGGCGTGTAGTCCAGCCATCCATAGACTCCACCCATCCTAAAAATAGCCGCCCCAAAGACATGGACAAACAACCCCGCCACATCACGTGCCATCCTTATCGGCTATCGATAAATAACTTATCCCCTGGCTTGAGAAACAAACATCACAACAACATACATATACACACACAACACCTCAGCCCTCCATCACACAACACCCAAAACCCTCCCTCACCACCCACCTAACCCCCAACCCCCACCAAAATGCCCCCACACAACGGCCTCGTCCACCCGAAACAATACGACGTCAAAGACAGCAACGTCGAACTGATCAACAGCGCCCTGGACCACCAAGTGAAACACAACAGCGCCACCACCGAGCCCGCCTGGCGCGCCGTCGGCACGACCCCGGGGCTGTACATCTGGCGCATCGAGCAATTCGAAGTGGTCCCGTGGCCGCGGGACCGGTACGGCGAGTTCTACGACGGGGACAGCTACATCGTGCTGCACAGTGCCAAGCCCCCGCCTTCGCAAACCCAGCAGCCGCAGCCAGACACTGAGGGCGAAACCCCGCTGCAGCTGCAGCATGACATCTTCTTCTGGCTGGGCAGCCACACCTCGCAGGACGAGGCCGGCACCGCCGCGTACAAGACCGTCGAGCTGGACGAGTACCTGCACGGGGCGGCGACGCAGCACCGCGAGGTGCAGGCGCATCCGTCGAGCGAATTCGTGGGGTTGTTCCCGCGGATCTCCATCCGGAAGGGCGGGGTGCAGTCTGGGTTCCGGCATGTGGATGGTTCTGCGGAGGACGAGGAAGAGGGGAGGATGATGCTGTTGCGCGTGTTCAAGCATGCCGGGGCGACGCGGCCGGGTTCGTTGATCGTGCATGAGGTTGAGCCGACGTGGCGGAGCTTGGACGATCGGGATGTCTTTGTGTTGGATGTCGGGGATAAGATTTGGGTGTGGCAGGGTCGGGCCTGCAGTCCCATGGAGAAGGGGAAGGCGGCGCAGGTGGTGCATGATCTGACGCAGGCGAAGCATGTCGAGGTCGAGGTGCTGTCGCAGCTGGAGGCGCGCAGTAAGCTCGTCGTCGACATGCTGGGCGGGCGCGAGGTCGAGCAGCTCTCGTTCAGCGCGCCGCGGCCAATCTCGGAGAAGCGGAAGCGGGCGGCGGGCGATGAGGATGAGGACGAAGGCCAGAGGGCTGGTGGCGCGCAGCAGCGCAAACTCTTCAGGCTGAGTGATGCGGATGGCTCGTTGTCGTTTGAGCTCGTCAAGGAGGGGAGTCACATCGGCAAGGCGGATCTGGATGGCAAGGATATCTTCCTGTTTGATGACGGGGACCGGCTGTGGGTGTGGCAGGGGCTGGAGGCGAGTGCCGCGGAGCGCGCGCTGTGGTTGCGCGTGGCGCAGTCGTATGTGCGCTGGCTGCAGGAGAGTCCGGAGGGGTCCGAGGCGCACTTGATTCCCATTTCCAAGGTCGTGCAGGGCCATGAGAGTCCGGCGTTTATGCGCGCCATCGCTGCGGAGGCTTAGGGCCGTTGTTGGTGGGAGAATGAAGTGTACTGTATATATGCTATATATCACCTAACATATCACGTTTTCGGGATCTAGGCAGCAGGTTATGCTAACGGCTGGCATCGTGAGCATTTCTGTAGTTATCTCCAAACACATTATAGTATCCAAACCTCAGTCCAGTACATACGAGGGGGATAATGCAACTTGTTCCCTAGAAGAAGTTATCGCCTTCTGCGGAGTAGTGTCAACCACCACACACCCGGTTTGAAGAACTGGATTATGGATTACACCAATCCCAACCCTAACTTCCGTCTCATTCTTCGCTGGCCCTATGCCACCGTGGCACCGCACCCTGCTCAAGGATCTATGTTTGGGTGGGGTGAGGATCACAAAAGAGGCAGGTAAGTGCGATTATGTAATATCTCCAAATTAAATTAGGGTCCAGACCCACTTGGAAGTGCTGTTCGGGCAGTCCAGTTGCGTACAGTTGCGTACTTTGGGAGACTTTCAGGCAAGAGACCCCGCGGGAAAGATTTCCCTCTGGGATATGAACTTTGTCCATCTTAATGATCCACATGCAGACCGGCTACACCAAGGCAGACTGGCTACTAATTTGTGTTTCTACTCGAAATAAAATTAAAAAACAAATCAAGTTAAACTAGAAACCCACGGGAAAAGTACATGATGAGAATTCCGACTTTTTCGCTTCCTTGCCACCTCATTGCTGACTAAATTATGCTGAATGCTGATGCTGTGGGCTTAGTTAGGGGAGTTCGCACTCGACCCGCCGATGCCCCCTCGCGCTTTCCAAACCCAACCCCTCCGGTTCCTGACTTGGCGCTGCTTCATCTGAGCTGCTTTGACGTGGATCGGCCGCTGCACGGAAAATGGGGCAACGCCACCGTTCTTTGACGGGCTGTGGCACCTGTCGCAATCGTCACCTGAAGTGCGACGAAGGCCGGCCAACATGCCAGATGTGTCGAACAACGGGGATCACATGCCCAGGATACAATGCCCAGGTCAAGTGGCCCTCCGTGCGCAGCATAGATGGAGGCTCCGAGAGCGAGCGATCTGGGGACCGTGTTTGCCGTCGGCCACTCTATCAAGGTTGGTCAGCAATGGACCGTTGCGAGCATCGGAATCGCTCCTCATTGACGCAACTGTAGTCGTCGAACAGGAGTCTATGACAAAGTCGACTGTCAGTAGCCTCGGGCCGACTACGGTCAACGCCGCACTGGAGAACATAGATCGTTGGTTGGAGACAGGCTATGGCCGCCGACCTTTCTTCCAGGGACCATTTGGTGTTTTAGACCTGCTGCAAACCACGTCGTCGCGCAATCCCGAGGCTGTCGACGATGTGCCTCCAAGCCAAGCTGACGGACAGACGCAGGACTGTGGCAATCGAGGAATTGTCGAGCGCTATGCTGCCGAGATGCATCCCATCGCCGACGAGTCAGTGCTCCCAGCGGCAAGCACCCATCGGCAACTGTTCGAACCGCCTCCACCGTCCACTGTGGCTTCCCCCTGTGATGATAGACTCCAAGACGCCTTGAGCCCTCATTCGCCCATGAGCCGTTCGTCTGTTGGCTGGGATATGCGAGAAGCCGCACTGTCTCCCGACGTTCCGCCACGCGCTCTCGATCTTCTCCGTCTCTTCAAGGCCAATGCCCTTTCGTTCTCTTCGCCGTTGAGGGGTAGCCCAGATTGTCCTTGGCAGACAATCCATCTCCCTGCGGCCATGTCCACGTACGCGGAGTTACTGGTTACCCAGACGGCCAGTCACCACAGACTGTCCCTATTCCATTCGCTCGTTTCCGCTAGCTGCCTCTACGGTGGTGCGGAGCGCTTGCGAGATACCATGGACTGCGAAACGTCGCGTGTTTCGAGCCAAGAGCTGGCCAAACAACACCTCAAGCTTGCCCTGGAGGAAGAGCGTACGGGCAGGCACCCAGTGAAATACAAGGAACTTCTCATGGCCATACTTTCAATGATTTATCTCGAGGTTTGCCAACTTCATTCCATTCCCCGAAACGACTAGAAACGCTCATCGCTGCCACAGATTCTGTCTGAAGACTACCACGATGCCCAAAGGCTCTTGGTCGAAGCGGAGTGGTTGATACGACGGCGGGGATTCTCCAAGGCGCAAAGGTCGTGCCAGGCCCGGACTTTGCACCACATCTACACCTGGCTGCGCATCCTCGCAGAGAGCACCTGCGGCTGTGCCCTTGTCCGAGTTTGCCCGGCACGCCCGAACGCCAGTCTCGTCGCGGATGGGAGACCAGCGCAGGCCCTTCGAAGCTTCCGGCTCCCCAGCACGGCCACGCTGAGCGAGCTCGACATGGAGGTTGAGAAGACCGATCCCGTCGGATATGAGGATCTCCACCTCGAGGTGATGGGCACGTGGAGCAGCAGTCTCTTCCACGGCATGTACGGGATCCCGGAGTCCTTGATGGGCCTGTTGTCCCAGGCGATTCGCGTGGCCAACGAGCAGGAGCTGCTGGCGCGCGACACCCTGGCGGACGTGGAATTCGTGACGCATCTCAACCAACGGGCCAGGCGGTTGGAGCACCGCATCTTGTCCTGGGACCAGAGACCGTCGCCGGCCAGCAGCGAACGCGACCGTGCACCTCCGCAGCCACCTGGCTACAACAGATTTGCCATGCACCAGAGTCTGATACTCTTCTACTATCGCCGCGTCCACAATCTCAATGCTCTTATCTTGCAGGAGACCGTGCGCAAATCATTGCGCTTCATCGAGCAGGCATGTAGCTCGAACACCACCGAAGGGCACAATTCGTCTCTACTATGGTCCGGTTTCATTGCGGCGTGTGAGGCCGTGGACAAATCGTTACAAGTGCGGCTGCTGGACTGGCTGCACGTCATGTTCCGCCGGACCGCGGTTGGCACTTTTGCTACTGCTGCAGACGTCGTGCAAAAGGTTTGGAAGGCACGGGAGGAGACCGGTGATTATACACTCAGCTGGTTTGATGTCATGGGGCATGATCGGTGCCCCATTATTGTAGTCTAGATTTCCATCCGGAGATGAAGTGTACATAACGCCGATTACGCCAGCTTCTGCGCCGGCCGCGAGAAGTTCCGGGACGCCTCGGCGAGGACGACGCGCTCGATCTCACCCTCGAGTGAGGAGGGTCCTTGGGGCCGCCATCCTAGAATCTCCCGTGCCCGGATCGCCTGGTACTGAGCATTGGTGCCCCAGATGGCCGACCCGTGAGGCGTGAGTCTGTTCGCGGCGGTCGCATCGATCTCCACCGCCTCCGGCGTCTGGATGAAACCCTGGGAGTGGGCGAAAGTTGCGATCCCTTTGCCGATATCTCCGAAAGACTAGAGGGTTACAAATTAGATATTAATTAGTTAATTAGTCCCGCTGCTGCGCCCACAACAATCGCGGAGAGAGAGAGAGAGAGGGAGCGTGTCCCGGGGTGGCTCACCATCTTGCCCGACTCGGCGAAGAAAATCCCATTCTCATTCCATAATTCCGGGTTCACCGGTCGCGTGGATTCGATAACCAACCTCAGGAAGAGTGCCGTCAAATCGGATACGTGGATCGTACTCCATGTGTTGAGGCCGCGGCCGAGATGAAGGCCGTGTCCGTGTTGCAGAGTTGCCTTGGCGAGATCGGGGATCTGGATACTCCGCTGATTCACGGGCCCTCGGCCCTGGCCGTAGATGAGGGGCCCGTAGACCATGGCCGTCCTCACCCGAGGGTTGGTGGCATGCACTCCGCGGATGATATGGTCCACCGCACGCTGCGGCGAAGCAGCAAGGATCTCATAAATCTCGTGGATTTGGTCCAGATCATTGTAGATCTTGGTGCCGGGCTGGCCGAAGCTCCTAGCCTTCATCTCCGCGCCGGCCAGGAAACTGGCGCCAGAGATCTGGATCCATGCTGAGTGTTGATCAGCTGAATCAGCTGAATATTCCATCAAGATTTTTTTTTTCTGGAAGAAGGGGGGGAACCTACTTGGGCTTTTACGCTCGCTCTTCGCCAGTCCTTCAGCGATAGCCTTAGCACTAGGCACGTGACTGGAGCTTGCCAGATCTGTAAGTTGTCCATATCGCTTGTCAACACCATGGTTATGGTAATTATGTGTTTGTCTGGGTTGGGGGTTTGAAACATACGAAGCACCACATCAGCCGTAGACGCTACTTGTTGAATTTCTACACTGGAGTCCAAGTCTGCAATGAGTGGGATCACCGTTGGAAATCGTCCTGCAACGACCGCAGCCTGGCTCTTGTTGCGCACAAGGGCAACGATGCTGGACGCCGTCAGGGTCTGAGTAAGGCCGTGGAGGACGTCTCCACCGATGAAGCCGGTAACACCTGTACTGCAGAGAATGAGTTCCGATCCACTAAAAGGCTTCCTGCCAGTGCTCACATGAAGACCTTCGGACTCATACTGAATGAATGAATGAATGGACTTTGATGGGTTTGTGGATATAATCTCTCAACATTGTCGTCTCCGTGGATTGCGCAGACATCCTTATACTCTCACAGCATCCATACGTAATCGGGGAAACCTGCCTGGGGATCAATCAATATGACATTAATAATGGAAGTGGGTCCCCGGAAGTGGGGGGTCGGTCGGCTTAATTCCCGCCTTTCGTGGACTGTGCAACTAGTTACTAACTGCCTCTTCCCCAAAATGTGTGATGGGAAGTGGCAGGTTATCGCGAGCGAGCAAGCCCAACCAAACATCTAACTACCATCCACAGGTGCTGGCCGCTACGTACGTAGATGTTATCACCAAGCAAGACCATCCTTGCAATACTCGCGCGACCAGAGCCAGCAACCAGCAACCAGCAACAACTGCATGCGTCAGCAATTCGCCAACGAGGTCAACGTAGAGATCGCTCGGTACGCTGCCGAGTTTGTTCGTGAGTATGGTGACAGGTTTGGCCCCGATCTCCTGCGTTCCCAACCCTCCAGTCGATGCTGCGGGGTACTCGTGCTGCAGAGGTCGCCGAGCTCGCGGGCGATCCAAGGTGTCAATCGGAGGCGCGTCGGCGGTAACACATACAAACATCTTCATGGTGGACGAGCTGATCGTGCATGGCCGCTTCAAGACACTGGACCTGGGTCAGTGATTTGTCCTATGCTCGCATTCCGGAAGGTCGTTGCCCCCCTGGCGAAACGCGCGGTGATCTGCCTAGTAGGCACTTCTCAGCCAACTTAGGAAGTGATTGTTTTTTTCTTTGACTACGAGAGTCAAGATATCCAGAATATGTATGCCCGCAATGCTCGGGAACCGCACGTCGGGCAGCGAGAGAAATGAGCATGCCCTGGTGAGGGAGCGGTCGTCAGCATTTACTAGTATGCTTGCACGAGGGCGACACAATGTCTTTTCTATTTCAATGTGAACCTGTTGGTGATCTGTCGCCGACTGGGCGCTTAGTTGATTCCTTGTTTGAATTATCCAAATCTTCAGAGGGAACCCTTCTTTCCGGTATATCAATCGATGTGAAAGTTTCTAACTCAGCCTTGGTCGCAATGCTCTTTCGATGTTGCAGATGATCAGTGAGCGAAGTTCCATTTGCCGGATGGCCTGGCTGCAATGGTCACCTTCCGTAGGGCGGATCCGATGCGACAGAGGAAAAGGGCAATTGGACAATTGAAGCCCTCTGCTTATGTCGTAGATATATACCCAACTCGCTGGTTGAGACGGGATCAAGCACTCCGTGCACGGGACTCACTCATATCAACCTGCGATTCTGTCAGGAGTACGGAGTACTCCGTACAAGCATCGACAAGCATATCCAGCGCGACCGCCATCATTCCACTGACCCGCGCGACCCCTCACTTAGGGCTAAGGCAGGCTAAAGCTAAGGATCGGCCCTCCGCATGACTCGTCCTAGACCGGGATACGAGACTGGCTGCGCCTGCGCCATGTGATGTGCCTACCGACTTGTGATCAACCTATTAGTTATCACTTCTTTATGCATGAATCCAATAATCCTCAATAGATCGACAGGGGTATATTACCCAGCAGACAGATCCACCCCGATCATTCCAACATTCCAGGACCTCCTACGGAGCGCATTCCGTTGCCTTCGGCTAGAATTGCTCGCTCCAATAACTCCTCAACCACCGTTCTCCAGTCCAGTCCATGCGAGCGCCACTGACTCGGTGCAGACTGCACCCCTAGTCAGCTGAGCCCGCGAGATCAGCCACAGGGCGCCGCGCGGTGGGCTCGCTCGTATCGGCGGGCGAAAGAAGCAATATGCTCGAGATCTCGACGGGGCTGTCTGAGGGCTGGATCTGAGTGGGCAGTCCGCAACTGAGAGATCGGCATGGCCTGCCAGGTTGACATCGCCAGCTCGCTGGCTGGGGATATAAGTCTGCCTTTCCCTGCTGCTTGCTACCGCTGAACCCAACCCAGCCCAACCCAACCAGTCCAACCGCCATGCACATCCCATGGTCCCTGCTCACAGCAGCCACGCTGCTCGCGCCCAGCGCGCTGGGCACCCGCACCAGCCCCAGCCCTAGACCCAAGAACACAACGCAATACAGCGTCCAGGAGCTCTGGACCCTGGAAAAGACCTTCTGGGATAACTTCCTCTACCCGGCCAACCTGGTGCAGACGAAAGCCATCAACTCGACCCTCTTCGCTCCTGACGTACGCTGGCAAACCCTACCCAAATCCCCCTTCCCCCACTAACGAAATCAACAGATCCAAGGCCGCGTCGACATAACGCGCGTCTTCAACGGCTCGACCCTAAACACAGAGTACCTATTCGGCCTCTTCAGCGACCCGACACACTTAAGCCTCGTCGGCGTGCCCGTCTCCTACAGCATCACGCAGTTCACAGCCGCGCCGAACACCAACCTCGCCTCCGCGACGACAGTGGTGACCTTCAACGCGACCTCCTTCGGCAACCTGCTGCTGCCCGTCACGATCGACACGTGGATCATGTGGAACGCGGCGGGGCAGATCGAGCAGTACGACGCGACGTTCCGGTGGTTCGGGTTCCTGGTGGACACGCTGGTCGGGGCGCTGGCGCAGCAGACCAACGCCACGGCGACCGCGGCGACCGCGTACCTGACGCAGCTGCTGGCGAACCAGATCTGCGCGACGCACGACCGCTACTGCACGGGGGCGAACCAGCAGTACGCCGACACGGCCGCGTGCTACGCGTTCCTGACGCAGAGCATCCCCCTGGGCAAGGACTACGAGCTCGGCCGGAATACCCTGCTGTGCCGCGAGGTGCACGAGCACATGGTGCAGTACGATCCCGCCGTGCACTGTCCGCATATCGGGCCGACCGGGGGCGAGTACTGCGTGAATGATCAGACGTACGCGCAGAAAGTGCTGCAGAAGTATTTCCGGAAGTCGTGGGTGATCCCTGAGGTGGGCGGGGAGGCGGGGGATGTTTGGTTGTAATTCTTACTGCCTAAGTATTCAATGCCAGGAGAACCGAAAACACGCTGTGTCATGATTACTGCGCACTGCAGTAACTTACAGTACTATTAACAAATCATCCAACAATTCAATTCAATTGTCAAACCCCAACCCGGCCTCCTTCCGGACCGCCCCATACACCGCCGCAATATCCCCCTTCTCGCCCTTCTCCCGCTTGACCTCCTGCAGATACCCATCCGTCACCTCGACGCTGCGCAACCGCATCCCCGCCGCGGCCGCCAGACTCCCCGCGTGCCGCAGATCCTTGCGGGCGAGATCCACCGCGAACAGCGGCTCCTCGCGCCGGCAGTAATCCCCGCTGCACATGCGGTCCGCGTACGCCGCGAACGGGCCGGGGAACATCCGATGGATGAACTCCTGGTATACTTCCGCCCCGAGCCCGGATTTCTCGGCCGCGACCAGCCCCTCCGCGAGACTCTCGACCGTGTTCAGGATGAAGGTGTTCCCCAGCACCTTGAGGGTCGTGGCCCGCCCCACGTCGGCGCCGGGCATCGGCACCACCGCTTTGGCGACCACCCCCTCCAGGAACGGGGCGAGGCGGTCGATGGCCGCCTGCGGCCCCGCGGGCACGACGACCAGCTGCCCCGCGTCCGCGGCGGCGGGGGCCCCGAAGACCGGGCACGCCACGAAGCTGGCCCCCCTCTCCGTGAGGGTGGCGGCGATGCGCCGCGAGGTGTCCGGGTGGACGGTGGAGCAGTCGACGAGGATCTTGGAGGTCAGGTCCAGGTCGGCGGCGGAGGTGAGGGTGGTGATGATCGCGTCGAGGGCGGGGTCGTCGCCGACGCAGATGAAGATCATGGTCGCGGGGGAGACGGCGGCGGGGAGCGTGGGCGCGACGGTCGCGCGGTCGGCGGGGAGCGTGGCGGCGAAGGACTCGGTGCGCGAGGCGGTGCGGTTGTAGAGCGTGATCGGGGCGGTTTGCGGGCCTTTGGTCGCGAGGTTGCGGGACATGCCCTTGTTTTTTTGGTGTTAGCTGGGGTGGTTGGGAGGGGACAGCGGCAGAGAACTGCACTTACACGGCCGATGTTGCCCAGGCCGATCCAGGCGATGCGTTCGTTTGCCATTTTGGTTGTAGTATCAATATGAAAGATAGTCAGTCGCAATGCGTGGGTGCAGATGCAATGCAGAGGAACTGTTGTTGATGAGGGGCAGGAAGTGGGATGAAGCGGGCATTATAAACTGCGGGGAAGATGCGCCAACCGGGCATCCTCGGATGCCAGTTTTAGGCGTTCTGGTCGATCTGCCCGGTTTGCGGATATCCGAGAGACTAAATCCTTAGCCGACCTCACTCCGATTCTCCCCTAGTCCCACGTACAGTAAGTATGTACAAGGTCAACGTCAACTCCACGAGGGCAATTGATGAGAAATTGGGCATTCGCGCGCAGTTACAACCCAATGATACCAATGGATCAAATCTCCTGACTGCCACCGAGAATGAGTCATAATCTAGTAGATTGGAAGACAAAAGCAACTCACAATAATCCCGCCTGCATTTAACACCAACCCAGGACCAAGAACGTTCTTCCAAACTAGCCAAATTCCATCAAACCCAGAAACAACCACCAAAAACATCCCCCCCCCCCCAGATCAATCCTCCCTCCTCAACCCAATCATCTCCAAAACCCGCTCATGCGCAACCACCCGCCCATCCTTCCTGAACAACTTCACCGCCACCGCCTCCGCCCGCCCACGCATCTTGTCTGCTGCCTCCCCCTCCAGCACCCGCAGCATCGCCATCTCCAACTGCACCGCGGTAACCCTCCCGGCAGCCCTAACCGCCACCCCGACCCCCAAGTCCTCCACGCGCTGCGCATATTCATAGTCGGCGAGGTAGACCGGGAGCACGATCTGCGGGATCCCCGCCCTGTCACGCACACACCCACTGCATCAGCATTCCAGCTTCCCTATAAGTAAGAGAGAGTAAGCAACCAAAGAGGGGAAAACATACCTCACCCCCTCCCCGAACACCCCGGCCTCC